TGTTCAGGTCGCCAAAGTTGCGGGTCACCTTCTGGATCCTCATGTGCAGGACTGGATTAGTAACAACAGCAGTTGACTGACTACCCTCTCCTTCTCGGAGTTTATGGATGAAGTCCGTACATACTGGCTTCCCAGCAACTGGGTGGAAGCTATCCAGCAGAAAATGCTCTTGTCAATGCAGGGTAACAAAGCCTTCCACTTGTGGGCTGTTGAGGTGGAGAGTCTGAATGTTCTGTTATGGGGTAGCGAGTTCCACCTCACTGAAGACCATCTTCGTTTTCACCTAGAGTCTCACATGCACCTGGATCTCACTGCAGAATATTGCTTGTCTGGTGGCTGCTGTGAGAAGCAGTTCCGTGCTTGGCTCGACCTGGTCCACTTGCTTGACGAGAAACGTGTTCACGACGCTGCAAAACTTGATGTGGCTCTTCGTAGAAAGCCTTTTCAACCCAGCCATTCAGCTAACACTGCAGTGTCGGGTTCGAAGGCACCAGATGGTCGCACCCGCACTTGCCCTCCTGCCCTCATCATCAAGGAATGCCAGCTCCTTTGGGACAACTCGGGCTGTTTCAAATGCCACTGTCTCTTTCAAAACCATACCACACATGATTGCCCAAATGATTTCCCTGATGCAAAAAACTACAAAGTGCTGACCGCTGCTGATGTTGAGGCCACTCGTAAGAAATGTGCCAAACCTATTGCCACAATCATCGAAGAGGAGCCTGCAGCGAAGCACTCCCACATCACTGAAGTGGATGATGACACAGATGCCATTGCTGTTGTCATGCCCTCTGCTGCGCTGGGGGATGGAACTGACTCAGGTGAAGAGTATGTTGCACCTCTTTCCATTCCCCATCTCTGGTGGTCCTGCCTCCTGGAAGGACCTAACATGACCTTCCCTCTACCTGTGAAGGCACTGATTGACAGTGGTTCTCATTTAGTTCTGATTGATGAAACCCTTGTCTCGAAGCTAGGGTTACGGCGCTGTCAGTTGCACAAGTCCCTTGACGTTTCGGTAGCACTTTCTTCTGGTAACCAGGAGGTCATGTCTCTGCAGAGTTACGTTGTGCTATCTTGTCTTTCCCCAGATGCACACTTTCATTCTCGGTCCGTCTGCGCAATCATTGCGCCCTGTTTATGTACACCACTCTTGTTAGGACTCCCGTTCCTTGCACATAATCAGCTCATTGTCAATCACACTCTCCGTACATGTATTAATAAAGATACTGGTTATGACTTGTTGAATCCTCCAACTCCTGTCCTGGCTCCTGTCCCCTCACCAGTAACCCCTACCGTTCAGGCTGTCAAGCAACTTAAGGGTGTGGTCCTTGCAGAGCTACATAGTGTTCTGCCCACGTATCGTGAACTTGTGGAGGTGGTGTCCACCCTGGTCTGTGGGGTGGATGTTATTGGCGCAGTACAGCATCGCATTGAGGTCCTTGCGGCTGCTGAGGAGCTGACAATGTGCGATGCACGACTCAAGGTTGAGTTTGCTGATTGCTTCCTGAGTGACATCCTGACCATGGATGCCCTGCCTGATGATGTGCTTTTCTGGGTCCAGCCCAAGGATGCCAACAAGGTGATCCAGCTTCGGTCATACAATTGTCCAAAGAAGTATCATGGAGCATGGAAAATGTTACTACAACAACATCTGGATGCAGGGCATTTACGGCCTTCCAATAGTACTCACTCTTCGCCTGCATTCATTATTCCAAAGGTGGATCCTGCTGTGTTGCCACGCTGGGTCAACAATTTTTGACAACTCAATCTGAACACGATCCCCGATAACCACCCGTTACCCTGCATCGATGAGATCCTTCATGATTGTGCTAAAGGCAGGTATTTCATGAAACTGGATATGACCAATGCCTTCTTTCAGACCAAGGTTCATCCAGATGACATTAAATGGTTAGCCATGCACACACCTTGGGGCCTGTACGAGTGGACTGTCATGCCTATGGGGGTGCAGAATGCCCCTGTGGTTCATCAGCATCAGATGTCTGCTGCCCTCTGTCATCTAATCAGTCGCATTTGCCACGTGTATCTCAATGACATTATTATCTGGTCACAGATGCTTGAGGAACATGAACACAATGTCCATGCAGTCCTCCAGGCTCTCTGTGATGCTAAGTTATATTGTTCTCTTAAGAAGACTCAGTTGTTTTGTACTGAAGTTCTGTTTCTTGGCCAACGCATCTCTGCTCATGGAATTGAGCCTGACTCTTCCAAGATCGCAAGGATCCTTGATTGGCCAGTACCACGATCAGTTATGGACATGCAGGCCTTCCTGGGCCTTGTTCATTACATTGCAGATCATCTTCCCAATCTCACAGAGCACACATGTGTTCTGAACACATTGACAACCAAGGCCATGGAACTCAAGTTCCCTGTCTGGAATGATGACCATCAGCAGGCCTTCCAGGCCATCAAAGATCTCATGGTCAGTCCCCACTGTTTGATGACGATTGATCATGATAATCCAGGTGACAACCGCATTTTCCTTACATGCAATGCCTCAGACTTCCGAACTGGGGCAATTCTCTCTTGGGGACCCACTTGGGAGATGGCTTGGCCGGTTGCTTTTGATTCCACTCCCCTTCGTGGTGCTGAACTCAATTACCCTGTGCACAAGAAGGAACTCCTCGCCATCACTTGTGCCTTGAAGAAGTGGAGGGTCAAGCTGCTTGGGACCCCAGTGTTGGTGTATACTGATCATTGAACCCTTCAGCACTTTGCCCTACAATGCAACCTCTCCCAGTGCCAAGCTCACTGGCAAGAATACATGTCCCAGTTTGATCTGACAATTCATTATATTCAAGGCGAGCATAATGTGGGTGCTGATGCCCTGTTGTGACGCTCAGATGATGCCCCCCCCGTGGCTGCAGCATCCATGGTCGAGGTGGACAAGTTGCTGACAGTGGAGATATTGAAAGGATACACAGAAGATCCCTTCTGTCAGCAACTATTCTCTCTTCTTGACTCACTGCCCGGTCTACAGGAATGAGATGGCCTGTTGTACCTTGCAGGTTGCTTGGTGATCCCCCATGTACATTCACTACAAGAATGCTTCTTTCACCTCGCCCATGACACCTTAGGCCATTTTGGCACGGACAAGACCTATGCAGCTCTCTGTAATTCATTCTACTGGCCTAACATGCATCATGACCTTGCATCTGCATATATCCCAGCTTGCACTCATTGCATGCGCAACAAGTCTCTGACTATGGCACTGGTGGGCCCATTACATCCCCTGCCAGTCCCTGATGCTCATGGAGACTCTGTGGCCATTGACTTCATCGGTCCCTTACCAGAGGACCACGGCTTCAATATGATTGTCACAATGATGGACCACCTTGGCGCTGACATACACCTTGTGCCTTGTCGAAGTTCCATCACTGCCTCGGAGTTTGCTACACTTTTCTTCAATCATTGGTATTGTGAAAATGGCCTTCCCTTGGAGGTCATTTCAGATCGAGATAAGCTTTTCTTATCTCGCTTCTGGAGGTCCCTTCACAAGTTGACAGGAGTTAAACTCAAGATGTCTTTGTCATACCATCCCCAGACCGATGGGGCAAGCGAGCGCACCAACAAGACAGTCAACCAATGTGTTCACTTCCATGTCGAACATAGCCAGAAAGGCTGGGTCAAGGCCCTGCCTCACATATGTTTCCATATTATGAACACCATTAGCAATAGTACGGGATTCTCCCCATTTCAGCTCCACCTTGGTTGTTCTCCATGTCTCTTACCCCCCATCTCCACTTTGGACGCTGAGACGACAGAACATGCAGATGCTGCTGCCTTTTTGGCTCATCTGGAGATGGACGTCCTCGAAGTGCGTGACAACTTACTCGCAGCAAAGGCAGCTCAAGCTCATGCAGCTAATCAATGCTGTGTCCCCAACCCAAGGTTTTCAGTCGGGGACAAGGTTTGGCTGTCTACGAAACATTGTCATCGTGAATATCTTACTAATGGAACAAATCATGTAGCCAAATTTATGCCATGGTATGATGGCCCCTACACCATCTTGTCGGCTTCGCCCAAAACCTCCTCCTATGTCTTAGATGTGCCTCATGCAGCCAACGCATGCACCACATTCCACGTCAGTCAACTACGCACCTTCATGCCTAATGATACAACACTCTTCCCCTCTCACAAGCTACCTTGCCCAGGCCCTGTGGTCACAGAGAGTGGTCAGTTGGAGAACTTGATTGAGTGGATCTTGGATGAGAAGCGGGTTGGGAGGACGAAGAAGTATTTGGTGTGGTGGTTAGGGTATGGACTGGAGGATGATGAGTGGTTGACGAAGAAGGACCTGGAGGATTGTGAGGCATTAGATGTTTGGGAAAGGGAGCACCTGCCATAGGGCGTTGAGGTTGACAAAGAAGAGTTGAGGACAGGTTGATGAAGAAGATGTTGAGGTTGACGAAGAAGAGTTGAGGTCAGGTTGACAAAGAAGATGCTGAAGAAGATGCAGGGTTCATGCCCACTCATGCTCCCTCTCCCCCCAGTTGCCTTTTTTTATGGGCTGGGAGGGTGTAAGCGTTCGCTTACCTTACCACTTACCGCTTGCCACTCACACACCATACACACCATTCACACTATCACTTCACATCATCACATCTCCTATTCCCTCGATTGTGCCCTCATCTGGGCATGCAGATCCCTCCTGCTGTGTTGTACTGTTTGGACCCTGGGGGTATATATACTGGTGCTGCATGTATGCACAGGTTGTCTCTTCTTTTTCTCTCTTTCCTCTCACTTGCTCTGTTGAGCATCTTGTATCAGCATATATGCTTGATTGTCTAATCCCCACATGCCTGTCCACATTCTGTCGTCGTTGTGAGCTGTTCTGAGTGTACTCACCCCACAGTGGTGAGTTCCAAGGAAGAGAGATCTGAAGAGGGATTTGTCAGATTGGAGAGCGCATGTGCGTTAACCTGACTCGGTCAGGTGGGAGAAGGAAATCCGCAAAACTAATGGTGATGTTAGAATGTTGGGGGCATCCCCACTACTACGTTACAGAGCAGCACACAGAATTGCACAGTATCGGTAGCACGTAGTTGTGGTGTGTGCAAACTGCAGTAGTGGTGCGCGCCGCTTGCTTGTAGACGTCACCGGAACAAGTGACGAGGGAATTGTTGTTGTTGGTATGCATCAGCTCAACTCAGGAGTTCGTGGAACAGTACGTATCCGTACCTGACCCTACAGGATATTAGATCAACTGTCGCTTACCACAATGTGGCGGCGTTGGTAATCTACGTCAGGTTATGCATGCCCTCCTATGCTACGTGCCCGCTGTTATTGTAGTTACATCATTGTGAACGCATTTTCATCTTTGTCTGCGGGCACTTTGCCTTTCGTACCAGCAGTCCACATCCCTATGAACTGGATTCTTATTTTGCCACGTTGGCGTTAACATTTGTCGAGATCAAACCCAAATCCTATAACCATCCCCGCCCGTGGTCAATAGTCGACACAGCTACACAAGCACCATTATTTCTCACCTTCTCAATCAGATTCCTCGCAATGGGATGGAATGCAAGTTTGTGCCGTTGATATGTCTCCAAAGCCAACTTTGCATCAACAGCATACAACGCCCTGAATATTGGTCTGCAGAACTTCATGCGACCTTTGACGATACCCTTCGAAGTCTCCTGGCCGACGACCCATGCGGCGGCATCTACAGCATACTCCCTTGCAGCATCTGTCTGAGGATCTAACAAAGCGACTTGGTAAAACCGGAGACGAATTTCGGCATTAGGCGTTGTGGAAAATGAATAGGTCGATCCCAGGAAGTCGACATGGGATTTGGGGAGGGCAGTGTAGGACTGGAGGCGTTGAAGGAAGACGACTAGTATACTAAGTAATTAGAGTGATGGAAGATAAGAGGATAAAAATTGCGAAATGGATATATAGTGTAGGTGTGGCAGAGAAGGAGGGATAACTTACTGATCTGGTTCGCATCTAATTTTTGTAAATCGGATGCATTGAAGAGCTCGTGAAGGTTTGTCGAGGTACGGGCTTTATCCCATCGATCAGCAAGCACATTGGATTGACGAGCGAGTGTCATGTCGTATTCAGCTGGGACTGGAAGCGTTAAACCTTCACCATGCAACCAGGCCTGAGGAGTGTGAGAATAAATATGGCAGCGGTAACAAGATCAGAACAGAAGAGCGGTTATAGACAGAAGGGAAAATGACGTACATTCCAATCGATGCTATCCAGCGCCTCGACGTTATCACGTGTCCCGTGCTCGCAATAATAAGCATATAAGTGGTCCTTCCATTCCTGTGTCGTGATGCTCTTTCCCATGAAGGTCTGAACGTAGTTTTTGATGTATGGAAGGAATACGTTAATGCCCCCGAGTGTGCGTTCTAGAGTGATGGATCGGCGAAGTGGAAGAGAGAGATTCAGTACCGCTCGCCAGTTGAAGATCTGACCCTCAAACTGAGGTTACTCACCGATATGCAGCAGGAAATTCGCACCCTTCTCGTACGGGACACCACTATATGCATCATCTGGATTCTCACCGTGCTCAAAAGCGATCTGCAATCGCTGATATGCTGGTCTGGATTCATACAATTTGAGATCGTCATAAAGCCTTTTGGATCCAATTAGGAACGAGAAACCCCGATGTGCGGGTGTGTGAAGAATTTGTTGGAGTAAACGTTCGATGTAGGTCGTCCAGCCTTCATTGAGCCAAAAGTGGCAGGCGTCGGCATGTCTGGTTTTTGGATGGCGTAGCAAGGCGGTATGGTTCGGTGAGGGCAAGTCATGAAAAGGGGGGTCGCAAGGAAATTGGCAGGCGAAATTATCGGTCAGAATTGAGAAGAGTGGGAGATCAATGTACTAACGTGACCCCATTTCCGAACCACGAATGCGTAATCTCATGAACGATGATATTGACCAGTGCCCTGTCTCCGGTGAGCAGTGCTATGACAAATAAGGTCCAAACAGGAGTGAAGGGGAATGCAGAGGATGTACGTACTGGGCGTAACAAATGTGACGCAGGCGTTTTCCTGTGTGGGAGAGCATCAAGGTCAATACACGGGGTAGGGACATGTCGAGACCGAAGGTGAGGGGGTACTTACCATACCCCCATATGGGAATGATGGCGGAAGGACCAATAAATCATATACTCCAAACCGATACGGCACCATTATCTTTTCTTCGGCTTCCAGAAACCTACCAATACACACTCCTGTGTCAACCTAACCGCTGCATGGAGCACAAGTGCGATCCCGACTGGGAGGCCACAGAGAGGTAGATAGGGACACACTTCGTGGTATCCTCTTTAAATTCCCATTCCGCTGCGTCTACGAGCTCTTCTTCCGCCCATACGCCGCTCGTCCAGTCTTTCCCTTTCGGTACGGGAAAAGGCCTGTACCGCAGATTCCCAGACGCGATGGCGAGGAGGTACGAAGGAATCGGAACGAACTGCAGGTCGACATATCAAGATGTAATGGAATAGAGGTTGTTGCAGTAGATATTGGTGTCCAAATAGAGCATGGGAGTACAAGTCGTACTAAATGAACAGCCGTGCGGACTCCAAACGGACACAGATACCCACCTGCCGAAAGACGTACGTGACCTTATCATGTCCGATCTTTCTTCCGTCGTGCGGGAAGCTTGTCGAATCAGGGGATATAAGGATCGCGGACATGAGGACCGGGAGGACCGCAGTGACACGGGCGTCGTAGGTCTACATAGAGATCGTGAGGACGTGATGTCAGTCTTCGAAATAGGTAGTGAAGGGGGAGCATGAAGACATACAAACTTGACCGATGGAGTATCTGTGGAATATATTCAGTCCGATAGTCGACAGGAGAAGCTATAAGCATTCCATAGACCCCAGTTCCCGCAAACCACAGAAACAACGAAAAGATGCGTCCGAAGACAAGGTGTTATGTACCCACCCTGAATTGGTACCAAACTGCGCGCGTATATAGGTTGACATTGGCTGAATAAGAACGGAAATTTGCCACCTTGGGTTTGTCTTCGTGGACATTTCAGTAAGTGAGTTGGTTGGCGCACAGTCAATAAATATTGTCCCCCAGAAAGGGGAGCAGATGAGGGAACGCTGTGCCAAGGGGAAAGCGGAACACGTACTCCTTATCCAACCACTGCAACGCCGTACAATTTGTCGTCGTTTCGTACTTGATTGCGAGCTTCACATACCCACCCTTGGTTGCAGGGCATAGAATAGGAATGTGAAGTGCCGATCCCATGACGGTGTGTTTGGTCCCGAAGGAGAACTATATAGAAGAAAGGTTAACATCCGAATCGGCGTCAGTCACTAGCACATGGCAAAACGGAAGAAATCTGAGGGAGCTTAATTTCATCGATCAACTCACTTCGACAGAGCTGCCATCTACATGAACGCTGTCAATAACTAAATCAGCAGTATCCAGTCTGTATCCAGTGTATCGTCAGTGAGGTCTACCAGTTCATGGCTCGTGCAAACAAGAAGATATCATGGAAGGGTGGTCAAACGCACATCACCTCCGCCACCTCGTTCCCCTTCACCTCTAATTCATATACCGCCGTCCCACGAATTGTGCGGGTCAGAAAATCCAGCGTCCACTCAAGGCTCAAATGATGGGTTGCGATGGCGATATAGTTCGATTGGCTTGTTGGATCTGCCATGAGTGCAGATGCCTCTACGAGATCAGGTTTGGAGGCACTGTTTAGGTAAGAGACTAGGCGGACGTTGAACTATGTACGTACTTCGAATCACTTCTTTTGGAGATGGCATACAGGATGAAGTTTGTCCATTCTATTAACATATCCAGTTTCATAGGGGAACACGAATGACCTAAAGCATATATCTATACTATGTACTTGATCTCCTAAACAAGCCAATGCACTGGCCTTCGAGGCGCCGTTCAGTAGGGTTCAAGAATCCATTCCTGGCTGTTTTCTTTCGCATGTTTACGCCCACCTGAAGAAGGCGACAGCAACTTGTTAGTTGAGGCTGAACATTCCAAAATTGCAGACAGCCCTGTCGACTTTCCTTCATTCCAATGTCGTGATTAAGCAAGTCGAGGGCAAGATCCTTCCTCTCGTTGCTTGGACCTGCATGAACCAATCTTGCGCAGGAGAGCCACCAGTGCAACGTCCATGCCTTGTATGACCCGACTCACTTGTAGTGGTCCCCATCACACTCGACCTTCCACACCGCGCGGAGAGGATTCCCGGTCACCGGAGTCCCATTTGTGGCTACAGCGGCAGAAGCAAAGGACATGTAGGTACCTCCTGAGCCATTCTTTATCAAATAACCGGAAGCACCCGGTTGGAAAGTCCACTATAGGCTAGGAGTAAGCTGCTGGAATGGAGAAAGACGACAAAAGCCAACTAACTATTTGGTTGGGACCCTTGTGGTAACCCCAATGGAGGATGTCAACGCCAGGCTGTGGCAAGCCTGCGACTAGATCCAATGCCCCATTTGATAGAGCATTTTTAATATGGTAAGCGCTAGGAAGGAGGCTATGCGTGTACAGACGCTCATCATCCTGGAATGAGACTCCTTGCGCAGCTTTGTCGATGGCCCTAGGAGTGGACGGAAGGCTAAGTGTGTATCGTGAAAGAAGCAGTGTTCACTGACTTTTCAAGAAGGTTATATACTCCGTGTTTGCTCACTGCAGTTGCACCGGTAGGAAGCATGTCGGCAATCTTGGGAAATACGGACTCGAGCATGGGCTTCAAAGTGGTCAATAGCCAGGTCATCAGGTAGTCAGTGTTCTGCTCCAATACGGGACGTGTCAAGAACTTGACAAAGAAAAACTTAAAGGTTGCCACTTCGATCTCATCGCGAACCCGGGAATCGTCTATGTATTGCGCGATCCTTGATTGGGCACTAAGTCCCATATAACTCACAACTGCAGCCCCAATCACCCCACCAAGGGGTTCACAGAACAAACCAAGGGCCACTCCTGTAACAAAGAAGGTGGAGTTGGCACAGTGTGCAAGGGCACGAAGCGCATGGTCCTGTTGTTTGCGACACAGAAATTATCAGAAGGGTACTTGCGGATGAGAAGTAGACAAACCGGATTTCCTGCGAAAGTTTGAATCCCCGCGACTGTGAAACTGACGAACGACACATTCTCAAACGTTCGTGCAAGCCAGCCATCACGGTCAAAGAAACCATCGCATTAGAGAACCGTTAACTAACCCATCGTGACAGACGAACTTCTGAAAACTGGCCCGACTAACTGTCGCTCGAACACTAACTTTCCTCCGTGATTAACGATACAGACAGAGAGATCAATCGAATCGGCAAGCCACCTCCCATCGTAGTGTGCAAGCTCCGCATAAAGGAATACTCCTTTGGAAGTGTCGAGGCGGACACTACGAGCAGTGCAGTAGACGTCCTTGTTATCAGAATTGAGAGCGCCACGTTTGTTCGCCCAGTAATTGTTGAGGTCAATCTCCGAATGGTAGAACCTGCCGTCTGGGCCAAGACATAATGCATGCAAGACGAACTTCTGCAAACTGAAGCAGGAGTAGGACAATAAGATGCTCTCGTGGCTGGAACGTCGTTGAATTTGGTCAGTGGATAGTCTTATACAAACATATCGGTAAATGATGAACGTACGGTTTCCTGAACACGAAGTTTCCGCCGTCGGCCGCGACAAAGAAGTCCAGGTCCAGCGACGACTTGGTCCAAACTCCACCCTTGGTGCAGAGGAGGGCATGTAAAATAGTCCCATCTAGAAAAACATCTTGTGCGCTGGCGCCGAAATTGTCCATTTCAACGTCAAAGTACCGTCGTTATTGCCAATATACTTGTTGAGGACTCTTTTGTGCTCCTGTCGGACGCCTTGTACTTTGCAGACAACAGCGAAATCTCAGAGCAGAGGGACAAAACCATTGTAAGAATAGGATGATTGCGGGTGGCTGGGCTGCGATGGTACTCGTTCCACGAAGGCTTTGCACCTTATATATTGTTTGACCTTGGTCAATCCGAGCCCAAATTCTAGGATGCAAAGACAGGGAACTGGGTTCTGCAGGAACGCTATTGGCCGACCCCCTGACTGGGCGCCGGGAAAGAAGGGTACGCAAGCCGAGAATTGGCAGGGTGAATGTCGTGCGTGGTTGATGTGGCCACAGGAACACTGGCAATGCTTACGTCGGGCGATGGCAGCAACAGCAATCGGTATGAATGCAGTGGGTAGGGTCCAAGCGAGGAACTCGCCGCAATGACAGAGTGACTGCAACGAGGGATAATCCCCAGCCTGGATCCAGTCGGGGGCTCAGGTTTCTCGAGCAGGTTCCTGAACGAGGCATTCGTCTGCCGCGGAAGGAAGATGTCATTGAACTGATTGACGAAGGTGCCCACGGAGGAGCCGTCAGGCAGCCTCGAGGTTCGCAGGCATCAATATCTGGGCACCAGAAGGTCATAATAGTCAATGCGCATGAAACTGGTTCCGCCTGTGATTTGAGTCCACGGTCGGAGAACCAGGCCAGGCCTGCAAGATCCTGGGCCATGGCAGCGAGTTATACAGTTTGCGGCTACAGGAATTCCGACGAGGGGAACATCATAGGTGAGGGGTAAATTGTCGTAAGATGATAATCAGGCAGAATGGAGAAAGCCAGTTTTTGTCGGTCTTGTGATTTTATCAAGAAATTCGCTGTCTCCGAGAAACCGGGCAGCAATATTTGAATTAGGCAGCATAGAACAGGAATAGCAAGAGGGAGCGAATGGCAGATGCGAATGTAGTGAAACCTCATTGACAGAACAAAGAACGAGTGGAAGGTGGCAACTAAGCTGACTCAGTGGCAGGCAAGCAACGAACGAACGAGTGACTGCTAGGACAAAGGAGAGCACATAGAACGGGGGAAAAAAAAAAAAAAAGAAGAAAAAGAAAATAATCATACATGTGCATGGTCGCGGAGCCAACCTAGCGTCAAAGCATTGACAGTAAGCGGCATTATTGCCTACGTGGGCCACCCTCCTGCAATCCTAGCAGCGCCTACCCCTACTCTTTCCACAACACTCCACACGCCCCGCGTACCATCATACCCAAACCCTTCACCAGGTGCCTGCATGGAGTTGAAACTCGACCACGCTGCACGGTCGTAGTACGTCGCACCTCCGATAGGACCGTATTGTGGAGCAACGTAAGGGCCCATGATGAGATAGACGAGCGCAGAGGCAGAGAGGTAGAGGAGGAAGTGTTTGGCGGTGCCCAGGAACGAGAGTGGTGAGGAGTCACCGCCTGATGAAGGTGGCGAAGGCCCAGTAACTTTGCTGCCATTCGCACCGTATACATACGTATTATAAATGTTATAAAACCGATTGCGGCTCCTTAAACCACCACCAGTCTTCGTGGATGCTTCGATGATCTTGTCAATCACCGAGCACTCGACACCGAGATCTTCCTTGAGCGCACGCCATTCTTCGACAGCGTCCTCGGAAATACCGCCTGGGAGGGGCGAGATGGGCAGTTCAAGCCCCTTATGCCATGTTTTGAGAAGCTCACGTGGGTCCGTCGGCGTGGCCGACGAGGGGGATTGGGAAGCAACTTGGTTGTAAGATGGAGGGAGGTCGTGTGGTTGTAAATGGGGACTAGCCGAGAGCGACGATTTAGGGGTGGGAGGGAGAAGTGTGGAAGAAGACGACGTCATCGCCTCTTCCTCATCTTCCGACGGTGAGGGAACACGTTCCGGGGAAGACGGTTCAACGGGCTGTACTGCTTCTACAGGTATGTCTGTCTGCACCTCGATGCTCGTCGTAATCTTGGGAATAGGCACAGGCTCGGCTTCGGTTTGAATGGATGACGATAATAGACGAGCACCGTCAGTCTGGATGGCGCACACTGAGGTAAGGATGGGAATGGGTGGGTCAGTTTCGACACCGCACGATGACGTGTGTTCGGCCGTGAAGTACTGTGTTGATGCATCCGTATACTCCTTCGTCTCAATGACGGTCTCGACTTTATTCGACCGCACCGCAACTTTCTGTTCCAGCAGTCAGCATACAGGGTCACATCTCAGAAACCAAACAAAAAAGTAGGTCAACGTACCCGCTTCTTCCGGGTAATAATTCTCTCAATAACATCCTCTTCTTCACCCTCCGTATCCCCTCCTTCCTCTGCACCCTCGTCACCGCTTTCATCATCCTCGTCCATCCCCCACTGGGTCCCAATCTTCCCCAACAACTCCGCTCCAAGACTCTTGCTCACGCTGCCTTGCTGACTTCCACCCTGACTCCCCCCGCCAGCACCAGCGCCTGAACCTCCGTGCAAACTCCTCATCTCATCCATCTCGAACCTCATCCTGTCAATCGTTTCCTTCAACATCAAATTCTCCTGCTTCTGTTCCTCCAACTGCGCGTGTGCTTGTTGGGCGAGTTCTAACTCAGCCTCGAGCGCTGCGATTCGGGATTCGTAAGTGTCATGCTCGCGTGCCCATTTCTGGGCTTCTAGCGTTTGGAGAGACGAAAGGTCCTGGAGATCTTTGAGTTCCTGGTCTCGACGGCGGAGGGTATTGCGGTAACGTTCGGACTCGGCTGCGGTACCCCAACGGGGTAGAGGGCAACATCATTGTCAACCCGATATAACGAGGGGTAAGCGATGGACGTACCGCACTGTTCCTGGTATTGTTTTTGGAGGGATTGGTATGCAGAACGTGCATTTTCGAGACTCTTTTGCAACTTGGCAATCTCGCTTTCCAGTGCAGCCATCTGTGTCGAGTTCACCCGCTATAAAATGGTCGAGTCGAGTCAGCAACACAGCTCCCGAAAACAACCAAATGTGAAAAAAAAAAACCTACTTCTTTCGCTCTCAACTCCTTTTCTTCCCGTTTCGTGGCCGTCAGTTCACTCTTCAATTCTTCCAACCTCGCCTGCATCTCTTCCAGGTCCGTATCGTGCTCGTTCAACTTGACTTGGAGCGTCCGTTCTGCCTCCATCAATTTCCTTCCGAGCTCGGTATTGGCTTTTTGGAGGGCATCAAGCCGCTCGAGAGGTTCGAGAGAGACTGTTGATGACGTGGCGCTTCGGTCGAGGACGAGTCCCAACGAAGATTCATCTTCCGAGTCTGAGCCGCCGTCCGAGGATGGGAGCCGTGGTAGTGGTAACGACGACACGCCATCGAGGAACGAGTCTGTCCCGTTTCCTTGGCGAGGGTAGTCGAACGAGGATTCGAAGGAGAGGTCCGGGGAGAGAGGATTAGGTGACAGAGGGTTACGACCGCGGTCGTGGTCCCGGTCAGGTGAGATATAGTGGAAACCTATGGCGTTGAGTGGCTGAGATTGGGCGCGAGAATGAGGACGAGGGAGGAAATGCTGGGAGGGGTAGGATGGGGAAGAGAGATCTGACCGGGGACTCGTTGGATTGGAGGGTGCACGTACACGGACGGAAGTTGACCCTGGTGAGGTGGGGCTTGACGCCTAGATAACAACGAGTTTTGATAGGAATGCACACGTGGTTGAGAAAAATGACGCGTGACATACCTCTGTATCGCTCGAGGCGCCACTGGGGGCACCATCCAGACTCCTACGTCTTCCAGCGGGTAGCGGTCGACGTGTCCAACTCGAGGGGGCTGCCCCGGCGAGTGGCGTCGTCCGTTGTCTTCGTGAGGTATCAAATGCGGAAGGCGGTGGTGCATTGATGGGCGTCTTTGGTGGGACGCTCGGTGGTCGACTTGGGATACGCGACGTCCCGTTCGAACTCTGGCTAGACGATCGCGAAGACGGTGATCCGTGTATGAATGGGTCTCGTCCTCGTCCTCTATTGGCGTGCACCGTCCGATCTTGACCGTCCTCGTCGGAAGAGCTGTCGTGTTCGTCTGACTGGATCGAGGGTGATTGTTGCTGAGGCTGAGAATGGGCGTGCCCTTCCTTCCCAGGTGAATCCCTTGGACTATGGCGCGTCCGTTCGGCGATGAACTGGAGCAGAACTTGCGGGGTCACCTCGATGCCAGGATTACTCGCCAGCAACGCGCGCAGCATCTGCATTTCCTCGTCTGAAAGTAACTCGACGCCATAAAGCTCTGAGAATTGGCGTATAACGTCTGGAAGCACGTCCGCCGAGATGGTCGGTTCGCTGGATTGGTTGAAACGGACTGAGTGGATGTTCTTAAATATATCATATAGTTCCTGCTCGATGTCGCTTATTGACTGTCTGTTTCGCGTGTTGTCCTTCTGTGAAGACATCCCCCTGGATGAGCGCGTCACTCTGAGGATTAAAAAAGTAAACTTGCCATGGGTGTGTTGGGGGGAGAAACGTCGTCCACTTGCTTGAATCCGTTAAGTGAGACCTCGGTGACTGGCCCATGCCACGACTACCAAACACTCACAAACACCACTGTCCCATTGTGTGCCTCAGTCAAACATGTACAATAGGCTCACGGTCAGGTACATAGATTTCGCCGCAGGGACAGGAATAGAAGAGTTACAGAGTGAGGAATGAATAATAGAGAAACGCCATCTGCAGGAGGTTCAATGTGTAAGGTACATGCAGTAAGGATGCAAGATATCGATTGACATCTTCAAGTTAATGGTGTGAAGAAAGGGGGAAGAAATTCCATGATTCGTTTTCGGAGACCAATGCATTCGCGTACCTTGACCCTGACGCGGACCTGGCGACCATTGTACTGCGGCGCACCCGGTTTGAGAGCTCTAGACAGATAACAGTTGTGTGTCGAGCGAAATGGATTCCATAGGGAACGTACATCCTCCCCAGAAATCTTTTAAGCTCTGACCGATTCCGTGAGTATGCTGATATATCGCTGCATCGTACGAGTCAGGGACGTCAGATGAAAATTGTTAGGATGGATATGCAGGATGGGTTGCTCGAATACTCACTTGCATAGGTAGTATTCTCCAACACCTTCCGTTCCACACGCCCTACTAATCGTCCTAGGAAGCGAGCGGAAACAGGTTACCGTGTCACCTGCACTAAGGCGTCCGATGGCAAAGTAAAGCAACTTTGTCCTCCCCGAGGCTCTTGTCGCTTCCACAAAGCGATGTGATTGACTCACTTGCTGTAGCCGCTGGATCAACGGCCATAGACACGAGTTACAACACTCCTGGCTCGCAGCCTATCAACAGTAAGTAATGGGTTTCTGACCATGGGCGTCGACAATACCAATTGATTCTAGTGGGTGCGAGTACCAGGTGGAAGATCATAATGGTGGGACGCGTTGCAATAGTATTATGTGCAGTCTGAGCACAGCTCATCAGGGAGTCGGATTTAGCCAATGGACGGCGTTCGTCCACCTTCATCTCATGAACCAGGCCATCTGCAGTACGGGCGTCGTGATCTACTGGACGGCAGAAAACAACAATACACTCACCAAGTCGCAGGACCCCCGGAATACGGCGTATTATCTGACGCGCCGTACAAAGTTGAGGAAGAAGTGGAACAACGAGTCTTGAGGGTTTTATCCTGCCTTTGATTTTGCTGGACAACTGCATCTGCCTGCCTGCTACAGGCGATCCCAGTCCATTAATGAACTGACGAGTCTGCAGAGAAAGGTGTTAGTAGTGAGAACTCGCCAGCGTGTGGAGTGAAATGGATTCTAGAAGCAACGTACATCTACCTTCAGGAAATATTTGGGGCTCTGACTGGTTTGGTGAGCATATGAGCATGTGTTATTACTTCGCGCATGTCGGGGGTGTCCGATGCAATCTGCAAAATGTTGAATATGCAAGGCGGGCGGCTCTAGTATTCACTTGAAAAGGCATGCTTTCCAACACATTCCTCCACACACGACCTACTTATCATTTCAGGAAGCGCGCTGCACAGGTTGGTGTGTCGCTCGCACAGATTAAGACTGATGGCGGGACGCGGCGGGGAGTACCATCGGCTAGACGCACTGCAAGCTGTGTTTGGTAGATTCAATACCACCTTGCCTTGACAAGCCACGTAGATTATGATAGATGGCCGATAGATACAAAATGTTTCCGTCCACGCCGCATTCCGTTCGATATTCGTAGGATATATGGGATATGTGGTATGAAATATGAGCGCTCCGTCCCAGTCCTGAGTAGAAAGGGTGTGAGCGTGTCAGAAGTTACACGAACCCTCCATAGAGGCACGATGACATCGAGGTCAGAAAGAGACATGCATATACGGCATAACCGGCATGCAACGAGTGTAGCCGGAAGTGTGGTCATTCGTACTCCCCAAGACCGCCCGTCCCACTATGTGAAAAGAAGGGCTGCTTGGAAGTGTCATATGGCCCCGGCGTCTTTCATCACTTTCTCTTAACATACATAAAGTGACACTCACCAGCCGCTTCACCGATCGTGGTTGTCACCACCTGCGTTGCCACCATAATCCTCGTCATCCTCCCCATCCGTCAGCTCTTCACCTTCCCTCACGCCATGGTGTCGGCTAAGACCGTCGCGATGCGCCCACGCATATCCGTCGGTGTAAGGCATCAGACGGAAGGGAAGGAAGAGTGTGTAAAGAGGACTTATGTGGTTTCAAGTATTAATTCCGTCAAGAGGGATACGTCATGGACGAAGATGGGGAGGGACTTACTATCCGCCCTCACCGACATTAAAAAAGAGGGCAAGATTCCTACGTGTACTGTGTGGCCATTTAAATACATAGCCCTCCTATCATACCGGTACATACGTACCCTAGGTCATATGAATTGATGAATGTCTGTTGCCGTCAGTCTTACCGGATGCAACGTGACGAGGCGAGACGCACCTCTCCCCTCTCCTTAGCCCATTTCGTATAAACTTCATGATCTTGTGCCTCGACAGCGGTTTCACCACGCGCGACTCCCCATATGTGCCAAGCGAGCATGATAGCAACAGCGAAGGAAAGAACGAGGCAGAGAATGTAAGTTGTGATAAAGAGAAAGGGAGGAAGCGAATGAGTCCAGACCTGATAGAGACATGAAACGCGGTTGGAAGTACGAGGCGGGATGTAGGAAAACAGAAGGGACGTACGGCGACCGTGAATCCGAATGCGATAAACGCATGTGGGAATCCAAGGATGGTGAAAATGGATGTGGCGAGGACGAGGTATGCCCTACGTCGGCATCAGTTTGCAACCATCTACATCAACGACATCGAATGACGAGTTGAACGGACGCACACATACATGAAAAGGACGAAATGGCGTTCGTTGTATAGGCCTACACATTGATTTATCCCTGTGCATCAGGCGTTCAGCGCTTGACACTGGACATGCGTTCGAGATGTACTATAGCACTTGGGGCAGAGACTTACACTATACATGGTGCATCATGGATACTGGGAGGAGAGTAAAAGGAACTCACGGGACAATGATGATCAAATTTGAGCACGCATCGGTTGCATATGCGGCAATGGTGTGCTCTCTGCAAGGCGTCAAGTATGTGCCCACAGCAAGGGAGAAGTGGTCGGACGTACCTCTGGCCGTGTATCGTTGCACTTCCTACATCGAGACATGCGTGCGCGGACGATGTTCAGGCACAAGCCCCCATTAGGAGGCGGGGCAGCCCAGAGGAATCCGTTGCCATGGACGAGAGACCGGGTGTCACCGACGGACCCGGGCGGGATGGTACAGACGTGGTAGTAATGTCCGACCACGTTCAGTGCAATGAGCACAGAGAAGGGCGCCGTCAGCCATGGGAATGGTAGTGTAGGTTGGATGATGGTAACTACGGAGGTCAACGACGAACTGTCGGCCAAAACTCAGCCGGTGACTTACAGAAGCTGAGGATTCCAACAGATAGCAGGCAGATGGCCAGACAGACAAACCAGGGGCCCGCTGTGCCTGTGATTCTGTCTGCAGCGCGTTCGACGCACCGAAAACAGCGGAAAACTCGACGAGCACACGTCATCGGAGTTGAAGGAAATATACAGGCTGCCATGTATGGACAGTCCTAAATACACGCCCTGTTACAAATCCGTTTGGCCATCGTGCAATCATGCTCCTAGTAGGATGGGAATACAGCAGATAAAGATCTTACGGCCAATGTAGCCGACCCAGTTCTTTCCCAGACTGAAGCTACTATTGAAGGTGTGATTGTCGCACTCCGTAAATCCCGCTGCTGGAGCAAAGGGCGTCGGCACGACCTACGACACTCCAGGCCGCTGATTTCTGATCACGGGTGTTAACTGTACTAGTTGGTTCTACTGCCAGATGGAAGATCATGACAGTGCACTCGATTTGACCCCCGAGAACGGCCAGTGGACAGCTTTTATTCACATTCATCCCACGAACCAAGCTGTCTGCGGTATGGGCCGTCGGGCACCATGCACAACAGAAAGCAGCAATATCTTCATGCGGTCGTGGAACCCTCGAGTTATAGCGTACGACCCGACAACGTTGAGGGAGAAGGACCATTCGCAGAACGAGGGTTCAGAGAATTTCATGCCCACGCATCCGTCGATTCCATATGTTCTCTCCTTGGTCCACCTAGTGGTCACTCGTACTGTCCGTTGCTTTGCCTGCCCTGAGCCAGCTTATTTACCCCCTTCCATTCTCTGTTCCGAATCAGCGGCGCCGTGACTTCTCACACAAGTCTTCCGCTCCCTATGGCTATCAGATTGTTGATAATGGCACTCGATCAGTCGATCTTCAATGGGGGACATTTCGTTGACTATTCCTCGCGAGGCAATCGGAGCACGGGTTGGCATGAAAGAGGGAAAGAAATGATAGTAAGGCTCAATCGGCCCGTAGCACACGGAGAAAGGACCTGCTGAGCGGGAACTTAGCGTGCTGTAGTCAGCCGAGTTTCTGGATTGCTTCTGGGGCCTCGATCACAGAAAGAACAACGAAACCGACAAAGAGAAGGTAAATACGAACAACGTAAAAGAACAAGACGGAGGTGACAAAACGAGACCGAGCCATGGTATGGGTAATCTACCGTGCGTATCAGTATCTGCGCTCGCGATGCACTACTGCTACTACTTATCCTGATATTGGAACGCCGTGACTATCTACACGCATGGTGTCGAGGGTCTCAGGGATGAGGTTGCGAATGGCTTGGCTGATCTCATATTCAGTGGCGACTGACTGTGGAGGTGACCCTCGAAGCCTGCAGGCTGATCTTCATCTGAAGGCAATTTTCAAGATTGTCCTTGCATCCGTCGTACCCTGGATCTCCGGGAACGGATAGTTGCAAGGCCTTTTGTTCTAGCGCAATAACATCGTCCAAATCAGCCACAGTAGCCGTCTAATGAATCCATCCTCGTCTCACGCATTTCGCTAGGATCTGTCCTGTCAGTGGTTGGGCTGGGCCGAGCATTGGCTCGGCGGAGGCGAGGCAGGCGGAGCCGCTCGGGAGGGCGGGTCACCTGCTCGCTCTGACAGGACTGCGTAGGCATAGCAGTAGCATTTCGAACAGTATGTAATTATTGGGCTAAGATTAGAATGGTGGCTGGGCTAATCTATGGCTGTGGCTATAGTGTGAAGAAGAGGGCGTGGTGGGTGGGTGAAAGGAATGACAATTGGGCGAGGAGCTGGAGTGGGAGCAGCGACGGTCTGTTGGGGGGTGTTTGTCTGATGCAGAAAGGCAGGGTGGCAGTGCTTCAGGCTTGTCGCTCGGATGGATGTTTGCTACCGGAGGTAACCGGCATCTACACTATCCATCCTCATCTCACGCATTTCGCTAGGATCTGTCCTGTCAGTGGTTGGGCTGGGCCGAGCGTTAGCTCGGCGGAGGCGAGGCAGGCGGAGCCGCTCACCCATAGGCCGGAACCCTGCGGCTGTGTGCCTGCCAAGTGCCCAACCCCGAGAGTGGAGGCCTCGGTTTCGGATACAGCATTAGCTAGGTGCTGGGACGCAATTTGCTCAAAGGCTCGTATATATACTTGATAGGCTAGTGATTTCCACCGTCCAGCAATGTGAATGATTTCTGGGTTTACTTTCTTGGCAAGGAAGAAGGAGGCTCTGCCAATATGAAAGGAGTGGCCAAAGTGGTTCCCCCATCCCCACGCTGATAGGATGCTGTTGATGCGCTCCATGGCATGGGATTTGACCATGGGACAGGGAAGACCTGAGGAGTCCCTCCATGAGAATAGTGGGTCTGAGGCTGATGCTAGTGTAACCATGGCCATGTTATGAAGGGCTACCAGAGGGCAGAGACTACCCTGTTCGTTCAGGAAAACTGACTGTGATTCTCTGGGTTTGGCTGTTTTGGCTGTGGGTAGGTCTAAACGGGCATAGGGGGAGCCTCTGAGGTCTGTCCCGAAGAAGGCATTGCCTCTTGTGAGATGATGGCTTGGATTGAAGGCTGCATGTGATACTACAGACACTTCACCAAAACGCATCATCCCAAAGAAGGCACATGTCGACATTGCCCAGATACAGGCATCAAATGGGTCTGATAGGGTTAGTGAGGCTTTCAGGGCTGATAGCATAGCAATTGTGATAGGGGGATGAGGAGGGTGATGGCGACACACTCTGAGGTTCTCGAGGCCATGGAGAGACCAATTGATGCACTCGAGGTGGGAGTCATCAAGTGGAGCAGGCCATCCTTGTGCAATGTGCCATGCTCGGACTGCTGATAGGTACTTATGAGCAACAGATGGTGCTACAGGTTCGAATGGCACAGAGGTGCCTGAAATTCCCAATTCAGGTGATGTGGGGTCTGAAGCTGCCCATATGGCAAAGGAGTGTAGTAGTGAGAAGGATGCTGGGAGGCGCTCAGCTTCGGGGATGGAGAAAATGTCACAGAAAATGTGGAATTTGCAGATGCCTGATCCATATGCTGCAGCATCACATAGGGAGGCATGGGATGCAGTGGCTGCTATTTGCTGGATTATTGGATTGGCTATGGTGGCAGAGGGGGGAGTGTTGATGCCTCTCCACAGGAATAGTCGTTCTGCAGCTCTACATTCCAGATGAAGTGGGGATGGATTTAGCTGCAGTGCAGAGGTGTTTGTGGTAGGAGATAGCATCATTCCTATAAATATTCTAACATGTTGGCTAGGTAGGGGGGGATTGGGGGATAGACTTGGGTTGAGGCTGCTGGGAAGCCAGTGAGGAAACCCTTGACGTCGCCACGGGATAATGCATCGGCAATGTTGTCCCGACTGGGAACATGGATTGCCTGCACTGCTACATCTAAGTCAGCTTGGAGAAGGTACAAGTGGTGGAGGACTTCGTTGATCTGATGGCTGCAGGAGCGTCCCTTGTTGGTAACCATCACTACTCCTAAGTTGTCGGAGTGAACTAGTATATTGCAGTGATGCGAAAGTGCAGGTAGGCCAATGTGTATAGCCATTAAAAGGCCTAGCTCTACAGAGACTGCTTTGGCCCATCCTATGTTGAAGGCCTGGTCCAGACTGACCTGGAATCCTGGCTTCCATTTCCATATGGCCCAGTAGGATCCTATTGTAATTCCAATTCCAAAGGAGGAGCTTGCATTGCCCCACCAGTCGATGTCTATTGGGTCTGTATGACTCAGTGATATCTCGCTCTTTGATTGGGTTAATAAGGTATGTATCCATGGTAGATCGCTCCACACATAGTGTGGAGATGCTCGTCGAGCACACTGTGAGCGGAAGGATGTTGCGAAGATGGATAGTGAATGCAGGAAAGGGCAGATTAGTGGGAAGATGCAGGATGCATGGACAAGTTTTCCATGGAGGCTCTTGGTCTCTTTCTGAGTGTGCCGAGAGCCTGGGGCTAGCCAGCTCTCCAGTAGTTGGATGAGACGTGTCCATTTTTCTGATGGTAGAGCTACAGTCTTTGTTTCGAGATCCCAGTTGAAACCAATATACCGCTGGCATGAGGCTAGCGGGTGAGTCTTTCGTTCGCTCCATGGCACACTGGCAGCTGATGTTAGGTTTATGAAGTCGCATTCTGTCCAGGTCTGGTCTGGTGTGCAGAAAACTATGAAATCGTCGACCCATTTTTTTATTAGGCGAAAGCCAGCTTCGTTGCAGATTGCAACTAGCATGTCCGCAACTGAGCCAAATACTCCGGCACTGGATGATAGGCCGAACATTAGCGCTCTGTCTACATACATGAGACCTTGCCATGCTATGCACAGAGCTGCTTGTTGTGATGGGCAGACCGGGACAATGCGGTAAGCTGATTCTATGTCGAAGGTGGCTGCTAAGGAGCCCGGTGGTAGAGAAAGGACCAATGCAGCTGTCTCTTCGAAGGTTCCCCAAGCCGTTGGAAAAAGGTTTGCATTGATACCAGAATTGGTGGATGATGTCAATGGATTGTCTCTGGGAAATGACAGGTCCTGGATTATGCGGAATTTGTCTGAGTTCAGCTTTGGCACTACGCCTAGAGGTGAGGTGTGAAAAGGGCCAATTAGAGCTTCAAGCTTGAGGGGCAAGAAGCCTCGTGAGTAGCGGCCAGCTCTCTGCTCTGAAGTAATGTATGCTTCGATTATAGTGGGGTGGGATAATGCTGAGCTGTGGTTGTCGAAATATACAGGTATGTGCAGGGGGTTCATGAATACCAACATCAAAGCCTGTCCGTAGGCCAGAAAGGATATGGGACCAGTCACTTAGGATATCGTATTTACATAGTAAATTCTCAATGCGGTCGGGTATCAGAGGAGTTGTGATGCAGCGTGGATCAGATTCTGGGGCGGCAGGATGCAGCTCCATGGGATGACTCGCCACAGACTGAACAGCTGTGCACATTTCGACATTCAGGGCCAAATGAGCAGGAGGAGTGTGCAGCCCAGTTGAAGCAGAAGTGACGGCCATCGGGCGCAATAAGGGTATGTTTGCTCTTTCCATTTGATGCGAGGGTTGCAACTGGTTTGCCTGCTGCAGTGGATGAGGCTGTGCAGCTGGATGGTAAGTGCCCTGAGTGGCCGCAGCGAAAGCAACAACCATGATTGTTGTTGGGATGCACTGGCCTTTTACGGGGGAAGGAAGGAAGGTCATTCGGTGCTGCACGCTTGGTGGTGGTGGCTATAGTCAAGCTCTGCGCAGCGAGGAGTGCACGGTTGTTTGCAATGGTTAAGGCCACCATGTCAAGGCCCATGAGGTCATGCTCTGGGTTTGCATGTGCAATCTCGCGCTGTTGTATATCATAGTGCATGGCCACTAGCCAGCTGTGTGATGCACTGATACCGGTGACCACTTGGTGGTGGGATGCCAGGGCATTGGCACGTTCTTCCCCATGGTGGAAGCGAGTACGCTCTTCTGCAGTGCGTGCAGCGTTTATCCAATCTGCAGCAGATATGGACAGTTCATTCGCCCGATTGAGTGACTTTGTCGCAAAGCCCTCCGGTGTGAGGATATAAGCTGCATCCTCGCCTTTCATGTTCACTTTGGCACGGGCCGAAAGGGTTAAGAGGGAGTATGGTACATAACGGTACATTTTGAATGCTTCTTCAACTCTAGACAAGATTGCTGTGGAGCGCCAGTCAGACTGTGCTCGGTAGGTTCAGAGGTAACAATGGGCAAGGTCGTGGCAGTGTAGCAAAGTGGCAGTACGGTGGAAACAGTATTACGGTGAGCAGAAAACAGTTACAGTGTACGGTGACAGTTAAACGGTGTGGTGGCACGAAGGTGATAACCAATCCATTGTTTATGAATAGCATGGGAACAAGGTCAAGACTTACGAAGGCTTAAAGGGCTGACTTTGAGGCCCAGTTGAATTGGTGGGAGGACAATTCGTTTGGCATCCTCCTTGCGGGAGGTGGCGGCTTCGCGAATTCGCTCTAGGGTCATTGCATCGGCCACTAATGGTGTCTGAGTTCCAGCGTTATGGTTGCCTGGGGGAGTGGGCTGCTCCTGGTCGCGTCGGTTGTTGAGCTGATCCATTAAGGCTGCTATAATGGCTTCGTATGTTGCTGGTGTTGGGGGGTCCAGGTTTGTTGTCGTGTGATCAGCCGGTGGGTCGGGGATATTGGCTTGGCTGGTTGACTGCGCTGGTGCGGTCAGCTGGACTTGTGGCTGTGCAGCCTGCGCTGCGTGGGGCTGAGTTGTCACTGAGTCCGATGACTCAGATTGGGTTGGTTGTTGGATGAGCGGCGGAGGGGGTGGTGCTTGGGACTGATTCCTGGTGGTTTGTCTGGTCTGCGGGCGCCCTGGCTGCGACGGCTGAAGGGTCTGATGGGGCGCTACTGCATCAGTTCCGGACACTGTAGTAGAAGATGGTGCACTGCTCGAAGGGTTTAGTTGGAGGCCTAGGTGTTGATGCATTGGGTTATTGTAGGAATAAAAGGAACGACGAGTGAATCGAAAGGAATGACAATTGGGCGAGGAGCTGGAGTGGGAGTAGCGACGGTCTGTTGGGGGGTGTTCGTCTGATGCAGAAAGGCAGGGTGGCAGTGCTTCAGGCTTGTCGCTCGGATGGACGTTTGCTACCGGAGGTAACCGGCATCTACACTATCCCGTCTATTAAACATAGTGCGAGGTCATGGAGGTTCAACGCGTAGCTAGGATAGGTATTTGGACGCACTTGCAACACGTATCGGTGCAACTTAATGGCCGCATTCAGGTTGGCAATTGAATGTTGGTCTTAAAATCCATCCTTAAGGTCTCCAGAGGGCACATAGATCGTCCACAGCTCGGAAAAATATAGTAGATTCGCCCAAGTTTATCCCCACCCGCCAGCCGCTCTCCGAGATTGAGCTTTTCAAGGGAATTGGAGTAGTCGGGGTGCCCTGGGGATCGGAGCTCCAGAACGTATGTCACGAGATCAATAGCTTCGTCCATAGTCGCCTGCCTCCCAAAGGCGCATTGACAGGGTGTGGAGCGAAAAGGCCACGTCAGCATAACGTGTTGAATGGAGTACCCACGTAACTCGGCGAAGAGATTTCGCCTTGCCCTGCTCGGGCATCGTATCTCCTGAGATTGCGAGTGAGGTTGGAAAGAGATTGGTCACGTCTGGAATGCCCTAGTGGACAGAGCTCTAGTGCCGCACGGCTGCGAATGATGGGTTCCTCCAAGTCGGTGACTACCCTCTGACTGGCACATCTATCAGAAAGACAGTGAGCAAGCGAGCGGACTGAAGAATCCCGATCAAGATGCCCAGGAAGATGAAGTTCCAACGCGGCTCAATGCAGCTCAATCGCCTCATCCAAGCCACACATTGCAGCTAGTTCCAGAAACCTGGCCCGGAGGTAACAACCGAGATTGTAAAGAGATATGTTACGATTGAGATGCCCTGGCAGAGAGAACTCTAACGCTGCATGTCCAAGTATGACGGCTTCGTCTAAGTTAACGACCACCTCCTGATCCTCATATCCATCCGAAAGACGGAGAGCAAGCGAACGGAGTGATGAATGTCGATCAGGATGTCCAGAGAGACGAAACTCCAATACCGCACGCTCGAGCCCAGTTGCCTCGTCGACGTCGACAATTTGCCCTCTTCCAGGAATCTGTCATGAAGGGTGTCCGCCAGCTCAGTCAAGGCAACATTCCGGCCATTATGCCCTGGAGGACAGCATTCCAACTGTACCCGCCCGTGGAAAACGTTATCTGTTCAAATCACTGAAAGCCGTTGTAGTGCGAAGACGCGCAGTGGAAATGGTTCTGCCTATGGGGGAAGTTAGGTGATCGGGGACAATACGACTAGGAACACTAGATCTTATGTTTTATCCTTGGAAACAAGGGAGGAGGTAGGATTTCAGAACGCTACCCAAATCAGCAAAGCCAGCAATTAAACAGCGCAAAAGAACCCACAGAAAAAGGCACAAGGGGTAGAGCAAGTCGATGGGCACGAAGTGTGAATACAGCTGCACGGAGGTCAATGCGTATAACACAACGACGGAATGGTAGGGACTTCACCGATACTAGGTGTAAAAAGGGCAAGTTTGTTCGAAGACCTAAACAGAAAACTTGGCTTGAGTAAGTTGTGCAGATCGAAGAACTGAGAAGGGAAGTTCACCAGTACCCCAACGGCCGGTGGACGTTCTTATTTTGGAGAAAACAGGATGCTGTGGCCTCCGGAAAACAAGGATTGATTACCGCCCGTGTCCTACCATTCACCAGGGTAGCCAGCAGGTTTCTGGATTTACGCCCAGTGATGCCCCATACCCATTTCAAAGACAAGTTCCCCTCCTTCGCATGGGTTGACTCGAGGAAGGATATACCGAAGAGGCCAGCGGATGGTGTGCTGTGTATTGCGTAATCACGCGTGCACTAGCTGCTGTGGCTCTCATCGCTCCCGCAGAAGCGATGCGAGAGTCTTCTTCGGAGTCGGCGTTCTTAGTGGTATTTCGACCCTTGCGTCTTCAGGGCTTGCGAATGGCCTCGATCCTGGATGGCTATGCACATACTCCGCATGTGCGTACCCGAAGACAATCACCCCTCCGACCTCACAGGAGATGAGAACAACCGGGTTTGGTTGTTAAGGAATGTAGAAAAGGTACCCGGTCCTCCGGTTAAGTAGCACCTTCACACTGATCATCCTCATTGATGAAACGTTGCCGTCGCCTCCCAAAATTCATCTGTGTATTTCTGGCCAATGTCTGCGATAAACTGGGCACTCGAGTCCCGGTATTTGATTTGCCTCGCACATATCGAAGTTGATCCGGCGGATGGTGTCGGTGCTATACATCCAAGTCTGAAAGGTGAAGGCGGTACCGACGGAAATCTTGTCATTCGCATGCACCTCATTCAAAGCGTTCGGTATTCCGTAGCATGACAACGCGCGAGGCGTCAAGGGAACAATAACCAAAACCACGAAACCACAGTTCAACCGACAAAAGAAAGCACTTGCAATAATGATTCTTTCCGCGCTGTCACACGAGGCCATCGCCAACCGATGTGCATCGTGCCAAGTCTCATACATCGATCCAACACTCGTCAGCTTCGGCGAAGGGGTGTCGCGGCATATGAAGTCGTCGAATCTGCGACGCGCCTGTCAAATGGGTGTGATGTGACGCTGAGCTGGAAAGAGAAAAGATACGTTTAAGACGTGATCAACCCTGATCAACCGCTCACGTACGGCGGGGTCAGCACTGTCGAGTCTCACTCAATCTCGATCTTACCCTCCTCCACGACCGTCCATACCTCGTCATGAACATCGTGGCCTCGCGTCAGGTGAAGTCGAGCCCGCCCTTGAAGATCGTCTTGAAAGCTAAGATATTCCTCACTCCAATCGTTTTCTGTGAACATGTTTTGGATGTACCCTTCATGTTTGATGGCGCCCATTGAGGACGTCAATAAGGTACGTCGATGATCACGGTGGAAGTAGATCTTCCGAGAGGATCGGCTGATTTATATTTTGTACAAAGAGCGTTAAGTTTACAACATGCAGCCGAGGGGGCTATTGTTGAGGGTTCCTGGCTTTGACCACCGATTCGATCGCGTCTCAACGGATCTCATTGCATAAGGGGGAGGTGGCGGTGTCCAGGTCTGGATGCTGACGGCGAGCCGCGAGGAAACATGTGGGATGGAATGGAAACCTTTCACAGATCCGTCTAACGTACCCTCGTTCCAACGGATAGTTTGTGTGACCATCTATCAGAATGTACACGATAAGCCACTCAGTAGGGGATGCGGGCCTGAAATCGTGACTTGCAGTGCCCAACTAGCCTAGTGACCTCCTACCTTTGTAATATCCTCGACGCCCAGTCATTATGCATTACAATAAGATGTCTGATCTATAGCGCCCTCGGCAGCCGGTTTGATCGCATCTCAACGGGCTGGTGACAGTGGCGTTGTCCGTGTCCACCCTGAAGCTTCTGAATGCCAACGGCGAAGCGTGACGCAACTCGCGCAATGGAGTGGATATGGACGCCCTCTACAAGCTTCGTCGACGGCCACTATCTACGAACACTCACGATAAGCCACTAGGTGCGTCCAAGGAACGCGAACAGCGACTCGCAACACCCAGCTAGCCTAGCGATCCCTTACCTTTGTGATGGCATCCTCGACAACTGCACAATCGTCATCATGCATTACTAGGACAAGGTATCCGGCAGGGTGCGGGGATTCCAGCAGTGTTAGGGAGACCCACACTGCAATAAAAGCTGTATTGGGGGCATGGCAATCCGAAACACTAGCACCCTGGGAGGCCGACGGGTGGGGTCTGCTGACTAAGACTAATAATAGGGATTTCGTATGTTTCCTGGGTGGGAGCTGGAAGTGGCCAATCAGGAGACACCATCACTCCGAAGACGTCGCGCTCCGTCAGCCGCTCTCATCGCAGTAAGCATCCTTCACACAGCGTTGCAATCTGATATGACACAGACCCGGGTGACTTGGTCACTGTGGTTTCACGTGCAGCGCTATCTGCATTCCCCACTTATAAACCCACGGAGGGCCACGAGTAGCTTCAGTACAATTTCCCCTTCTTCCCTTTACCCTCAAGGCGCACTTCTCATCTCCCCGCCTTGTGCCCGACATGCAGGACCTTACTATCATACCGACAAACTCGACCACTGCCACTATCCACGTCGTTCCGTTTCCGAACGCAAAGGAATCGGTCGCTGACTTTCCCAAGAAAGAGTCCAGTGTAGACCCCTTCTTGATACGCTTCTACGAGAACGATCCTGACAACCCGAAGGTGAGCCTGGAAAACACTTCCCTTGCACTTGCTGACCATCCATTCGTAGAACTGGTCATCGGCGAGGAGATGGTATCTAACGATGTTCTCAGGCCTGCTCGTCCTCAATGCGTACGTGTGATTTCTCGGCCTTCACCCCTATCTCATCACTCATTCACTACGTCGCCTCGACCACAGTACTTTTGCAAGTAGCGCCCCATCAGCAATGCTGCCGGCATTGATGGAGCACTTCACGTTCTCTTCCGAAGTGGGCAACCTCGTTGTCTCGCTCTTCGTCGCAGGGTACTGTGTAGGTCCGCTAATATGGGGTCCACTATCTGAACAATACGGCCGGAGACCCGTCTTTGTGTCTACATTCTTTATATATGTCGTACGTCGCTCCACCTTCTGATTCTCCCAGTGCTGATTTCGAAATCCAGCTTTTCGAAATGGCATCTGCGCTCGCCAAAAATACTGGTTCATTACTTGTATTCCGGTTTCTCGGAGGTGTATTCGCCGCTTGTCCGCTCACCAACTCTGGGTAAGTGCTCACCAGCCCCCCTCATACACATCCTAAATGTTGGTTATCCAGTGCTCTGTTAGGTGATATATGGGATCCAAAAAGGCTCGGCATTGCAATGTCTGTCTTCTCGGTTGCTCCGATCGCTGGACCGGCTATTGGCCCGCTCGTGGGCGGCTACCTCGCTCAGAACAATGTGTCGTGGCGGTGGCTATTCTGGATTCTCACCATCTTTGTGAGCAATTTGTCTGGTCGATGCGTACCTTTCGCTTACTGATGACGTTAGGCTGGTGTATGCTGGGTCTTCATCGTATTGACCCTCCCAGAGACATTCCAGTAAGTAGCCTTCTTGAACAAATCGTGCATGGTTGCTAAGGAGCATAGACCTATCATTCTCGTACATAAAGCACGGGACGTGAGGAAGCGGACGGGTGATAACAGATATTACGCTCCCTTCGAACTACGAAAACTCTCTTTCGCGCAGCGTATCGAAAGTATCTTGGCTCGTCCCTTCAAAGTGTTGTTCAGCGAACCGATGCTTATGGCTATCACGGTGTATATGAGTGTAAGTTCTTTCTTTGTCGTCATATTACGTCCCCCGACGCTGACGCCCTGCTATCTGACCTGGTAGTTTGTGTACGGATGCCTGTATATGTTGTTCGAGGCATACCCCATCGTCTTCACCGAAGGGCACCAGATGAGTGCTGGTTCGACGGGACTGACATTTCTCCCAATCTTAATCGGAGGAGTGTTCTCCGCTGTCCTTGTACGTCCACTTGTTCACCTCAATACCCTATCTCTCACTCTAATTAATGGCGGACAGTACGTCGTCATCTTCAACCCCAGATACGAACGTAGAGCTCAAGAATTCGCCCCAAACCGCGTTCCTCCGGAATACCGTCTGGAGATGGCGATGGCTGCGGCCCCTTTCTTTGCCATCGCCTTTTTCTGGTTCGCTTGGACGTCTTATCCTAGTATAAGCATTTGGGCACCCTTGATGTCTGGATTGTTAGTAGGGTGGGGCGTGTGCTGGATCTTCGTGAGTGTCACCGTTTCATTTGGGAGTCGTTGGGCTGATTGATATTGACGGCGATGATTGTAGCTCTCGCTCCTGAACTATATTATTGACGCTTATTTGATGGTTTCCGCGTCCGCGTTGGCGGCCAACACAGTAGTCCGGAGTCTCGTTGGTGCTGGATTCCCGGTACGTCCATCTCATCACCCCATATGCGATTCGACACAGCGCTGATTGGTCAACAGCTCTTCGCTGACCAAATGTACAACAAGCTTAATCCCCGATGGGCATCAACACTGTTAGGCTTTGTTGCCTTGGCTATGGCACCCATCCCCTTTGTGCTGTTCAGATTTGGTCCAACGTTGAGAATGAAGTCCAAGTACGCACCTTCGGGAAAGCCTCCAGCGGCAGCAACTAGTGCAGCTTGACGGATGTTTGTAACATGTGGACGTGTGGGTGCGGGTGGAGGAACATTTGGAAGCTATAAGATGTGGCTCATAAAGTCCGGGTGCTGGAAACCCTGTCAATATTAAGACCATTTTGGACCAGGACATATATATTTTATACACACTAGTAAACGTAGCTCGTTCTATTCATACACATAGTAATAACATTGTATAAACACGAAGACTTGAATGGCCTCCCTGGCTTTGAAGCATCGTCAGTTTAATATGGCGCTGTCCAAAGAACTCAACAAGTTGCGGCAGAGCTCAGGTTGTACATCAGAACCCGAAACAGTTGCGGCTGAGATCAGATGAACAGTGGTCAACTTGATCTCAGTGGCAACACTACTCGCGATTCCCTGTGCCGCCAGATAAGGGTGAGCGATCTTGCAGAAGAACTGACTGCAGAAAAGTATGAGGATCGTGATCGTTGCTTCCAACATGACGCACCAAGCACTGGACACCTTCAACTTGGTTTACCGTAGCGTTCACATACGTTAGCCCCATGCCAACCGGAATAATTTCACTGCAATCAAACAGTTAAGGCGCGCATCCTCTTAACTGTGTGGTTCGGAGGAGTAGGAATGAACAAACTTGATACAAGCCAGGAATAACCCATAGCATTTGACCGCCCCGGATATCCTAACCGTTGTCCAACTCGGTGGGAAAAGTGGTGTGTGGGAATACGTCCCGCCATGTTAAATAAGTCAACAAGTCGCCATCTACCCGCTTCGGAAGATAGCACCGACGCACGGCGATCCATACCCATCGGGGGACGGGCTCATCAAGGCCAGTGTAAAGAGACACGACTCAGTTGCGGAGACCACGGTATCTGGATGCTGGCTCTCGACTGAAAACCTCAACAACTCTCGTTGGATTTGGCATTATCACCGAAGATCTAGCTATCTGAAAAGAATCGCGCCAGATTCAAGCGTCATCACTTTCGACACGAGGTAATGAGGAAGTACTCACGAGGACCTTGACTGGGATGAGAGACTAACCTGATTTAAGAGAACGGAAAACCACGACAGACAGCTTGTAAGATGCATACAAAAAGATTGGAGAGTTTTCAGATTTCAAAGCACGACTCCTAGTCTTTCGTCGAGGGATGAGCACGACACTTGTCGAAGACAAGGATGGTAAGGTTTACAGCGTCAACCCCACAATGTAACTTTTCCCAAGCCTCCTCTTGAAATGTGGGTAGCGGGGTCGGAACCTGGCCATAAAACAGGTTGAGCCGATCTCCCGCGACTGGAGACCAGTGACCATTGCGTTTTGTTCTGAAACGTTTACAAATGGCGAATACTGTAGGGATTGAAGCAGAGTTTGAAATTGAAGCAGGGGAGCTCTCATCTCAATACGGATACCCCTTTCACGATCTTGTAGATATGATGTTGCAGGAGGTTCCCCCAAATGGTAGAACATGCGTCTTGAAGCTTGCTGAATAGCTATTGGCGTGATTCATCACGCCGCAAAGTGCGTGTCTGTAAAAACTGTCATGTCTTGGCCTAGGAATAACAGAGAATTGAGAGTTCGAACCATGTTAGGGCTCTTAAACTCACCAGAGCCCAAATTGAGACCCTGGCATCTTTTCCCACTGCGACAAGCCGCTGATATTCCAGAACATTTACTGGCTTTTGCTGTGATTTGCTATCGTCGTTGTCGTCTTCGACTACATCACACGACTTATGCTTGACGGGGTAAAAGCGAGAGCTTTAGTTTGGGTAGTCTGGTGACCGGGTAGGGCTAGGCTAACTTGCACTCAACAGTACCGCAAGTAAATATCGACAGTGCACAATGATCGTTAGAACTACAATATAATGCCGCAGGTCACAGCCAGCGGCGACCCGTAGTACTTGAGAAAATTATGCGATCCAACAGAGCGATGACTCCATCTTGTCAAGCACAATCGGACGCGCCACGAACCACTACTTAAATGAAAATCTCCAGTAACGATGATGGACTATTAATATTTTTGATCCGGGACGACGGGCTGATGATGAAACAACACGATGCGTATGGAAGAAGGGCGCCGAGGTGCGGGTGAGTGTCCAACCCGTATAATTGTTGCAGAAAGGAATTTCCCCTCGGCATCCACTTCATAGGACCTCCGTCCACGCGTGCCTATGAAACCTGCTGGTTGCAGCAATACAGACGACGTGGTACAACTGTGCACATGCCTCCAAATTGACTAAGACCACCCTCAAACACTTTCGCCTCCGCAGGTGACTACAACTCGTAGGTGGTAAAGTAGCATGACTTCGAGCCTAATGTAGTGACAGAACAAACAGCTGAAGAGTTTGAGACAGTGTTAAATGTCTGAACCTTTTCAGCGTCAACTCCTTGCTCGATACGTGTTCCCCACGTGAACCCAACAATCGCCGTTGTTCCTATACGTATAAACACGAATGTACGGCTTGCATATCCATGCCCCATGATGGAGTCCCTTGCTACTATTTCTGCGGAAGGGTTAGAGTTCGATCCCAAGGGCTACATGGTCATCTGGCAGGTATAACTCATCTAAAGACTCCACAATCTCAGATTTTCCGGTGTGACGAGTCTGTACGGTTCGTGGTTGCGCATTTCTACGCCGCTGACAACTTGAATATCACAGCAGGTCCCAGCGCCGGATGTGATAACAAATGTTTGAAAATATGTCCCCGCCACTCCAACTGGTAAAAACACAATGCATGAACCTTTAAATAACGTACTTATCGAAGGCAACACCACTGCTGTACTAATTTTTCACCCATGATCCGTCGAAGCACCATGCGACAAATAGAGCAGTGACTTTGGCTGACGAGTGTCATTCGCCACCGGCCTTTTTCCTTGTGCTAACTAACCTGCCTCGTGGCTTCTGCAAGGCAAAACACGTTGACGCTTCTCACTAATACCGAGCTCCACCCCATTCTCTTATGTGGAAGTTGACGAATGGGACTCCGAGCTCTGAGCGAGCAAAAATCTCCGATCGTTCGTCCAGTGACACCCACAGCACCGCATTTCTTTCATTTTACTCTGGCAGTCATTTGGACTGCATCATTTATCACAAAGGCGACCGCAAACAGGCGACGTGGCCGCAGTAAAATTCCGGTTTTCACTTTAGGATGGAGCCCAAAAACCTCAAGACTTCCCGTTTCGATCTTTTCACCTGACAACGAGGTGACCCCACATTCTCCTCGTGGCAATCTCACATTGCGCAGGCCACATAATGGGCTTTGTGAGTGAGCGCTGTCGTCGGAAACCTCTACTATTCCGACGTCATTCATGTCCTTCAATCCTGTAGACGTGTTGCTTAAAACCGATGTTCCTCTAGAATCGCAGGAGGAAAACTGTATTTCTCAACAAAGGCCAGATATTATGGGTCACCCGGACCTTCCAAATTCTCCGCTCCATCGGCGCTCATCGCGCTCCTCAACCAAAAATCAACGAGGGAGAATGAGTGACTCTGCGAAACGCGAAAAGTCTCGTTTCCCTTGGGTTTCTCGGTCGTCGCCGTCACCGTCATCTTCGGCAATCTCCAATATGACCCCGAGCTCATCGTCCAACGATGTTGATTCTACTCGTGACATCATTTCATCCCTCAGCGTCCGCTCGCCGTGCTCCAGCAACTTGTCACACCTCCCGGCAGTTTCCCCGCCAATAAATCACTCCCGCCGCTCTCCACCTCCGGGTTCTTGCCCGGAGATGACGACGCAGAGCTCGAGTACTCTTCACACTTTCTCTGTTATGCTTCCGCGTACTATCCTACCTGAGATGATTACAGTCTCTGCTAAAAAGGGCGACAGATTGGATGTAGTAGCAGATGCATGGCACATGGAGCATGACTGTGAGTACAACGTTTCTAGGTGTACTTGTCGCACTCAACAAGTCGGTCCACGGATAGGTCATTACGGGTGGGAAATCGGTTTTGCACCTGGTGACGCGGACATGTCTACCGTTCGTGCTAAGTTAAACCCGGACGGCGAACTTACCATCGAAGTCCGGCGGCGTCCATTAGGACAGACTTGTTTACCTCCAACGGGAATGGGACCTAGGTACAGCCTTTGATTTCCGTCGCCTGCCTGCCTGACGAACATATCTGGAGTCTTCCAATTTCCTCGCCCGGGATCTATTGCACTATCTCCAACGCCGATGGGCACGCTTAAGTGGTATGTACTAGTGGTCGTGTATCTATTGTGGTAATTCTAGTAACGCATGGGGAATTTATACCTGCTGCCTTATACTTATCGCGGTGCGCTAAACGGATACAATATTATCACTTGCCTAATATTTTTTACTGAACTCCGCTGTCTCCGGCCACTTGTATGTGTGATATTTTCTGACAATCAAATATTTCGCGCAGTTCTCGTGGCGGGACCACGAGTATGCCAATGTGAAAAGCTGGAGTTGGCCTGTCACCGGTGCCACCCACTCCTGGAGAGGCAGTGGCAGGCCTCTAAAACCGTCAACATCTCGAGCGAAGATACTCGCCTGTATGGCGTGTTAAGTACCAGCTGTCTAGCTAACAGGCGAAGGGCTCCTTGATGCAGCCGAGTTTCCACAATATCGCACGTCAGGGAAACGGAGATGTGGGACCTTGGTGAAAGCTAGACCCTGAACGTTCGACCATAAGCATTGCAGAAGAGGAATTCTGACGACTGTCTTGGGGTCATTATCGGAGAACGAGTACAAAACAAGGGAGAGGGATGGAAAGGATATCCATCAAGAACTGGCACGTACATAAATCAATCCCCAATGCCGCTTCCTCAAGGTTCTGCGTTCTCCGGCATGGTAGCATCGCCATGACACTGGGATTTTGAGCTGTTCTCTTGGAGAAGGGACACGAACCTTGATGCTCGTATGCATGACGCCGCGTTGTTTGTGGTGGGAACTTAACTCTGGCAGATGGAAGAGCACTTGGGTCTTGCATACCCGTCCTCCCACTGGACCCTGCTTGTGCAATGCGTTTACGAAACAGCAGGTACTCCCACGTAGCTCAGGACTCCTCTGTTTCGCGAAAGAGAGTATATCACGGTCACTCTGATAACGTGTAAAAGGCCCTGGGGAAGTTCGTTGTCAATATGCTGGTAAGCCACAGAAGGACGCCACCAAGCCTTGGAGCAGTGCCTTCAATTGATGGATGGCGTAGTATACAGACCAGTGACGTCAGGTGCGACAAGTAACCTCCGCGATACCTTTATCTAACGCCGGGACCTCGTTGGTTACCTGTTGCAGTAGGGCTGGGGACAGGAGGTAGGGACACAGCATGGTGCTCAGTGAGACGGACGAAGATTCGGGCATGCACACGTACGGTTACACACACTAGCCTACCGTGTAACTTTCTACGGGCTCAGCTCATCGCTCGCGAGGTTCTTTCCCACTGTTCCACTGTGCAGGAGTCTCGTATCGAGTCAGCCGTTATCGCAAACTTGCGTTCTGAACGCCACTGAACTGTTCCACATCAATGAAGATTCACTAACATTGCAGCCGTTCTGCCACACACCTGTCCACTGGGAAACGAGCTAATAACGCCGCATCCATGTACTTTTGCCTGTCTATTGCATGCTTCCATGGTCATAAGTGAGGAAGGTCAAGAATTGGGGTGCACCCTAAACCCGTGTGTACCGCCGCGAAGCAGTGGTCGAGGGTTTCGGAGGAGCTCTCGCTCAAATACCACTCCATTCGACCAACGGGCTGTGACTCCAGACCCTATGGCACTCACCTTTGTAGATTATTGTCAATGTACGGCCTCTGATGGAATATTCGCTGCCATCACAGAAGTCTCCAGTCTCGATCTCAGCTTACTCTCAGCACTGCCGGCAGTTGACTGCGTACCAACACACGCTTGACGAAAAAACCAACGGAATACACATATGTGTCGGAAAGGGAATGCAATTGTATATGAAAGCCATTTAGATGGGGGACGTATCACACGCACTATCCGACTTCGAAGGGCCAGTATGTAGTTACTCTTCCTTTACTCTTGCTGAGGACGAGCAACCAACTTTACACCACCTGCGTCGCCTTCTTTCATCCTCCTCAGACCCTCCGGGATTCCAAGTAGCCCATCGGGTAAAACTTCGAACGGGCCCGGCTGAAGGACAGGAGATTAGTACCATTCCGATTCGATATATCAACATTCAAACCTTTATGATCTCATCCTCTAGCCACTGTTCCAGGACTCTCCATGCCTCCTGACATAGATCCTTGTTCGCTGGAGCGTGGGGGGTCCCTTGAACTACCACAACTTTACGACCTTTATCCTGATCCTCCTCGACGGCAGGTTGAATGGTCACAACTAGCGTCCCATTGGACGCAAGAACATCAAAGGCAACCCGCTGCGTCTCCGGCAAAGCGACTGCGTCGTACGCAACATCGATTGGGGCTGTCGTGATACTGGCGATGACTTCCTTCTGTTACCCACTAGAAAGGTGCCTGTCAACAACGTGAGTTGCTCCAAGCGCCCTGAGGTTTCCCTCGTGTGTCCCAGATGCAATGGCAATGATAGGAGAGAATCCCGAGCAACGAGCTAACTGGACCACTGCGTGGATCTAAGACGCATTCCTACCTCACAGGTTCTTCATCCCTTATCATAAGACCCGACAGAGGAAGACGTGCCGGAGACTAAAATCGGTTTTCCCGAGTATCTGTCCTTTCCATCTTCCGTCCATGGCGGCACGAGCCCTGCGCCGGAAGTGTTGGAGTACAGACCTACTGCTGCCGTGTTGAAGGTTAATGGCATAGTAGCTGCCTGGTTGTAAGTCAAACTCGCAGGGATCTGCAAGTACGTCACCAGTCAATTGGGAAACCCGCGGCACAGAAGGGCACGTATACGCATCCCAGCTGTAAAAATGGACGTTGTGAGTGCGTATTGCTGAAAACCTGCTTGGTCGTTTGCCCGGTTTCCACATGCAAATCTGTTTGCCGTATGAAACCAAGGAAAGGCAGCCCGCAAGGTGTCGAAACGCTTACACTCTCTGGCCTTTTGTGAAACCGGCGATTCCATTGCCAACTTCCACTACCTCGCCTGCTATGTCTGACCCCAGTACGGCGGGGTACACACTGACGTGGCCTCCGCCTTGTTGAATCTTCCAGTCGATATTGTTCAGAGTGGTCGCATAGACCTTGACCAACAGTTGCCCCGGACCAGGGGTAGGGATCTCACATTGACCTACAACAAACTGACCTTGCTTTGATTCTAAGAAGAGCGCTTTCTGTAACTGCGTGGCGGTAGTGATCCAACGTCGATATGAACGATCATACAATTGATAAGCTGATATGATCTCATAATAGAAGCTGCTTGTCGGGTAAGGATCGGGTGCAAACCGATTAACGATGGCTGTTCTCCCACTACGGCTGGGACATCGATTAAGTTTACGATGAGCCTGGAACTCAGCTCATAACGCCGTCAGTGTGAGTACTACTACAGTACCACGTTTCCAACGAGGGTGGTTGAGTATTAGGGTGCGTGGTAGTGGGTAAGGGTTACGGAGGAGATACTGACACAGTCGGTGTTCTCCCTCAAATACCATCCAGTGGACTTCCATTCTAACCTGCAACTCGCCCCCACCTTTGTAATTGCCAACATACGGTCTCCGGCGGGATACTCAGTACTAGAACTGATTTTCAAAAAAGCTCAAGTCTCGACCAAAGCGCAGCTGACTTTGCTGAAACGCTTAGGTCGACTCCACCCTAGCACGCACTGAGACGCGTCTGAATGAAAACGAACACGATATTCTAGGACGAATGAACTGGACAGGTAAGAAGCGGGAGAACATACGCGCGAAAGGGCGATGCTATCGTACACTGGAAACACTACCAACTTTGCAGGCTCGCTTTACCTTTACTTTTCCTGAGGATGGGCGACCAACTTTACGCCCCTCACTTCGCCTTTCCTCATCCTCTCTAGGCCCTCTGGAATGTCATGCAGTCCTTTTAAGTCTTCGAACTTGTTCGGCTGTGAGGAAAAAAGTCAGCGACCTTGCGATGCAATATGTCGGCGGTGCGACCTTTATGATGCTGCGGTGTAACCAATCCTCCAGGTTACTCCACAGACCCTTACATAGGATTTGATTCGCGGGATGGTGAGGACTCCCGTAAGTTGCCACGACTTTGCGACCACTGGCCTGACCCTCTTTGACGACAGGCTGAAGAGTTGTAACCAGAGTCCCATTGGGCGCAAGGACGTCAAAGGAAACCTGCTGTGTGTCCGGCAACGAGATAGCATCATACGCAATCTCTATGGGAGCTACCGCGGTGCCGGTAATGGCTTTCTTCAACTCGTCGCTGTTGCCGTGCCTGTCAATGACGTGGGTTGCTCCAAGCGATATGAGGTATTCTTCATGAATTCTGGATGCAACCGCAATAATGGGCGAGAATCCCGAGGCACGAGCTAGTTGGATCGCTGCGGTGGATTTGTCAAAGACGTGTTCAACATCTATATTTCCTCAACTCTTACTGTAGCACCCCACGGAGGAGGAACCGCCGTAGACCAGAATTGGTTTTCCGGGGTATTTTCCTTGCCCACCTTCCATCCACGGCGGCGTAAGTCCGGCGCCCAGGGTGTCGGAATACAGGCCTACTGCAGCCGTATCAAGGCCTAACGGCACGGTAGCTGCTTGATTATACGTCAGGTTTGGCGGGATCTTCAAGCACACATCGTCAGTAAACTGGAAACACTGCGGCTGCCAGAGCATGTGTGCGCACCCCGGCGGAGAAAGTGGAAGTTGTTAGCGTATACTGCTGGTAACTGGCCTGATTTTCTGTCAGGAGTCCATGCGAGAGGCTGTATATCGTGCAATGCTGAGAAAGGTAGTTTTTCTTTCGACATTGTCAAAATGCTTACACCCTCTGTCCTTTAGTGAAGCCGGTGACTCCTTGACCTACTTCCACCACCTCGCCTGCAATATCCGATCCCAGTACGGCGGGATATCTATCAACGAAAATCCCAAATTGCTGGATCTTCCAGTCGACAGGGTTAAGAGCGGTCGCGTAGACCTTGACCAACAACTCTCCTGTTCCAGGTGTAGGCACCGGACGTTTCCTCACGACAAACTGACCTTGCTTTGACTCCAAGAAGAGTGCGTTCTGTTGTTGCATGGTCGCAGCGAGATACACTGTCGAGACAGGGGTATGAAATGGTTTTATATGTCGAGTCCAATTTGTAATTACTCTACATCATAGTCTCTATTTGCCAAATGGCCAACCGCCATATTCCATTTCGGCTCGCCTGTCTAGCTCGATATGACGTGCCATGACGAAAGACCGTAGGAATCTTGTGGCCATCCTGAGTCGGATATACCGCATTGAAGGCGTTCTCCTAAGACCATTCACTTGCTGATGATGATATGATGGTGATGATATGAGGTCAAGGTCACTGACGAGATAAGATAAGATATGCTATCAGACACGAGGAATTTTCCTAATTTCTACCTTTCAGTTTCTGGTGGGCGTGCTACCAACTTAACACCATCAGTTTGACCTCCTTCAAACCGCTCCAACGCTGCACCTATCCCCTTGAGACCCCCGGGTACTGTTTCAACGTGATTGGGCTGTGAAAGGGTCTGGTCAGCGCTGTGTACATGCATGCTGAATTACGAGAGGCTTACCACAATCTCGCCCTTTTCGAGCCACTTAGACAAGTGCAACCAAAGCTGCCTGCCCGTTTCCCAGTTCTCTTCCGTGTGTGGGTTCCCATTGGTGTGAATCACTCTGTGTCGGTCGTCGATCACAGAGGGCAATGTCACCACGAGTCTTCCCTGGGGACCAAGTAGTTGCCATGCCGCTTCCTGTGTTTCGCGAATGGAAACTGTGTCGTATATCACGTTTATTGGAGCATTGGTTATCCGCTCCACAGCCTGCTTCAGTGCAGGAAACGGGAGATATCGATCGATGACATGCGTAGCGCCGAGATCCTTCAGATAGTTCGTGTGTTTAAGCGACGCCGTCGTGATAATAGGGCAAAAGCCGGACATTCTTGCCAGTTGTATCACTAAAGGCAAGATTATGCTCAGGAACCCGCCGCCACATCATATGCCATAGAACGGAATTGCTTACCATAGTTGCCGACTGAGCCTGCGCCGCCGAATATCATAATAGGCATGCCTCTATACTTTCCAAGTCCGCCATGCTTCCACAGGGGCACGAGGCCCAGGCCGTTCGCCTTCCCATACAGCCCAATGCTTGCTGTTGCAATGCCTAGTGGCAGGGCTGCCGCTTGATCGTAAGACAGACTGTCCGGAATCTACGACGGTCCCGTTAATATCGAGGAGGATCTAGGATACAGACGACGGTAATTACCTTCGCAGCGAAGTCGACGACGGCAATGGCATACTGTTGGAATGTTGACAAATCATTGTCATCATAAGCCCCGTGGAAGAAGCTGTTGAATGAGATCAATCTTCTTTGCTCTCTAACCAAAAAGAATCACCAAAGTGGCTTACACATCATCCCCAGGGTCGAATCGTGTCACCCCTTCCCCGACTTTTTCAACGACGCCTGAACCGTCGCTCCCAAGGACAGCGGGGAACTTGGTGACGTAGATTCCACGTTTCTGAGCCTTAGCATCGCTAGGATTCAGAGCTGTAGAACGGATTCGGACGAGGATTTCGCCCGGTCCTGGCTCGTTGGTTTCACGAGCGCCAATAACGAAAGGAGACTGCCTTTGAGGCAGGATCAAAGCCAAGTGCTTTCCAGTCATGACTGAGTAAGAGTGTTCAAGTTCGGGTAAGGGTATCCAGGAGTTGTTGTCCGATAACACAGAACCATGGGCTTTATATGCTGTATTTATGCTGCATTAGCATTGCCTCGGCTCACGGCGGGTATATTAAAACCTCGTGTTGGCCTTGCTGCGTAGGGACACCAGGGATCTAAGTGGGGTATCCCAGAGTTGCCGTGAGCCACTGGTCTGGATCATTGCCGCCGCGGCCCAGGGTAACAGCCTTGCCATAAAATGGAGTGGAAAGCAGATACACCATCTGCAAAGCAATGCACTCGATCCTGTAAGGCTCGCTTTTTGCCATTGCGCAGCCACAGAATGTTGAGATGGGACGATGACAACCTCCCTCAATTTCGAGGTCGGTCACCAGCGAAATATTATTGAGAAGCGGAAACGACCCGTCGATAGGTGGCCTTGCCGTGAGTTCCGTATCTGTAAGCAGAAAAAGAGGATTGAACCTGAATCATGAGACACTCTTGGTTCAAACAGGAACGGCACGGTGTCGTGGATACTATCCGGCCCAACGTACTCCTCAAACACGACACCGTTGGTGTACCGATGGCATCTTGGAGGTGTATCAAGTCTTCTTTGAATGAGAACGTGACTGCCCTCGAACCTGTGTATGGACATCGATAGATATTGAACTCAGTAACCTTTGATCCCACTTGCCATTGGGGAACGGGGGTACGGACGAATTTGGATCGACCACGAGCTATTCGTGATGTAAGTAGACACGCCAACTACATCCCAAAATAACTAGTCCAGGTTAGCAGAAACATCCACGTTGCAATAAGCGCATCCCCGGAAAATGTATTATAGAACATCACTTGACTCTTTCTACTAGGAAAAAATATCGCAGACTGAGCGGACATGAACGAACACCACCTGTTTCGCGCCGTTCAACGACAGATGATGTTACATACACAGCATCACGATATACGATCATTATCCGTTAGCTGAAAGCCAAGCATGGTGGGCGTTCATCGACTCAATCAGCATCATCCCAAGTGTGGGATCATCTCGCACGATGGTGATATTGCCATCTTCTTCGCCCCGGTGGGCCGAGGTGATACTTCTAGTGTTGGAGGATCGTTCCTATATTGTGTAGGCACACCTAACGGACGCCACTATGGATCCACGAAATCTCCCACGCGTCCCTGGTAGAGCCAAGACGTTGTAACGCACTTCGGACGAAACTCCCCCTTGTGATTAACAACGAACTTAAATGACACGTTAATTCACAGAATCGTCTGACACAGAATCCACTCGGTGTTGCAAATAAGTGGCGTTGAAGCACGAACATGCTCACAGAAAGAATCAATGCCTCAACCTGAACAGGGTCGTAAGTGGTCACAAGGGCATCACAGGATTTCAACGCCCCACACGCACATGTAAAAATCCGATGTACTGTACACACCTGCGTTCGCGTGGTATCGGACAACAAACACTCACCGATCTGGGAAAGCAAAAGTCTGGTGGATTACGCAAGTGATTCGAGGGTTGTGGTGTGGAGCAACGGTGGGGTTTCGCTATTTTTCTTAGAGATTCCGAGCAGTGCGCGGAGTGGAGACGTGGAGGATCCACTGCATCGATAGGCTTAACGCTGCAGGTGGGGTTTGAACGCCTAAAGAGTGCCATCGGAATCCACACGCACCCCTGAGTGCCACCTACTTCTACAACACTAGGCAGAACACTAATGTGGCATTCATTCAGCAGGACGCACATACCGTGCAAACTTAGTTAACGCTTTAATTGCTCGAAACGTGTTTCCAGGAAGTTCCTGCCGCTGACATCGCATGATGTCAGGTAGCAAGTCATTCTTTGAAATGACGGAAACCGGTGGCAGTGGATACTCGTTTTCTGAAAGGCGTTACTTAGCGTGATGTTATCCCGATTCACGCTCACGCCCAGCGACAAAGCCGGCAGACTTACGCTTATAACACATGGGCAGTAAGGAACGTGCTGCCGTTTACTAATAAGCACATAAGCAGAGCAGCCAGAACACATACAGCCGCGGCTGGATTACTCATCTTTGACCCCACCTATATCGCATGCTATTGCAACGAGCAAGTGAAGGAAACAACTTCTCCCGAACTACAAGTGGAACGTGCCTCGGATAATAGATACATGCTCTCTGATACATTTGCTTTCGGTCTCCGTCGAATGACTAGCATGACTGCGAAGGACCTTCACTATCATTATTGGCGAGGCTCTCGTCATACCGCATTCAGACTTCACTTGAAGACCGAAACACGCCCATCGCTTCACTAGTGCCGTCAGAACTGCAGGTGTACTTCGTAAGGCGAAGTCTAAACAGAACTTCATTTTGCTCATTGCCTTGTGAATTCCTTGAAGGCGACTGAGGTTGTGTTCGCAGTGTTACCCATGATGTCACCGTCTTGAGCTGTAATGAACGTTCTCCCGTTTTTGCCCGTTACCATGACTAGCAGAAGTCGCGTTCCCGCTGTGTCCCGGCAACTCGAGTACTCACAATCCGAGGAGGATTGAATACGTTTCTAAGCCATGTATGCTGAGGTAGACTTGCGTCCGCGGAAACCGTAGCCCTCATAGGAGGAGAGAATTTCGCCGACGCGGGTTCTTCAAAGGTGCGTCGTCACAGTCAGAGGATGGAGAGTTGCGATGTGTATGGGAAGGGGCTGTGTATTACAACGTGTCAGCGCCCGTTCCAGTCCGTGCGCGAACTGCGCTCGTCACTGCAGAACAAGTCGAAGTTCCGGCCCATCTGCCAGCGGCCTGTTGGTGAATTGAAGAAGTACTGATCACGTGACTCCAGCAGTCTCATTTTTTATGTACTACAAGATACCATGAGCATCAACAATCATGTAGGTTGAATGACTTGGGATAAGGCTGCAGCGACATAAAAACTAACTACGACCATTAACACCCAGCCCGCAGTGTGCTAGGATCGATCCAGCGTGACCCTCGGCATGACTAAAGCGCATTGACCATCCTCTGCGTTCTGTCAAACAGCTCCCACCTAAATTCCATCAGTCCCCTAAGAAGAATATAGTCGGTAAATCTCATCATCTCTACGTTTTCATCAGAACCGTCTATAGGGATCGAATTGGACGCCAGAGCCTGTGCATATTTGCTCAAGTTCTCTTCTCTTCGATCTCGAAACTCGACCAGCTGCGAAATCCGACGCCCAAGATCTTCGACGCGGTCCCGGTCAGTCTGGATCTTTATCCTTGCAGATCGATCAGATGTATTTGATGCATTACTGTGCCACGGAGTACGCCTTAGCTCTACAGGAGTGGCCGCCACGATCGAAATGTCAACGAGCGGGCCGCTAGCTCGCTCGAGGGCACAACTTCCTTATTCTCGAGGGTTCGTCTAGTTGCCACACGGATGGGCACGAAGAAAGGACCAACTATAGAGGACCCTTGTTTTTACCTCTATATTTCGGGAAGTCCGGCCGCCCACCTTCGTATTTCAAACTCGAACTCGAGCGATCAGAAGTCGGCCGTGTTCTCCGTTTTGACAGCTTGCCATAGATCTTGCCCGTAGGAATGAGGGTTGAGTTCGTTTCTGGACCGAAGCCGATTCCGGATGTGATGGATCTCCATGCATGTCCTTCATTTTGGGGTGACTAAGCTGGTCCTCGAGCGCACCCCTCGAATTTGAGCTGACCATTACAGGTCTAGACTGAGACGGTTAACTTCCTTCGGGCATTCCGTCGCGTTTGCGCTCGTCGGACAATGGGGTATGATGACTTTACGCTTGCACAAAAACTGTGTTGGGGTTCTACAGAGAAAAATCGGTCGTTTTCGAGAAAGCAATGGAACGGAGTCCACGTGACACCAGAATGTTTTTTTGGAGCGCGACGGAAACTAAACTCCGAGCCCTTGTCTGGGACCCTTCATCGTCACTGCCATCGTGCTGACAAATAGAATGACTGGTAGGTTTAAACTTCTTGAATCGTAACACGGACGACGAGGGAGATTCGGAAGACTTGATTGAGAAAGGCTGATGAAGGAGGCGCGCTCGCCCTTCCCGGAGTTGTCTTCCTTCCAAACGGTCACACTACTGCCTATGTTCGCATGGCATGCTCGCTTTCCGTGGACCACCGCGTTGTATTTAGAACGGCTTCAGGTTATCAGCCTGAAAGTGAGGGAGAGTGATAGCTGAGTTTGCGTGTCGGGCTGTGCGACGACCGCGTGTACATAAGTGGGTGGGCGAATCGCGTGCATGGCTGCCGTCACGCGATAAGATGTGTGTGGATGGCACGCGTCTTTGACGCGTAATCGAAACGTCTGAAAGACAAAGTAGATACAGTGCCATTCTCATTGCAGGTTACTCAGTACGATATATGTACGGTGATGGTGGACTGTCCGTTTCACGCATCAAGCTCAAGTGAGACGTTTCAGGTACCTTTCTCTGCTGAAGGGCGTGCATATTACGGAATATACTAGTCACCGCTCCCATTACAGAATCAGGCAGTCGAAGGCGAGCCATTCTTGCCTATCCTGAGAAAGCCTTTAGTATCCGTTGAGTGATTTGGTTTCTCCGGGTAGAGCTTCCCGGGAACCAACTCGGGAGATATGGTTGTTCCTTCATCAGTAAGCTCCGCTCTTGATGATAGATAGCATGTATAGTGGTATATGTATGGCGTCGTGGAACATTTCTGTTGCGCGGAACCTTTATGGATAAAATTCGGTCCTCAAGCCTCACATATGGAACGAAGATGACTCATGATGCACTCTGGATTGAGCCGCCCAGCATCGTGGTTAATGACAAACCTGAGTGGCAACGCAGCTCATAGCACGGTTTGACGGCACAGGATCGGATGTGACGAACGGGCAGTGTGCCAAATAATAGCATAATACCAACTGAATGAAACAATGCATCAGCCTGTAGTGTCATAAAATAGTCCCGGGTGCAATTACAGAATTCCAACGTCCGCATTGGAGCATTTATGGCGAGATGTACTCACCTTCCTCCGCACAGCATCGGGTAAAATACGCTTACCTTTGTAAGCGTGTTGGCAAGGTAGCCCGTGGTGCATTACCCAAGTGACTCAGTGGAGGTCGCAGTACGGAGCAACCTGTTTTGTGGAATGCGGTCTGTCTCTTCCAGCCATGAGTGGAGTGGTGAGTCCGAAGCAACATGGAATTGGGACGTCCAAAGGGCACTTATCATTCACACGCACAACGCGCTTGGGTGCCACTTACCAAGTTACTTCTACGCCACTCCTTGGAAAGTTCCTCAGTAGAAGACCGGAACTACCACGTTTGGTGGACACGGTTCTTCCCGGAAGTTGCCCCGGTGGTGATGCACTGACATTCGGCTTGCACCGTGTCAGAAGACGACGAACCGTCGATTCTGCCGGATCGGCGCTCGTCCTGCAAAGAGCGTTTTAGCATTGAATAATATACGCCTGCCCTCGCCCGCGTTGGAAAGATAGCGTATAGTACATTACCCAAGTTATTCGGGGGGATTTGGTAGGTACGCAGCAATATGTTTTGTGGAATGCGGTTTCATGTCTGTTTCCGCCACTTGCCAAGTTACTTCTACGCCACTGCGCGGAATGTTCCTCAACAGAAGACCAGAACTAGCTCATAACAGTTAGTTCCCAGTATCTGGGCACGTCCTTCCAGAAAGTTGTTCCGGTGCTAATCTCGCGTGGTGTCAAGACAGGACCGGCCGCCGGTTTCGCGAAATCTGCGCTCGTCTGGAAAGGGCGTTTACTCGACGGGCTGTCATTCCAACCCACCTTCTCATGTTCACAGACAAGGCCAGTGAGCGTGCGCATACAACACTCAAGCAGATAAGGAGCAAACGTTGTTCATCGACAAATAACGTAAGCACGCAATGACTGCAAGTGGAAGACATACGGACAGGCTTGCATTGTTCACCTTCTGCGCCACCTGGGCGTATGCTATTGCAACGAGTGGTGAACTAGACGAAACACAATGTTCCACAGACCTGGCGGTGAGCGGTCGCCAGGATACATCTACGTTCGATCTCAGTCAATTGAGTAGTGTAACTGCGCAAAAGCCCTTCACTGTACCGTCATCCGCGCTTTCGTCATAGGACCGCACTTAGACCTCACTCGAAGCCTGAAACAAGGCTCATCACTTCAGTTACTACGATTAAGACTGCAGGTAGGTTTTATATGGCGGAGTCTGAACGGGAGGTTATTTTTGCCCTTTTCCTTGTGGAATTCTGGAAGGTACTTGGCTGAATGAGTTTCTGTGCGGTAGTTATTCCAGGAAGTTCATAGTAGCTGCAATGAAATGTTCTCCCGTTCCTGAGAGATAGACTTGCTGTGACCGCAAGTCACGCTTCTCCAACTGTAATTGCTTGCTTCCGTGATATCATATGGAAGTTGATCATATTGGACACGGCAAGACGGCTTGTTGTTCTTGAGAGGTACACCGTCACCTTCACCGCGTTTTCATCCTAAACAGACAGATCATTGACAGTGGCGGAGTGTGCACCACCACTCTAGTGAGGAACATTACCTTCATATCATAGCTTCTCTGCACTCATTCTCGTCCCTGTAAGAACACTGCTAGTCACCGCAGGCGGCTGATGCAAGGTCGATGGCGACGGAGGCTTCGAAGTTGCAACTGTAGTGATGTCACCTAGTGCTGGTCACGTGGATCCTCGCTTCTCTGGAGGTGCCGTTGCTGATCTCCTAGCAAATTCAACCCGCTAGTGAGTGTACTAAGCAGTGGCTGTCGTCGTCGATCATTGCATCGATCTTCTGGAAGGGGCACTGCAAGGTGATTGAATTGGACCTCGCTTTGGACGATCCACCGCATTCGTGTGATCATTTTGCCGGGCAACCGCGATAACTACGATCACTAAACATCTAACTGTCGTGATCAAGACCACTCACCATGACTATCGCGGCTGCTCAGCCTAACCACGATCCTCAGCGTTCGGTCAAACAGCTCCCGCCGGAGTTCTATCATTCTTTTTTGTCCAAGGCAGCCAAGGAGCGCAAACCCAGTCCGAGTACGTACTTGTCTTACTCTCAATGGCATTTCAGAGCCAGTGGTGCTTACTCTAAACCGATATGATTGATCTCGTTCAGTTCGTGGGTTATACCCATTAGAAGCCAAACCAGGCGTCATATCCTTCCTAGCAGGGAAACCCAATGATGCCATGTTCCCGTTCCAGTCATTCTCCTTCACAGCGACTTGTCCATCTAACCCCGGCGAATCGACGACTGTGTCGCTCAGTGGATCGGATCTCGCAGTGGGATTGCAGTATGGAGCAACTGCTGGTCTTCCACGCTTGATCGATTGGTTTATGGGCCTACAGGAGCGTTCACATGAACGCGGACGGGATGAGGGGTGGAGATTGTCTGTGGGCACTGGATCACAGGATTTGATATGGAAGGTCAGTCGGTGCGCAAAGCCAGGGCCTTAATTTTTTCAGGTTAATCCGTTGCAAATAGGCTGTTCAATCGCTCGTTGATGAGGGGGATCCGGTTTTGATCGAGTCGCCAGTTTATGCGTGAGCCATTCCCACCATTCAGCCAACTCGGATTTTGGTTACAATCAAGTGCTGATATTTTCCGTGTTCGTCAGCGGTGTCATTCCTATGTTCAAGGCCCTCCATTGCGAGGAAAATGGTCGGTCACATCTCAACTCACTCATTCATCGTTCATGCATACCAGGTATCTGCAGAGGTCGAAACGGATTCTAACGGCGTGTGCTCAGATTCTCTTCGATCCATTCTCGAGAATTGGCCAGTTGAAAAACCGAAACCGAGGATATTTTATACAGTTCCGGTTAGTCTGGATCTTTGTCCCCACTGATCGATCGTATGTGTTTGATGTCATATCGATCTAGTACGGCTGTAATCCAACAGGAATGACAGCCACGATCGAACGTCGCAGAGAGGTCCTCGAGCTCGCTCGAGAGCACAACTTCCTTATTCTCGAGGGTTCGTATAACAGCCACACGATCGGAACAACGGCAGGAGGACTAAAATGTCTAGTACTGTAGACGATCCTTATTTTTATCTCTATTTCGGGAAAGCCGAACGCCCATCTTCGTATTTCAAACTCGAGCTCGAACAGCCTGAAGTCGGCCGTGTTCTCCGTTTTGACAGTTTGTCAAAGATCCTGTCTGCAGGGATGAGGATCGGTTTCGTTTCCGGGCCGAAGCCAATTCTGGATGTCATAGATCTCCACGTATGTCCTTCATTTTTGGGTGACAACTGGGCTGCTTGTTGCGCGTTATCTCCTACATACATTTCTGTCTGTCGCTGACAAATTTGGGTCTAGACTGCGACTGTGAACTTGCAGCCTTCCTCCCTTGCTCAATCTATTGCGCTAGCACTGCTAGAACAATGGGGGTATGATGGCTTCTACGCGCACACCAAGGCTGTGTCACAGTTCTACGGAGAAAAACGGGACGTTTTCGAGAAAGCGATGCGAACACACCTCGGTGGTCTTGCAGAGTGGAGTACGCCTGAAGCTGGAATGTTCTTTTGGTAGGTGACGACGGAAATTGCGTGCCCATTTTTTTTCTCATCCAAGGGACTTGGCAGGTTCAAACTCCTCTTGAACCCTGACTCGGACGAAGAGGGCGATTCAAAGGAGTTGATAGAGAAGAAAGCCTATGAAGGGGGTGTGCTCGCCCTCCCTGGAGCTGTCTTTCTTCCGAATGGTCGTAGGACTGCCTACGTTCGCGCGGCATTCTCGCTTTCCACGGAGGAACAAGTCAATGAGGCATTAGAACGGCTCAGGGTCGTTATCCTGAAGGAAAGAGGGAGAGTATAATAGCTGAGTTTGTGTAACACGCGTGTTATGTATGTGGGTGGTGAACCGGTGACTCTGCCTGCCTGCGTGACCGTCGACGATGAGTTATCATGGATGACATGCGTCTTTGATAGGTAATCGAAGTGTCCGAGAATCAATGTAATCAGAACACCCCGTTTTCATTAAACTCGGCGTGATATGTGTGTGGTGTCAAGATGAAACGTCTTGAGATGCTATCCGTCGAAGATGTGTCACAGGATCTAGAAATGCCTACCGTGTTCTGGCCCATAGTGACCTGGTTTTTATTTAGCACAAACCAGGATTCATGGGGAAGGCTTGAAGGGGTGGGGGGCTCTGCTGTTGAACTTCACTACCAGGGAGGGATGGTATATGTGTCGTTTTCCAAGGGTAGAAGGAGCGAGTGACTCCCACCAAATTTCTTCTCTCTCACACTTTCTGCTCGTTGGCATGCATTGCGACCGCGCTCCAATGTTCAAAGGTTAGATCGATGTCAATGGTACCGGTTCGTCAGCCCCATTTGATGGAGCCATTTTATTGAGTCCCCAGAGATGTATGTCCAGGTCTGGCGGCAGTCTGGTATTGACGAGCGCCAGAGCAATCACGTGATCGAGTTTTGTCCCGGACTCGACGCTTGAACGATTTCGATGAGGGCACGAAGGTTGTTTGCCACTGCCCGAAGGTTGTTTGCCACTGCCCGAAGGTTGCGCGCTGCCATGTCAAGTTTAGAGACGTCGCCAGACCGATGCGAGGAACTTGCTCAATCACTTGCAGAGATACGCGATCGTGTGAGGATTGCAGCATCGGGTGACGGTCCTACGCTGGTGGCCGTGTCCAAGTACAAGCCCGCTTCGGATATTCTCGCTTGCCACAAGCTGGGGCAGAGAGATTTTGGGGAGAACTATGTTCAGGAATTGGTGGATAAGGCGGGGCAGGTACGCTGGACGCGTGGATGGTTGATGGCTATTTTCCTCATCGCTCGCCCTACCAGCTTCCGGACGATATCCGATGGCATTTTATAGGTACCTTGCAATCTAACAAATGCAAGACATTGGCTTGTGGGTGTAGATCGTTCCTTGGACGTGCGTGGTGCCCTCTCACCAACTTTTTAGCTGTTCCCAACATATACGCTATTCAGACAGTAGCATCCGCCAAGGCAGCTACTGCACTGAACAAGTCGGTACCATCTGAACGAACGACCCCTCTCTATATATTTCTGCAAGTCAATACGTCAGGTGAAGATGTCAAGTCAGGTCTTCCCGCGTTGACGTCGATAGAATCCGCGTCCGAATCGGAGCTCGTTCACCTTGCCAAGCATGTCGTGACGACGTGTCCTCGATTACATTTGCAGGGGTTGATGACTATTGGAAGTCTAACGGAGTCTCTGGCATCGTCTGAGAGGGGAAACCAAGACTTTGAGGCATTGAAGCAGACGCGGGACGTGTTGGAGGATGTGCTGAGGGAGTCGGGTGGTGGGGAGTGGGGCGTCGATGGGCGGCTGATGCTGAGCATGGGGATGTCGAGCGATTTTGAGGCCGCATTGAAGGCTGGCAGCGACGTTGTGAGAGTAGGGACTGGGATCTTTGGAGCCAGACATAAGAAAGTGTAGAGTGCTTATCTTATCTTATCTTATCTGGCGTGACGTGGCTGTCATTTGAGACGCGTCGTGTCACGTCACGCTTTGTTGATCGCCCCCGGTGTTGTGTGGTCGTCTCCCGGATATGATGCAGATGGACGGGCTGACTGCCAAACGCAAGGCAGCGGAGGACTCGAATCCACTGCTGTCAACAAAGAAACAAAAGAAGGAGGTGCGCGTGTATCTCCATTCATTTTTTATGTGTACTCACACTCACGGACAGCCGAGCACTAAACGAAAGCGTGAGTGGTGGGGGGACTATCGAAACTCAAGACGCGGTATACTGAACACACGTTCCAGTGATAGGTGAGGCACAGCCAGGCGGGCTTGTCATCGTCCGTGCACCACAACAACGTTCTTTATTACCACCGGCATCTTCTCAGCCCGTCCTTGCCACCGTCTCGCGTCCACTGCCGCCATTGCGCCCACCCTCATCGTCCCAGCCACTTCCATCATCCTCCAATGCACTCGAACACCCCAGCAAGAAACTCAAGCTCGACTCTTCTTCCCGAGCACCGACAGGTGCTAAGCAACGCGATGTCATCGCTGCTGCACGCGAAGAACCAGAGTTGGACGAGGATATACGCCAGATGGAAAACGAGACCGACGATTTGAGACGTCGGTCGCGTGCTAAAGAATCTACAAACCAGTCCCTCCAGTTCCCACATTCCTCGTCATCCGTTCAGCGACAACAACACACGACCGACACCATCCAGCCGGTCCCCCAGTGCGAGACACCCCAAATTAAACGCAACAAACTCATGCGCGATGGCCCTCCTCAATCCAACCACCACGAGAGACAACCAAGCACTCCCCATAGTCCCAGAACTCCGCAAGGCCAGCAGACACCCAGACGTACCTCGATGAGTATGCGTGGCAAACGCATCAGTACTAGTTTTGAAAATACCGGTGTTATTTGTACGTCTTCTACTACTTCTGACTCATTTCTCTGTCGTTCTCTTTCCTCTGTGACTCTCTGACTCCATGCTTATCAGCTCAACCGCACGCGTCGGTGAGCGACGCATCCTTTTATAAACATATCGATTGTGAGTTGCCAGAACCGCAACGCGCGAGACAGCTTCTCGTGTGGTCGGCCGCGCGTGCGATGACGCGGTTGTCCGACCCATCATCTTCTTCGTCAAAACCGCCGTCGTCGGGGCCATCATCATCCAAGGTCGGCGAGACACGTTCTCGTGGAAAAGACCCACCACCACTCAATAACGACCAAAAAGATATACTAAAGGTCGTGCAAGAGGAATTTATACGCATGCTGGCGGAGAGGAAGATCGATACGTCAGTGTATTCCCAGGATAAATTATTTGGCGCTGGAAGCGCACACAACGGGAAAGGAGGCGAAGGAAAACGAGAAATGAAACCCAACGAGCAGAACGTGAAGAATCGGGAACGGGAGGTGACGTTTCAACACCATATACAGCGGTACGTTCCCTTTTTGCTTCCTTCCAGTCGCCTCACCTGCGTATGGTGCGACACCTTTCCTTTCCCTGGCTCTTTTGTCAAAACCTTTGTTGCTGACACACGTGTCAAACGACCAGAGCCGAAGCAGAGGCAGAAGCCTGGTCTCGCGTCGACAACTTTTACCACACCTACGCCACCCACTCCAAAGTCGAACTTGAAGCCCGACGAGACTCGTTTAAACCTCCCTTATCCGCAAAGGCAAGGGGTAAGCAGCGTGCAGTGTCGCAGGAGCCAGAGCAGGAGGGGGACGGGTGGCGGTGGATGATACCATCCGAAGAGGATTTGTCGGAAAGGTTTAGATCCAGTGTGGATTTGACAGCCGTGGGGGAGGCGATGACGGATGAGGCGCGATATCGCGTGGGGTCGTCAACGCGCGGCGACAGCAACCAACAAGATGAAGCTATCGAAGACCTACGGTTCAAACTCGACAGTCTATCGGAATATGTCCACTCAGTGGTACAGGTGACAAGTATCGTCGAAGCAGATTTAGACCATCGATTTTCCCTCCTCTCGGATGCGATCTGTGCGCGGTCCAGACCGGTACCTCCTCAACAACATCACCATCCAACTTTGGCCCTGGCGGGACGACCGAAAACGTCTCGTTCCTCCCTTCCCCACTCACTGCGACATCCTCATACTGTGCCACCTCATCCGCCAGGAGAATCTTCCCGTGACCTCCTCCGTGCTCTTTCTCGTATCGACAAAGAACGACCACCAGGAAAAATCGGTGACGCTGTACGACGCGCTGCGAGAGAGGTGCAGCGCGTACAGGAAGGCCTTGGGATCTCTGGGGTTGGAGAGAGGAAGTTGACGGATTTACCCCCACCACCGACGGGGGTTGGCAGTAGTAATGGGGTGGGGGTGGTGACGGCGACGCCCAGGAAGGTGCCAGGAACACCGAGAAAGGTGTATGGGCCTGGGACGCCACGGAGGTGATGAGGGGAGGACGGATCTCGAGTTGTAGGAACATGTAGGGGTAGTAGCGAGGTTGGCGATCTATGGTTTGTGTAATTCTTTGACGCCGAGTCGTGAGCAGGTTGACCTTGCGCATCCCATCGATTGCAGTGAGTGTGTACTTCGAAGGCAGGTGCCCTTGGAAGCCCGTGAGCCTTAACACCCCTGTCCGATACCCTGGACGTGCAGAAAACCGTGGAGCTTTTTATGATCCGACGTTGTGTTAGTAGGAATACTATCGTCAGTGAACGAACTCAGGATATGGGCTACGTCACTTCTGTCGAGGACCAGGGAACTTACTACGACGTCATAAACGTTCGAACGTTTTCCCGACACGCGTCTTCAGCCTGGCCAATTTCGATCAAGCTTAGGGCCCGGCGCCTAGAAACATGAGGCGGCCGTAGGCGCGCAGGGTTCGAACCTAGAGAAGAACGGCGTCGAACCGGATGGACTCTTTCCACATACCTACTGTACACCCCTCAGCCCCACGCTGTTGACCATGGCTCAATCGTCTCCACAACGACTATCCTGTATGACTTTGAGATCGTTGTTTACTCGCCTCACTGACGGGAATAACCACCCTACTCATTCTGTGGAGCAGATGTCGAGTTGCAGAACGCAAAAGATGCAGAATCCGTTGAACTCGTTCTCGATGACACCGCTCGACACCAGCTCAGCCCAGATCAACAAAAGAAAGGCACTTTTTACAAAGAGTTCGACCAGCCATTGTCAGTCATCGCTGCAGTATGCACCCCCTCCCCATTCTAACCTTGGTTGATGCAACCGAATCTTCCATACGTGGCTGGTTGACTGTAACTAACGCGATTGTTAGAACACTTACACAACTCTCCGTCTCCGTACGTCGTCGAAAAGAGGGAAGAGCCAACCCGTCGTCCGAATCCCCCACGATCAGCTTTTGCGATGTTGTTTCCAAACTGCAAGGGAATGGTCAGTCACCTGACATACATATACAACCTGGATCGACTTCTAAGACCTTTCCGCTACCCTCTTGCAGAGTGTCGACATCGATGGGGCGATAAAGTTATCATCTTCAAAGTTTTACCCCAATACACTCCAGTCGTGCGCAAATCAGCAGGTGTTCAGAATAAGTCCTAATGGGAGCTTGCAGGGCCTGCATGATGTTCCGAGTCCAAGCGCATCCATGTCTACTACAGATTCCGAGGCCGTACAGTTTTGTCACCCGTAAGGAAACCTAAACTCTCGTTTTCGCGATACCTATCTCTCATTCCAGTAGTTTTCGGGTCTTGATATTTGGTCAGGTAACTATTTTGCTTGTTGCCGTGCCGCGGCCGCTTATTCGGGTCAAACTCCGTTAACGATGGCGCTGGCGCCGCTCTGCAGACAGGTGTTGGGAAGTCTTCTTTGATCAATCAGGTCCTCCGCAAGGAAGCTGCAGTTGAGTGCATCGAAGATTCTGTCATCTTAAATACCCAGTTATTGACCAATGGGCTGCATTAGCAAGTAGAAAAGGATACACCAGGGACAGCAGACATCGAGAAAGAACTGACGAACGGCACATTCATCTTGCACGATAGTCAAGGTTTCGAGCCGGCCGAAAGCGACAATTATAGCGTTGTGAAGGCTTTCATCGAGCAAAGGAAGAGGAAACAAGATATCAAGGAGCAGCTGCATGCCGTCTGGTCCGTTTTCACGCTTCCGAAACAGCCATCTTATTCGGAGTCTCATTCTATACCCAGGTTGTGTTTCCAAGTTCCCATTCCAACGCACGGTGAACGGCCTTTGGAGGAGCATGCGGAAACGTTTTTGAACGAAGCGAAAGAAGTCCTGGGTAATAGTGAGAACATTACCATCCTTCTTTCGTTGTCGTCGTCATTATATTGACAATTGTCTAGTCCCAATCGTAGTCGTATTCACCAAATACGATCGCCTCTTGACTTTCATGCGGGCAAAATGGAAGAAACCAGATCCAGAAAAGGCCGCAGCAGAATATCTGCAAGAAAATTGCATCGATGCAATTAAGAACGTCTCGAAAGATAGTGGTATTTTGCACGTAGAATTTAGCTGTGAGTGTTACTTGCCTTGATTGTTTCATTACTTATTCTCTTAAACAACTACCAGCGAGACGCAAACATGAGCGAGGATGTGACAAACTGATAGAACTCACTTGCAACAAGGTGTCTCGTTGCTTCGCATCCTGGTCAAATACAGCCTCCTGTTAACTAGGGGGTAGGGGCTTATGAAAGCCACCAGTAACGGTACGTGAATCACTTTACGAGCGTTGGGTTCAGAACGTGAAAACGATCTGTTTATTTCAGAATGACCGACGAAATTTCATGATTTGTATCATTTATGGGACATGTTCTTGGAAATACTCGTTTGCGCCTAAGAGGGGTGATGAAACTTGGTCCTTACAAGAGGATAAGCATTATGGATGAGGACATGGACACGGCCATTCGAATATTTTGGTTCGGCGCGATGTGATTCTCGGCGGAATGACGTCCTCGGTCCCCTTCCCAAGCGGGAGATACCGAGGCTGGGTTTTGTCGACTACCGTTTTTCGAAAGGGATGTATTTTTTTCGGTTGACCTGGAACGATGGTCACCAACAGGCCTCTGTCGAATTTCCTGCCTTTACTTTCATCGTATTTAGCCTTCTGCTTGTCTGTGTTTTTGTTTGCATGTTTTTTGTCCCTGTCCGATTGCCTGTCTTAGCGTAGTGTAGTTATATATACCTTGTAGCCAACTGGAATGGATTTTTTTTTTCCCGGACGAGCACCAGGCTCGATCATCGGCACTGAACAGGTACCCAAGTGTTGCATGGCAACAGTTGCAACTTCTAAGATGCAGAATACTCTTCGTGCACGGCGAATATTGTTCTCGCCTGTCGCCGTTCTGGTATGTTGGCCAGTCATTTATATCAGATTGTGCTGTTCGATGGACTGCCTCTGGTTGTTTTCCTCCGTCTTGACCTGTTTGCTCGAATACCACGCGCACACATCTCTTTTTCTTTCTCTCTCATTCTCCTTGCTCCTGTAACGCATGCACACCTTCCCCATTCTAAGTGCCGTCCTGCTGTTGTCTGATCATCAGTATTCAATTTTCATTCCCTTTTTGGTGAGTCACTGAGTTCACAAGTTGAGCGCTGATGTTTTGTTGTGCAATGTCATTCACCCCTGCAGACGTCCCCACCACCCCCATCATCGCCATCAGCAGCATTGGAGTTTTCTTCATTATCATTCCATATTTGTCCCAGAATGAAATGATAGGTTGCTGAAGCGTACATTTGTGCAGTACACGACCTGGGCCTCTGAATTCCTCGCCACGCCCGCGGCCATGTTGTGGTGGACTGACACCTGCTTCTCCTAGGGGAGATCATCCGTGTAGACTGTAGGGGAAAGAGGGCAACCAACGTTGCATTCGTATGCGCTCCCACATAATAGATGATGATTGGTGGGTTTTCTTGATGGAGACTTGTCTTACAGAAATGTGACCAGATGCAGGCTGATCTGTAGGGGAACGGGAGGGTGATAGACGTTGTCCATAGCTTTGACTTAAGAAACAAGTCGCCTTTCGACATGGACGGAAAACAAAAGCACTGGATTTTGGTCGAAGAGCAGGGTATGGGCTGGGGGCGCGGTCGAAACGTGTGAAGAGTCATATTCAAGCAAAAAACGGAACTATGGTGTTGGCGTACGCAGGAAGTTCGAGGGCCACATGGCGGGGAATTCCCTATCCCGTGGCATCGTTTCTTCAGCAATATTCAGTGGTTACATCTCCTTCGCCATCATCTCATTTCTACCTGTCATGTTTATTAGCGTAGATTTTGGTCGAATAAGCGGAAGTTCGGGAAGTGGGCCGCTGGGCGCCAAATGAACACGAGGCGTTCATTATATCGCGTGTCGTTAGTGCGAACATGCATCAACCTGAGCAGGACTCCTGGACCCTTCCCAGCGCTCTCCCCTTAAGCTTGCTACTGTCATGAACCCACCTTTTCAGCTATCTTGTACGACTCGAGATTATTGATCACGATTTGTATATACTGACTGACAGAAACGTACTATAATATGGACAGATATCAGGTTGCAGAACGCTCTGAAAGGCAGCCAATACGTCGACCTTATCCTCGATGGCGTCCAATATAACATCCCTAAAAGTCAAGGGAGCCGCGCTTTTGCGAGGCACTTCGATGAGCCATTGTCAGTCTTTTTCAGGCGTACCTTGTCTTAACCCTACTTCTCATGTCATTAATCGATGCCACCATAGAACGTTTGCAACTGAGCAGCTCGCCCTTTCAGTTTGTCGGAAGAAGTCTCGTTTCGTATTCAAGTCTAAAAGGATCGTCGAGATCGTCTCGATCAGTTCCGCCGATGTTCAGTCCGGATTGCAGGAGCACGGTAATTTTCAATCGTATATATTATTTCATGGACTACCTCTGATTCTTGCGCAGAGTTTCTTCAGATGTGGGGCGAGACACGCATTACCATCGGGGTCTTGATGCAGTCCGTGCGTAAACGACTGGCCTCATGGGGTAAATCCTGACAAAGGGCTTGCAGGAGGCAGCTCCGACTCCAGACACATCCGAATCGCCTGCAAATTCTGAGGGGTTGCAGTCGACCACTAAAGAAATAATCAAGCAATGTCCTCGGTGAGTACTAAATCCTTTCTCTGTCATGATTATTTCATGTACTAATTTGTAATAGTTTTCGAATCTTGGTAATTGGAAAGGTAATAAACATGTCCATGCTGTCCATCCCTGTAGGCTCTGAAAACGACATTCTTGCAGTCAGGTGTGGGAAAGTCATCTTTGATCAACCGGGTTTTCGGTGTGGACGTTGCGGTTGAGTAATAAAACCTCTAAATCCATGCGACTCATTCACCAAGGGTATGCATAGTCTGTCGCAAACGATCAAGCAGGACAAGCGGACATTGAACAGGAGATCACTTCACCACAGAACGAGCGATTTATCTTACACGACAGCCGAGGCTTCGAGCCGGCCGAAGGCAGCAACACTAATAAAGTGAAGTCGTTTATAGAGACCAGGAAAAGGATGCCACATATCAAAGATCAACTTCATGCGGTCTGGTACGTCATCTTGAAACCGTGACGCTGAAGGTTCTAACAAACAGATCGACGTGGTATAGGTTGTGTTTTCAAGTGCCCATTATAGAATATGGTCAACGGCTTCTGGAGGAGGGTGCAGAGGAGTACCTGAGTGGAGAGAACGCGGTCCTCGGAAATAGTGAGCAGGCGTGCTCTCGTCTGATGCGCGACGTGTTGAATATTTTCAGCCCCGACCATAGTTGTATTCACGAAATATGACACTCTTCTGATTCACATGCGGGCGAAGAGTATCAGCGACCCCGAAGCTGAGGCACGCCGATATTTGGAAGAGAATTGCATCAAGCCAATTCAGGCCTTCACAGGGGATAAAACCATTTTGCATGTTGCAGTTAGTTGTGGGTGTTACTCGTTGTACGCTCTTCTAGTATTCAGCCCGGACATTGTCAGCGAAACCCAAATATGAGCGAGGGCACGAACAACTGACTGACCTCACGTACAACAAGGTGTCTGAGAGTTTCACCTCTCAACCAAATACACTATCTCCAGTACCTTTTGCAGCCGCAGGAGCGCAGAGGATGGTGCCCAGAGTGAAAATCGAGTCCTCCATCATGTGAGCCCCTACTCATCGTACTGGTGTTGTATCCTTGATTATTTTTCAAACAGCGTTGGAAAGCAGAGTACGTTCTAGTCCATGAAGTGACGCGCGAGGGGAACTCACAGATCTTTACAAGGGTACTGGAAAGCTCTGGCTGCAAGCCCGAATTTCCAGGGTTACACGATGTTGGACTGCCTTCGTGTCATACACACCGACATCGTGTCAGTTTGGAATTTTTATGATCCATCTGAGGTGAGCATCGTTATCTCGCTAGTGAGCCCTACCGTGGGCTACTTAAGTCTACCTCGTAGTATTTGTACAGCGTGGAGTTTCGAGATCTGATGATGAACATGGTTGGGAATGTCGATGCACCGGCAGCGTCAGCCCACCCATCCACCCATCTTACCAGTGGTAATCCATTTTCCGGGTAGGTGCTGCCGTGCAAACCACTGTGCAATAAACTCAAGGGCAGTTACCGCACCCGAAGGAAAACTATTCCCCTCGTGACTGCAACGTTGGTAACTCTGCCATTTGTTGCTGGCTTAGCTCTCGTGCAATGGGCTTATGAAACTTACCAGCAATTGTACGTCGTAACAATATAATGTTCCGAGTATTAACCAAGTCATATTTTCCAGGCAAAATGCGCATAAAAAATTTATGGCATACATAGTCGATTTGACACACATTTTGGAAATACTGTTTGCACTCACGGCTAACAGGAAAGGAAAGAAGCTTACCCGCACAGCGATCAAACAGGCTTTCAATGCTTACTACCGTTCGACCTGGATACGGGAGGTTCATGCGGAGATCACAAGTGTCGAACATTGGATCGTGCATCGCGACGTGATTCTTGAAAAGATTACATCCTTGATCCCTTTAAGTGGTACGGACACTAAGGTGTCCGCGGCACTCGAAGGACTTGAATTAGTTGACCCGGAGAGAGATGAAGAGTGGTACGGTGCTGCGGATGGTTAACCAGCCTGACTGTATTTCTACTTGAGATATCCCGCAGCGCGTCAATTTTGGCTTTCAAATATTGTTGCTTGCTTCATCCCATTCACTGCGGAAACGGGTTTTTAATCAGGTCCGGAGATAGTCGGGTCAATGACAATAACCGTTGTATATCCCGAGGGTAGCTACTCCTAATAATATGTCTGAATATAGTGCCGAAGTGTTCTCGTTTCGGAGCATAATCTGGTTGGATTTGCATGCCTATCACCATGACGATTTTTACCTTCGCGACAATAATCAGATCAGATTCGAATGTGACTATGAGCTATGTACACCGAGTTAAATCGTATAAATGCAATTGATCCTCCCGCCTTCAGTCGTGTTTTTCAGGATAACCAGATCAGATTATATTTGATGAGTGCCTAGTACAACGTGTGCTTCCAAAATGCCTACCCAGTGCCCCCAGCCGTGCAAAAAAATCGCCCACGTTTGCTTGCTCCCCTCCTTGGTGAACGGCAGGATATGATGCATTCGCAGAGGCTCACAGGTGGCGCCCCACCGCTGACGCCTGGGTCCCAGTTGATGAGCCAGGAGGGAACTCATTGCGGTCGTCACGTACCACAGACCCAGACACACATGACGCCCTCCAGCTCCTTGCACCTTCAACGCCAAAGACTTCCGAGTGGTGGAGTGATACCTGGATCCCAGTCATTGAGCCAGAATATTAATAGCATCGCGCGTGGACATCACGTACCACAGATGAACATGGCGCCCTCAAACACCCCGCAGGGCACTCACCTCCCTTCTGCGCCAGGCCTAGATGATCCATTTGGCCCTGGCCCTGCTCAGCGAAGAGACCACAGTGGACCATCGGTCAGTCACTACTAATTGTTGTTGTCAGTCGATCAACTCACCCTATCTGCCAAGCTCTTGTCACCCGAGTTCTCCTTTGATATGATGGAGCCGACCGGTGCTGTCGATTCACAGGGATCGCAGGACGAGGTATCCTATCCACACCGAGGAAACCAACCAAGCCAACATCTTGGCTTCACTCCTTACCATGGGGGTGTCAATGGTTGTGACGAAACGTCCTTCTCGTATGCTGGAAGACCTTCCCATAGTCAGTCGAATGGCAGAGGACATAGTGAGACGCCAATGGAAGACTATCAGACTTTATATTCAGCATCCCGCTCTCAAACTGGATCTTACCAAGGAGACCAGCTTAGCTTGCATGCTACGGTTGCACAGCTCACGGCTCATGTCAAACACCTCAGCGAGGCCAACACCAGCATGGAAGAACAGCTTACCAGCATCAGGAAGGCAACTGAATCTCTCGTTTCATGCCTTGAAACCGTCGAGCAAATGCTTAGAGAACTGCAGGAGAAATGTGTGGATCAACAGAAGCATACTTCGTTGAGAACAAACTCAAATGACCATTCTGTTCTCAAGGTACGTTACGCTATCATTCAGTATCAGAGTGTGCACTCACCAGGCACTAGTCTATTATCCAGCTGCTCTTCTCTCACATGTGTGGAATCGAGTGTGAAGGGACGAAAAGAAACTGCGTCGCAGCCCTTGCTGCTATCAAACCACTCGAGAACGACGAACCTTTCATATCGACAAGTGACAGCACACGTCTTTGGCACCCCAACTGGCTCGGCAACGTAGATGACAAACTGAATGACATGTTCATTAAAGAAGTCACCGAGCGTGTCTTTAATAATGAAAAGGTATCATCTGGTAGCGCGTGAATAATATGAGAATTGCAAGCACTCACCCGACATGCAATAGAGCCAGAGGGAACAGCTCCAATTAAAAACCATACCTGACAAGTCTTTCGACCTCCAAATAATGAAAGATTGCGTGAAAACATACTTCTGCATGATCCACAAAAGGGTAAAAGAGGAAACGAGTGATCAAGGTGCATGCAGGACTAAGGAGAGGCTGGGACAGAATCGTCAGCGAGCTCGGCGTGTTATGGTACTTGAACTCTCACAGATATCGTGCCCGAGTGTGCCTGACATACTGGTAGGTTGCAACAGCTAGATGCAAGGCAGTGTCACAGTACGAAGCAGAAACTGGACATCAGGGCGCAGAAGCCCTCATCCTTACTGACCTCGGATCTGATATTATCAGCTGCAACGACGACGAGGTTAGCGACAACACGCTCCAGCGAAGGAAGGATGCAGAGGTTGGGCAATCTGCAAACCGGGTTGTAGGTCAGGCTTGGCACTCAGTCGATGTAAGTTAAATTCATATCTGAGCGGCAAAGGTGACTCACGAATCCGGCCATATTAGTATGTTGCATTTCTGCACTATCTCAGCATGTGTGCCACGAAGCAGCAGCAAGATGTAACTGAGGACCTGAATGTGAATACTAGCAATATGAATCAGGAACCACAGCGTAAACGTTGCAAAACCACGAAGAAGGTGCACAAACAGGTCTTTGACGTCGCCCCGAAGCATTTGAGTCACGACATGCCACTGGCAAAGGCCATGGTCTTCAGGGCGATGGTAGATGAGAGGTGGTTAGATGAACACCCGGGAATGGTGGTGCACGAGGGCATCAGCTGGCTAAAAGGCTTCTATTCTCGTGTCAACCAAGAAGAGCTTTTCGAGGCAGATGCCACCTACCTCAAAGAATTGGATGAATGGCTCAAGATGTCTAATGAAAATGGGTCATCAGATGATGAAAATGAGTATTGAAACTTCGCTTTGCTGTTCGTGTTCTGAGCAACGCATGTTGTAGGATTTGTGACGCTCTGTTACAAAATTAACAAACATCATGTTTAATTTACCATCCATCCTTGTAATACATGAAGGGTCTAGACTCCAGTTACTGAGTATTGATTGAGTAGCGAGCTGGGTATCAGTAAACAATAACGCTACGCACCTTTGCAAGGTCTACTGTTGCCCACACCTTGCGCTGATCCTCTCTGAGTGAAACAACAGTTAATGCCAGTAAGTTACCAATCCAGTCGAATTCCACGAGCGAAGGGAGGTGTGATTCTTGCATTTGGTATTCCCCGAGCTCCCATAATCGGACATCTAAGGCAGAACTTCATGATGTTAGTGCGAACGATGGTTAGTAGGTCAAACAGGACGACGTACAAGTCGTCCCAAATCGTCCTTTGGTTCCCGTGGTATGGCTTGAACCATCGCATGCATGCAAACCATAAGCGTTGCTTCCCATCGTGTAAGGGTTGATCCAGCTGAAAGATCTCCAGTATCTCTCCATAGCCGTGTGTAGGTACCTGACCTGGTATCATGACGTGAACTAGGGAAGACCGGTGAGTGCCGACTGCTCTTGAAGCATGAAATCGCTTTCCATTTATCACAACATAGTCGTAGAAGATGCCGTTGGGATTGAGAGGAATACTGTGGGGAGTAGTTGGCCACTCGTGTTGGCAGTGCACTGGTGAAAGCGGAAAGCGCGTGTTGAGTGTACGAGTGAGTAATCGATAAGTTTCTGATGAGAAGACGTTTTCATGACAGCGTGGACTTAGGGAGTAAGTTATCCCGGCTATGCAGTCTATGGTCAGACGGCCATCCATTCGTTCTGTGCCAAGGGTAACTCACCATCTGCGCTGACCTCATCAAGATCGTTGCAGAGGGCAGCAAGCCCTGTGACGGTTCCATGTTCCTCATGCGTAGCCTTCTGCATGATTCATGCAGCTTCTGAGCCGAGGGATTTCACGGGATTGGCACGCAGAGAATAGATCTAGAGTTCCATAGTCAGTAAAATAGTATTTGTATTCCAATTTACGAACACATTGCACTTACCACCCTCAAGCTCTCACATGCGCAATGGAACTCCTTGAAAAAGGTCATCTCGAGTTCACCATTTGCGTGGTTGTTCGCTTTGAAGGACTTCAGAACCTTGTTAAGGCGCTCGAATAAAAACGTCCAGAAGTCATGCAGCGGTCCGAAGTTGCAAGCGCAGTTGCCGATGTGTGTGGAATAGTGATGATTTGGCTTTATGGCACTCGATCCATAGAGCTTAAGTTCAAGCACATTAGTGTCATTAATATTGATGTATAGTCTGGGCGATGACATACCTTAATCAACTCGACGTTGTATTCACGTAGTAACCGATCAGCCTCGGCGATATCGTGGTCGTTGATTGTGTGCTTGATGAGAATATGGATGGCCAAGGACAGCTTAAGAAAGTTTGCCAGATCGGTAGGATGAAGGTTGAGTTGCTCGTTGCGGTCTTCAGGAACCTCGGGTGTCTCTGCATCGCCTGGAGGGGGAGGTGGGCCACGTATCTGACCTTCAGGCAAGTCTTCGACAATCTGGGTCGCTGCCTTTCGTTTCTTCTGCACCTGGGACGGAAACCCATATGTAGTACGTAGAAGTACACGAAGATGTATGTGAAACTCACTCGTTTGACTTCGGCCTGCCGTGCCTTCTCAGCTTGCTTTACTACCAGCTGTTGGAGCTTTTCCTACTTCTTTGCCTCGGCGATGGCCATATTCTCCTGCACAATACGGGACTTTTCGGTTTCAAAAGCTTCCCTTCCGCATTTCTTGGCTTCTGCGAGGGACGTCTTGTTGTTAGCCTTCCGGGAAGCTTCCCATTGTTTCTCGGTTTCGGCCTGCTCAATTGTGGAGATGCGGTGAAAGGGTGCTTCATCAGACATCTGGCGCGGTAGATAACTGTCCCAAATCTGAGGTACCTATGCCTGTATAAGTTGTGAGCTTGATGTCAAGCGTCGATGAAACATACGATGATCAGGCCATATACGGTTGCCAAAAGCAACCACTGATCGGCCGTAAGAGATCCACCAGCAGGGGTCCCAATGTCAGTCGGCAGTTTGCCACACGAGCCTGGGATGATAAACTAGTAATGTTTTGAATGTTAAGTCGCTCTCAGAAGGGAAAAATAGGACACACATACATCTGCGAGCATGCTGTGTAGCGTGGCGAGCTCATGATTTGGCCGTAATATCTTGCTTTGAACCCAGATATTGTAAAAGTGTGTCTTCACTAATCCTGAGAATAGAAGACATGTCAGTTTTATACAGACTCAAAGTAGATATTATGACGCACCCAGGAAGAGATTGTGCATTGGATCTATGACGATTTGTGCGACCAAGTCGAAATATGGTAGGTGGGATAGCTGCGAATATCGTGTTGCATACTCTTTGACGAAGATCTTCTGTGCATTCGGCATCACAAGGTTGCGATACTGATCGCCTAAATGGCGCTGCTCAGCATCTGTTCGTGGTGGAAAAGCTGATATGGATAATAAGTTATTGTATACTGTCTGTGCGAGAGGCGGAAAGACATACCTCCTTGCTGAAACGCATTTGGATTCATCTTGTCTGCCACAGATATCCAGCACTCTGTACAAAAATAAGTATGAGAGTGCGATGTGAAGCCTCCAATCTTGTGTGCTGCAGGCTTGTCGCATACGACCGCAACAAGGGCAACATGGACAAGCCATCCTAAGATAAGTCAGTAGACACTCGCATAAAATAATATTAGACATACCTTCAGGCCGCGATTCAGTGGGAACTTTGATACCATGCTTCCAAAGCCACAGTAGATCAGACATGATAGGCCGAAGAAATCATTGTACCTGGTCCAGTGATTGCTCCTTTGGACCAGGCATGATACTCATGCACATTAGATTTGCTGCCTGATACCTGCAAGGAAGGACAAAGCTGTGTGAGAAGAAAGATGCAAGGATATCATAAAACTTACCTGTATTCTGGTGGCAGGTTACAGATCGAGAACAATGTTGGAGCTGATGAATGGGATGGTGTGATATTGCTCCGAATGTATGAAAACCTGTCGTGAAGTATGTTCAGTCAAATCATAAAGTCAGCAGGAAGAGCATACCAGTCCATGCCCAAGTTCACACCTAAGTGAAGCTCACCATTTGGACCACCGCATTCATTCATCTGGTTTGAAAAGAACAGATTGCTGTCGGGACCTTTAAGCTTCGTGCGGCAGATATTGCCATTGAATATGTCCATATACATGCCAGGTTTTCGTGGTTTGTCTCGCCACTCATCGAGAGTAGCCTCGATGCCAGGAATCTTGAGGATTGATGCAATTTGCTCAGACAGCAGGAGATAAGGGTACTTAATAACTGGAGTCTTCAGCATGCAAGTGTTGCCACATAGAGTCTGCCCTGGAAGAAAAAGTTCAATGTGGCAGGATGTGCAGGTATCATGACAATGCAGTGATGAGGCTGGAGGGTATACATCGTGACAATTCGGACAGACCGGTAACGTATGGATGGGTCTATTGACTCCGAGAAGGCGATTTCCGGACTGGAGTGTTGTGAATGGGGAGGTAGCGGTTGGGTTGAGAAAGAATAGTAGAAGAGTGAGGATCGCCAATAGCGCATTGCATGCAATGCGCGGGAGATGGAACTGGAGATGGAGCCATGATACGAGAGCATGTATGACCGTGACGTGCTCCGGGATGTCAGCGAGGTCTAGGTTATCTGATTGCACCTCTTCATCGATAAGGAAGGGATCGGGATCGTCTTCATCGACGCTGGGGTGGGGGAGGCCATCTACTACCTCTGCGTTGTGGGCATGATCAGTTTCATCAGCATAAGACCAGGATCCATTAGCGTAGGACATATCATCATAATCGAGGGGCAGGGCATTGTTCCGACTATTGTTCTGCTCGTCACAAAGTTCTTCTGCAATATGTCAGAGCTGACATTCCACGGCACGCTGTTCTGGGTCAGGAGGGAGATGGTGGGCACGAAATGAAGTGAGAGGGCAAGCGCCAGCAGACGTCCTTGCATTGTACTCTTGGAAGTAGTCCACAGCGGAAAGCAAGGCCTCGGGGCTATGGAAGTTCAGTCCCAGATTCGGTAGTGCACTGCCAAAGGTCAGAATATCAAGGTCCTCGCCACTGAGAGTACCATGGTCGAGCATCTCTTGTTCTACAGCACAGGTCGAAGTACACAGTGGGTCAGCAAAAGAGACATCAGGTGAGAGGGGGGGAGCAGGCATGCATATAGGGTATGGAAATAATCATGAGATGGGCCCTGCGTCTTTAATGACCGAACGGATGACCCTATGCCCTGATACACGCAGCTGTGACATCTGGGATGCTTTCGTCCTCGCACAAAGGTCATATCGCGTATGGGCGGCGGCCGTATGTGCAGGCACTAGCGCTCCATTACACCCGAAAGATTTGCAGTTGCATTGCTGGAACCCCATCGGAGGTGTGTTCTTAGTGAATAGAGTGTGAGGCCTTGAGGAGGTAGCAGGAGGACGTGCATGACATTAATGATCACGTGAACATTATATTAGTTCCAAAAAAAGACAAGTACTACTTGTGAAAGCATTTAGCAGGAGGGGTGGGGGTACTAGCTTCAGAGAATATGGGCATGTGACATCTTTTATTATTTTCCTGGCCAGCGATAAGTCCCTCTCGAATTTGGGCCCATCTTTCCTGAGTAATGATGAGTATGTGACAACACAAATGATGAAGTTTACTTACACACAACAGTTGTGTACTCACAGTATCAAACATCTCCGATCCAGCAAAACTGTCTGGGGTAAAAGTATACCTAATGGAGGGGCCAGAAACCTGCGTGGGAAGAGATGAGACTGGTATTTCTGAAGTAGTTTTCTAGAAAGAGGTCAATATCGAGAAAAGAACAGTTCATGAGTCACAACGTACCTTGACAGCCGCGGTTGGGGTCTCCTCCATACTTTCGGGCTCAGTTTCACTCTCATCAATGAGAGGAACGCGAGGGGCGATAGGCAGGGCAGTACCACCCTCAGGGTTTGTCTGGCTTTTGTCGGCAGGTGGGAAATGGTCTGGAATACATCCGAATGGTCCTTGCATGGCAGGAAGTGGCTTGACGTTGATGAGTAGAGGATCCTATGTAATACCATCAGCAAGGAAATGAATTATGCGATGACTTACTGAGACGGCTGAAACATGGGCATCTGCAGACTCCAACTTAACCCCACCAGTACCAACGTTAGCACCAAAGTCGACAATGCACGCTTGAGTTGCACGAAAGGTATCATTGCCAAGCTCTGGTGACATCGTCGTTAGGGAGATTTCTATGGTCTGGTGTATGGCCGTGAGTGGAAGACACATGAACGGTAATTAGCCACACATACCACAGGGCCTTGGGAGTTTGGCTCGAAAGAGAGCGTAACATTTTGGATGCTGGTTGGGACATGAAGTTGAAGGATGTGTGGCCTACGTTTGATGACTGTTGGGGGACCAACAAACTCGGTTTCGTCGGCTTGTGAGGTTGGAACCACCTGGTTAGCATCGATATGGAACTTTTGGAGGTGAGTGCATAGGCCAGAGGACTCAAGTACCACATACCTTGGGTTGGTTCATGGTGTACATGGCGAACCGGTGAACTTGGAGACCAAGGAAAATTTTCGCAAAGTCCATTATTTTTTCCGAGGGGTGCAAGGGCGGCAAGAGCCACTCTTCCGATGGTATTATAGTTGGACTATGGCCGATGAAGTCAAGCATAGTCGGAGTGGGGAAATGCACGTGCAAGAGGTCAGGCTATTGGTGTATTGACTATATTCAGATCTTGCCTACATCGGATTATTTGGATATGTTACTCAAAAATTGTGGAGTCGGACTTTACTCAGACTAATAGCTATATCTTACAAAAAAAAATCAAGGTCGGATTATCTACATTTGGAGAATCCAGTTATGCCCCCTGCTAAAATCTCGTTTCCGCAGTGATTGCTCTCGATGCGTCATGTCTTATCATCAATGTAGTCATGTATACCCTGTAGCCAACTGGAATGCAAGTGCCTTATGTAGAAAAGTTGGGCATGGACTCAACAATTCGCAGCTGTGAAGCCCTCGCGCTCCCGAAGAAGACCCGATCATACGCGATCGCCATCAACGCTCACCACAACACGAGGTAGAGAACGGGCGCTTGAAGGTGACATGTGGTCTCCTGGACTCTTGGATGAGCCCTCCCTTTGCCCACAACCATGACTCCGTTTCCCCGGCAGCTATCCTGTACGATTTTCGACGGCCAATGAGTACGGTGTCTACAGTGCTGATTCACAAATAACCACTTGGGTACAGATATCGAACTACGCGGCGGAAAAGACATCGAATCCGTCGACCTTGTCCTCGCTAATAGGCAAATCTCCATCCCTCGACAAGGAGAAGGCTCTTTTTCGGAACATTTTGATGAACGATTGTTAGTTACCATTCGCTATATGCATCACCATAGTATTCTCATGTCTTTGACTGGTTGCAATAATAGGCCATTTGCAGCCGATCTCCTTGCTCTCGAAGTTCGTCGTCGAAAGAAGCTATTCTTCCGCTCTTCGTCTATAGCGGTCTCCGAAACCATCACGATCAGCTCTGCCGACATTCAATCCGGATCAGAGAGGCAAGGTAGCTCTCAGAGTAATCATTTGCCGTGTCTTGGACAGCTTCTGAAAAAAATGCACAGTAATCAAAAAACGACGGGGCAAAGTAGATATTACCCTCGAGGTTTCACCACCACCCATACCAACCGTCGGTAACTAATAGGTAGTACTGAATTAGCGCTGACAAGGAGCTCACAGGATACGGCTCCTAGGAACTTAACACCAACTACGGAGGACCTTATTAATCAGTGCCCTCGGTGAGCGCCAGATCCCTACGTCTCGATGCTAATATATTTCATCTATATCTATAGTTTCTGAATCTTGGTAATTGGAAAGGTATTGGTTTTGCTTGTCACACGGGTAGCCGCTGAGAACCGTGTTCTTGCAGTCAGGTGCCGGGAAGTCATCTCTGATAAACCGAGTCTTCGGTGTGAAAGCTGCGGTTGAGTAACTCGGTCTGCATCTATCCATTACATTGACAGAGGATGTAGTGCATCGCCGATGATAGACCTGGGAAAGCAGTAATCGAGGAAGAGCTAATCTCCCCGGAGAACGACCGATTCATCTTACACGACAGCCAAGGCTTCGAACCCGCCGAAGGCAGCAACTATGATACCGTGAAGTCGTTCATAGAGGCCAGAAAGAGGATGCCACATATCAAAGATCAGCTTCATGCAGTGTGGTATGTCGTCCTGACTTGGGGCAGCTGCATTCCCGTCTCTGACCGACCGCTGGATATGATAGGTTGTGCTTCCCAGTACCCATTATAGAATACGGCGAGCGACTTTTGGAGGACGGCGCAGAAACGTTCTTAGCGCAATCGAGCGAAGCCTTAGGGAATAGTGAGCAAGTAACCTCTCGTGTCAAATCTGGCAGACTGACTCGCCTCAGTTCCGACCGTTGTCGTATTCACAAAGTATGACAACCTCTTAGCGTATATGTCGGCGGAAGGTAAAGTGGATCCTGAAGTTGAGGCGAGGCAATATTTGCAAAAGCATTGCGTCAAGCCAATTCAGGATTTCTTGAAGAACAAGAACATTGACATTCTGCATGTTGCAGTTAGCTGTGAGTCCCGCCTATTCCCATTCGATTTCTTGCCTATTATTCATCTGGAACAATGCTAGCGAATCCCAAGTGTGAGCGAGGGCACGACGAACTGACAAACCTCACTTATGAGAGGGTATCTGAGAGCTTTACTTCTCAGCCGAATGTGGTATCACCGGTGCCGTTTGCGGCTGCAGGAGCTCAAAGAAGGGTACCTAGAGTAAAGATTGAATCCTCGATCAAGTAAGCCTCATTCTAGTGTGATGCTGCCATATTCTGAGCTATTACTTATACAGTGTGGGGAGGCAAAGTGGGTTTCCATGCACAAAGTGATGATCATCAGTACACTCATGCACCGAAAGGATACTGGAGAGCACTGGCTACCAGCACAGATTTTCAGGGTTTTAAGATGGCTGACTGCCTTCGCGTCATACACACCGACATCGTCTCAGTTTGGAACTTCTACGATCCCTATGAGGCGAGCATTCTTGCCTTCTTGTGATAATTGCCTCCTAACGTTACTTTTGTAGTACCTAGGTTCCAAAGAGTTTCGAGATTTGATGGTCAACATGGTTGGGGATGTGGATGCACTGGCTGTGCCGACCCCTGCATCCACCCAGCTCACTCGTAGTAACACGTTGTCGGGGTGAGTGCTGGCGTGAAGCCTGCTTTCTAGCGAACTCATGGAGATTTGCCACACCCCAAGTAGACCCATCCCTCTCATGGCTGCAATGGTTGTAATCCTGCCATTTGTTGCTGGCTTAGCCCTTGTCCAATGGGTCAGTGAATCCTACCAGCGACTGTACGTGCAATCGTTAGTATGATATTTCAGAATATCAAATGGTTATCCTTCTAGGCAAAATGCGCATCAAAGTTTTATGGCATACATCGTCGATTTGACACACGTACTGGAAATACTGTTTGCACTCACGGGTAACAGGAAGGAAAAGAAACTTACACGCAGGGCGATTAAGCTGGCCTTCAAAGTGTATTATGAATCCTCATGGAGGAGCAACGTTCATACAGCGATTAGGCAGTTCAAGCATATTATCATGGACCGTGATGTAATTCTCGAGAAGATCGAGGCCTTTGTCCTTTCGGATGGTAGGGAGACTCAAGTGACCAGTTTGGTCGAAGGGGTAGGATCAGTTGATCTGGGGCAAGATGAAGAATGGTACCCCGATTCTAACTAACAGGGGTGACCAGTGTGTTGCACCCCGTGTTTTCCCTATCTTTGTGTGGTTTCACTAGTTTTCATTGTCGCGCCGTATTCGTGTCGTTGCTGTCGTTGTGTCTTGTAGTTATACCTTGTAGCCAATAGGAAGGGATTCTTGACAAACGAGTACTGGGCGTGTCAATTTTCTTGGCAGCTTGCGGGCCGTGGTAGTGATCTGTGGTCTGACCTTGAATCGAGGATGTTGTATGTCACCTTTTGCCCAGTGCCTGCCAGCCGGTTCACTAACGTTTGTCTTTTCCCCAGGCCGTCCGGGCAGCGAGGATTGTTACTGGTCTGTGGGACAACTAGCCAAATTCGTTTCCGAGCGATACTTGTCGTTGCTGTCAGTATCACTACTAGTCTCGTCCGCGATCGAGGTTCAAACCTGCGCGGGACCGCTTGCCTCCAAAGGAACCATCTTTCGCGTTCTTCGGCTGCCTTTTGGGACATTACGTCGAAACATCACACTAATCTTCGTGTTAAAGACATCTGGTGTGCTTCATATGTCATCGAGGAATCGGTGTGGGGCGCATCCACCGAACTAATACTACAAGCTTATTACTAAATCCACACATCACTGCTACCGAGTTCAGAGCACAGTCGACGTCCTTACACGCCCGGCGATCTTCCGATGGTTATCTGGCACATGCAAACGCGCGAGGTACGTTGACACCGCCGCACGTTTGTCGACTAAATACACCATTGTGCGAACCGGTCCCTTCACTGAGCATACGAAAACCCACGTAACATCCACACTCTAGAGCCCCGTGTCAATTCTTTTCCACTTCTGAGAGCGGTGACGGACGCAAATGTTCGCCTCAGTCATCTACCCAAGCCAATTCCTGGACGTCCTGTCCGCCTACAACCTCGGACATGACATGAGAGGGTATGTCTGGCAACCTTTCACATATGTTAGTAGGGAGTCCCCCCTGCGCATTCCTCCGGCATCCCGGCCACCAGAACGCTCGACGCCGAAAGCGTTGTTCACACCCCCCAAAAAACATGCTTCCGTGAGAATATACAGTGGTGCAAGTTATAATAACGAGGCCCACGCTTCTAAAAAATCGTATGTCTGGTGCCCTCATTCCTCGAATCACACCTTAAACGATAGTTTGTACTCTCTTACACTATGCTCCGCGCCACCCTACAACCACTCCACAGTCTGTAGAATAAACCAGTTAGCGACACGTGCCCAGGATCGGCCACACAAGAACCAACTTACCGCGGGTGGCTTTGAAGAAATATCGTACGTGACGCGATTGATGCCACTCACTTCATTGGTAATACGGGAGGATATACGGCGCAGGACCTCGGCTGGGAAGACGTACCTAGCATCATGGACCGTGTCTGATGAGGAAAATATCGGAAGAGTTGGATGTATGGTGAGAACGTACCAATCTGCAGTCATGAAGTCCTCCGACGTCACAGCACGAAGCGCGATAACCTATATATCCGCTTTCAGCATGCACCCGATAATCTCGATTATCATTTAACCCACCTGTTCATACGTCCTCTTATCCCCCATGACCCCGACGGCCTTCACAGGTAACAACACCGCAAACGCCTGACTGATCTGATCATATAAATTAGCTTTCCGAATTTCTTCGATGTAGATGTTATCCGCTTGTTGGAGGATCTTGACTTGTTCACGCGTGACAGGTCCTAGGATTCGGATGGCGAGTCCGGGACCTGGGAACGGATGACGTTTGACGAGGGGTTCTGGGATGGTCAATAGACGCCCGAGGGCGCGTACTTCGTCTATATCGAGTTAGCATAATTATGTTGCATTCGTCTGTGGATGACAGAGCCCGCCGACCAACCTTTGAACAGCTCCCGTAATGGCTCTATCAGTTTGAGTTTCATATCTTTGAGCAAACCGCCGACGTTGTGATGCGTCTTGATCGTCGCGCTCGGTCCCTTGAAACTGATACTCTCAATCACATCTGGGTATAAAGTCCCCTGTAGCAACCACTCGATCTTTCCTTTTGCTTCAGCTCCTGTTTTCTCTTCTTCCTGTGCCGCAGCTTCGATTTTCGACGCCTCGGCTTCAAAGACGTTGATGAAGGTGTTACCAATGATTTTGCGTTTTTGTTCCGGGTCTTCGACGCCGTCAAGGCGAGATAGGAAGAGTTCTGAGGCGTCAACGACGGTGAGATTGACGCCGAGGTTCTCTTTCAGCATACGCTCGACCTGCTTCGCCTCGTTGAGACGGAGGACGCCATTGTCGACCATTATGGCCTGGAATCTGCAAGGCTGAGGTTAGAGTCGAGTGGTCACTTCGCAGAGAGGGATGGATATAAAGGGTACGGTGTAGAACTTGCCTGTCCCCGATAGCCTCGTGCATCAATTTAGCCGCAACGGTACTGTCGACCCCACCGCTGACTGCGCCGATGACACGACCTTTTGGACCACATATATCACGGATCCGCGCAATCTCTTTTCCAATGAACTCTTGCTGGGGATAGGTTAGTATACATGCAAGGGAACAAGCGTGGGACGCAGCGTACCATCGTCCAATTTGTACGACATCTACAGATGCTGGTGACGAATCGCGAAATAACTTCCCTGCCTTTAAGACTGTGCGTCACCTCTGGATGAAACTGGATCCCGTATATAGGTTTCGAGTCGTGCGCGATAGCCGCAAAAGGTGCGGTTTGTGTGTGTCCGATGACATGGAAATCTGGAGGCAAACTTTGCAGTTGGTCTCCATGCGACATCCAGACCTATTCGAGCCGTGATACTCAAAATTGCAACTGATCAGCTAGAATAGTAATCAAACAAACGTACCTGCATTTCGTCACCGAGGCCATCGAATAAGGCGTCGACGGTGCTGTTGTCGTTTCCGTTTCCAAAACGACTGATTTGGATGGTGGCGTAACCATACTCGCGATGGTCGCATTGGGTGACTTGACCTTTGAGATTCCATGCTATTTCCTGTCGCAGGGGTCGTGAGGACGCAACATCGAGGATGAAAAGTGGGGATACGTGCGTACCTGGAGTCCATAACATATACCGAGGATCGGGACCCCCAACTCGAAGACGGCGGGGTCAACATGAGGTGCATCGGCATCGTAAACAGAGTACGGGGAGCCGGAAAGAATGATACCTGGCGTAACAAGCTACAGAAGCCCAACTCATTTCGGAAGATGAATTATAAGGCGACTGACCTTTTGGTTTGAACTGGATGTCTTTGAGAAGAACTGTGCATGGCATCAATTCAGCGTATACGTTGAGCTCGCGACATCGTCTCGTGATGAGATGACTGTACTATAGATCATGGGGTGAACGTATCAGAGCGAATGGTGGGTCATCTCAGATTGCAGTAAAATCTGACCTGTGATCCAAAGTCAAGAATAAGAATAGTATCGAATTGATCATGAATTTCGGCCATCCCGGTCGTACTTCTCCGGTGTCGGTGTCAGTGTTGGCAGTTTGACTGTGGACGTTGGATGCGATATATGAAATCTCTTGATTGGATAACGTTTTGTGACTAAAGCAGTAATATTACCCCTGTACAGTGCTGGAACAACTGGATTATTCGTACCAAAGTGTACCGTGGGTCATGACATGAAATGTCGAATACAGATGGGGAGCCGCTCCGTCCGATTACCCAGATCCGATTTTTCAGTGACAACGCACAGGTCTGGCCCCAGATCATTCCTATTATTATCTGGGCGCGATGCCTTTACTTTCTTCCATCCGTTCCTCTCGCGGCGTTCGCACCAACTGTCGGTCACCTTGTTGGCCCGGGTGGCCCATCAGCATCATGCATCAATTGCGGCACGGCCGTTCTATGTGCCTTGCGGCCCACACTTCATTTGTCCCTACCCTAGTAACTCTCTTAGCTTCATTGGTTGTTGTTTATGGTCTGCCTTATCTTCCTCAAACCTAGACCTTAGCTTTGTCATGGCGTAGTCGGCCATAGTACGGTAGACTCTATTTTGATTTCACTCCACACAAGCGGCGACCACAGCTGTTCCTGTCCAATGACGAATATGGGCGGGCGCATCTGAGGCCGGTGCACACGGTGCTGATTTCCCACGAATTGCATGAGCCATTGGGCTACACCAGCGCTCCGTTGCGAGAGTTATCGATCCATTCACCTCCTTCGACCACCTCAACACCATGGCTCCTGTGTTATTGTATCATGCTACCCCCAGCAAATTTGTGGACGATATCAAAGCAGGCATTAAACTTGACCGTGCCAAACCGAGAACGGATTTCCGTCGCGAAAGCCAAGCCTTTTACCTCACAGACAATGAGCACATTGCGAAGACTGTCATGACTGAGGAAGTTCGTGGCTTTGAAGATCACCCAACATCAGTCATGACATTCTCCCTGGAACTGGAAGGCTTGAAAGTCAAGAAGTTTAGCAATGCGCTGTCGGGGGAGGCCCTCAATGAATGGCGTGAGGTATCTGAATCCAGAATGAGATCTCCTGCGACAGTTACTAAGGCATGGCTTACAGCATGTCGCATATTGCAGATTATATCAGAAGAAGGGTGTCCCTCTCCCCCATCCTCCTCCCACTGTCACGGAAAACTACGACGTCATCATCGGGTGGATGAGCACTATAAAGGGTCGGCAACCAATTTATTCTCAATCAAACCCTTGATCGTTAACCATCTGAACTTAGGTGGTCAACATGAGCCTGTTGATAGTCATGTCTGGCAGTATGCTATTCTTACCGAGCACGCGTTGTCGAAATTGAAGTTTGTAAAGGTAGAATAGATCCGTAGTCGCATGAACCCAGCATCATAATCTCGTGATACACGTGCTTGCACACGAATCTCTTGTTACTGTCAGACGCAAGGACGGAATACTTAAAGACGATCTTCGACGACGACAAGACCCCAACTGAAGACATCTCTGTGTCCCAGTAACTCGGGACGAGGGGCCCTTGCGTAAGCTCCGTTTACGACGGAATCCTGCAACTGCAGAGCTGTGAGACCCCGCTTGAGCTCCGAAGCTGTTTTAGACATCAGAGTCAACTCGTCCGTACGAAAATAAAACAAAACAAAACAAACCATTGACAGCGACGGCATTGTCCAAGAAATGTAAGTCCACGTTGGTGTACCAGTAGTCACTAAGGACCTGAACCGGATTGCTGATAATATCGCTGGGCTTGTGCCCAGAGTGCTCGACCACTTTGGTGGCGAAGTCTTCCTTCACGCCAGCTTTAACGAGGACTGCTGCCTTGAGCGGGTTGCACGGTCGGATATTATGAACTACTTACTCTGGATAGCTTTATGTTTCTGGTCGGACATGGTTTGGCGGTAAGGATGGTCGATGAGGTGAACTGGAGTGTGGCACAGGCACTTGGGGGGTCATTGGCTTGTCGGAGTTCAAATGTGTCACCTGAATTGGGAATGATTCGACTAATATAGGCGCCTACTTAGCGATTCACTGATTTCGACTGGCGATGTCCAACGTTTCTTTTATTTTGATCGAGCCTGCAGGGAGGCCATCAAATGAATCACAGACGTCGTTGATCAAAGAATGGCAGCTCGCTTTTACTCAGCACCTCCAGCCAAAGGACCTCGAGCGCTTCTCCTTTCTGGAGAGCAGGCTAGGTCAACTTAAGCAAGCTCAAGTTACGTTCGACTGCGTCGTTTCCCCTGCAAACTCGTATGGTATCATGGATGGCGGGTTAGCTATAGCTTTGTACCTGATCCCCCCCTCAGCAAGTTATGTTAACGCCCCGTCCAGCTTTGATTTTTATCTGTCGATGGCTTTCTCTCCGCCAAAGGACTTCCATGCTCTTACTCGCCTCGTCCAGGCCGCTATCAGAGATCGGTATTACGGCTTCGCACCACCAGGTTCATGTATCCTTGTCCCAGGCCTCCCGCCAAACGATTTCTCTTGCAAGGTTATAGCTGTTTGCCCTACGATGCGCTACCCGGAGGAATTAAAGTGGCATAAAGACATCGTTTACAACACGATGTGGTCTCTGCTGGTTGAGCTCGAGATATGGAACGAGAAAGCGGATGACGAAGAGAAGAAAATTAAGAAGGTCCTGATGACGGGGCTTGGGACAGGAGTCGGCAAGATCCCGTCATCAGTTTGCGCAAAACAGATGGCATTGGCCGTTAAACACTTCCTTTATGCAAGGAGCGAGGAGGGTCAGAAGACTTGGGCTGAAAATGACTACCTATCATGGGACAAGGTTTTGGATCTCGCAGAAGAGGTTTCAAAATCCTGAATGTCAATATGATATGGCTCAAGTGTTACTGATGTGTTGCTTCAGATAAACGTGATTTCGAGCCGTCGACGCATCGTACTAGCCTTTGGATAGGAGACCTCAATTGGACAGTGACCGAACCAGTAATACCTCTGCACAGATTTTTCGGTCACGCTGTCCGTACTCATGCCCTGTATAAAGGTGTACAACGTATAAAAATTACAAACGAGTTAGCAATGCCCGTGCGACATACCACCTGGTTGGCAGTCAGAGGGACCCCCCAATCTTGAAAGACACTTATATCAAGCCTCCGCATCTCCGCTAGCAGTACCCTTCCAAGAACAAACCAACTGTTCTTCTTGTGGCTCCGTCACAAGCCAGTACAAGCCAAGGCATACAATGACGAGGCCGAAGATCAAGATCGCTGCACCAAACTGAAACTTTGCTGTATGAATACCGAAGTGTACAACGAGTGCGGCAATGAAGAAAAACACACTACGAGATGGACTCAGTCATGGATGTGATGTCAAGTCAGATGTTTCTTACACACCTGTACAAGAACAGCTCGAATGGAAACCCTAGAACCAACACCATGATTTGAAAGTAACGTGACGAGTGAGCCGTCTGAACTCTGCATCAGCGGGGTAGGCCATCGCACTAAGCCCAGTCATTACTCACGAAAAATCTCGGCGTCCGAACCGCTAATCCCATCAAGATGCTACCCATTGCAGATAGAAGCGATGTGTAGCTCAACCTTTGGGGCCAGTAAGTCAACCCATTCTGATCAATAGATTGGATAGCCAAGAAGCTGAAGTTTGCTGTCATTAGTACAGTAGCCTTTAACATAGCGACTGTGTGCTTAGTAACGGAAACAAGTATTAAGGATGTACTTAACCTACAAGCAGATTGATATTTTCGACATCTTTTTGGAACGTGTCGCTGAACACCATCCATTTGGCTACGTCCGTTTCATGATCATGGATTTGTGGCGTAACCTCGCGCTGCCGAGCGGCGGCACGCTCTCGTTTGGCTTTACTTTGTTGTGTAGCCCCGAGCGCACGCCCGATAAATCCGGGATGATCAAGGACAGACAACATCGAAAGTATACCTGCCAACTTATCGAGTAGGGGCGTCGGTTGCTTGAGCGGAGGTTTGGAGGAAACCATGCTTGATGTCGCAAGGCATAAGCGTAAATGCCGCAATAAGCACTCGTATATGCACTTACCGTCCTTTTGACCCCCCGTAATCAGCAGGCTGGGAACCCTGGGGCTTGGCGGCGACATCAGACTATTGGATTCCAACACAATTGAGAAATGACGTACCCTACTTGCATCAGCTACTGTGGAGATTGTTTGACTCTGAGCAAGGCCTCTATCACCGGAGCGTTGTATGGTCACGCTCCTGACGTCGGCATCTGCCTCCACTTCTCCCTTCTCTATATCATTGCGTGGTGCTATCGAAGGAGAGCATTTGTCTCCGTTACTCTTCGCGAAATGCTTCCGTTCTCGTGACTTCTGAACAGAGGCATTCCAGAACGAGAAGATATACCGCAGAAAGTGTAAAGTGGCCGAGGAACATCGTTTGGCAATCGCTATGAATAACCTCGGGAAGCGAACAAGGATCCGCAAGAGCGCCTCTGGGAGTAACATGATGGTTGTATGCAGAACAGCAAGGTCGCATGTTGTCTGTCGCCCTTTTGCCATGCGGGCGCCATTAACGTCAGTGACCGGCCGTCGGCTTTGATCGAGTACCAAAGCCGCATGTTATTTGGGAGGAGCGACTAGTTCCCATGTTTCTATCCAGGTATCCAAACATCTTCAATAGGGTCGGGTAGGCCTCCGTTCCTCGTGTCTGCGACAGCATCTGAACAACCTTACTGGAAGTAATTTGTCTGGGCTGGCAGTAAGTTAGTCTCGGCTCCAACCGTGTTGGTCTTCATCCCGGTCGCTTTCGGAAACTCCCAGTAACCGCAACAATCGACTGGTTACGATGTCATAGTAGGTTCCAGCTCACTGGCACAGTGGCTAATTGAGCGGTACTGAAATAGGAAATGTTCAGAGTGACCTACTACATACATATGTTCCACAGTACATATCTATCATATTATTTTCACGGGATGGATACCAACACAATTATCATGACCATCACAATCTTGCCTCCTTGAAAGCCACCTAGTTAGATACTGCCACCTCCACATCTGTCTGGGAAGGAACTTTTTGTTCCCCTACTGGCTCTGTGATGAGCCAGTATAAAAAGAGGCACATGATGACAAGGAAGAAGATGACAGAGGCCGCGATATTTTGCAGTGTTGCTTCATTAAGCCTGAAGCGTTCAATAAGTGCAGCGACAAAGAAAACAATGCTACAAAGCAGGCTTGTCACAGATGTAGTATGAAGTAAGGCATCACACACACGCCTGTACAAGAAAAGCTCAAATGGAAACCCTGGAACCAATGTCATCACTTGGAAGTAGGCTGTGTTGTAAGCTGTCTGGGAGTTCCTGGTCATTGGGATTATCCACGAAACCAAGCCTAATGGCCACTCACAAAGCGTCTTGGTGTCCTGACAGTCAATCCCATCAAGATGCTGCCTAATGCAGCAAGGAGACATATAGCTCAATCGCTGAGGCCAGGAATGCAATCCATTGGGGCTATCAACAGTTTGGATTGCCAGGAAGCCGACATTTGCGGTCAGCAGCACAGTGGCCTGTCATAAAATGCAAGAAATGAATGCATCCATCGAAATCGCACACCACTGTAACGCCAACTTACAAGTAGAGTGATATTCTCGACATCTTTTTGAAATGTTTCCCAGAATGTTGACCATTTCACCACATCTGTTTGACCATTATATTGTGTACCTCTGAGGGAACGCTCAATAAATCCAGGATGATCAAGGAAGAGTAGCATAATAAATGCGTCTTGTAGTCGCCACGAGCGCCACATGCGTCTGACAGGAGGGTTGCAACAGTGCATGCTTGGACGCCACAAACATCAATACGGGCATCACGATAAATGCTCGCGTGTAACGTACCGTTGCAAACGTGTTTACTCTGGTGGGAAGTGGGGAACGTTTGGACCTACTAGATTTGCAGACGAATCCCCAACAGACACTGCAACCGTCGACTTCGCTCTGAAATCAGGCTTTTATATGGATTGCACAGGTTTTCAGCGACGCACCCTCAGGCTACTCGCAGAAGATTGTGGCATAGGCGTCAGTCCACGACCCGCCGCCGTGTGCCCAGCCAAGCTTAGTACAGTTACGCTTTCAACACTAGTATCTTCCCCCGCTACTCTACCTTTCTCCCCATCCAGGCTGGGTGCTGTCGAAGTGGCGACATCACCCAAATCTCTCAGGGAGCGGTGATTTTGTTTCTTCTTCTGGACCGACGCACTCCAGAAAGGGAATAGGTGCCGCAGAAAATGTAAAGCTACAGAGGAGTATCGTTTGGTGATTATTAGGAGTAGCTTCGGAAAGCGAGTAAGGATCTGCAATAGTGTCTTGAGGACTGACATGATGGAATGTGAAGAGAACGAAGCCTACGATGTACAGCATCAGATGTCCAGTCCAAGTACATAGCCGACTGACACGCCTGTTATGGTAATTTCCTGAGAAATTTTGAGACCAAACTTGCTTTGTGGACATCCACGTCAACGCAGGGGACGAGGAGGTCGTCTGATGGTCCTCCCACAGAGCTGTCGAGCCGGAGTTCGACAGCTGGCGGTCAGGCTAACGTCCTGCACGAAATATCCATCCCTTCTTCCTGTCAATTCGCTCGTCGCGAGGAGTCTGGCAAGGCAGAGATCCTTCGCAACGTGCAGAACAGTTGCAGCGAGATCCTCACCCCTGCTTTACTACCCTAGGCGGTCGAACAAGTCATCAAACGACTCCGGGGAGCAAGACGGCCTCGAGGAAGAGACTCCAAAGAATCAGAACACCAAAGACCGTGTCAAGTTGGAAAGCTCGGAAGATGAAAGTCCAGCTGGCTCCTCCGCGCCTTCTTCCCCACCTTCGTCCTCTTCTTCGGGTGGCGATGGAAGCGATAACTCGGAACCCCCGCCACCTACCGCGTACCGCACGCCCACCCCCAGTTCTATAGCAAAGCAGTCCGTACCAGAGGTGTACCCGCAAGTCCTCGCCTTGCCAATAGCGAGACGCCCCCTTTTCCCTGGCTTTTACAAAGCGGTCGTCGTTCGAAATCCAGCCGTCGTTGCTGCCATCAAAGAAATGATGAAACGCGGTCAACCCTACCTCGGTGCATTCCTCCTCAAAGACGAGAACACGGACAGCGATGTCATTACGGACATCAACTCAGTGCATCCAGTCGGCGTATTCGCACAGATTACAAGTATATTCGCAGCAAATACAGGTTCCGCTGAAGACAAGGACGAAGGGTTGACCGCCGTCTTGTACCCGCATAGGCGGATCAAGATGACGGAACTCATTAAGGCTGGTGATCAACCCTCCACGGCTCAAGTCGCACCAGAGGACACACAAACACTGACGCCTCCTCCATCGCCGGGGCCGGAAATTTTAGAGGATGCCGTGGCTAAGATGCCGCCAGGCAAGTATTCTTCGAAGCGAACACCAGGAACATCTTGTTTCTAACTCATTTCAGGACCAGTGCAAACTTCTTTTCTACATAAGCATGCTATCTCAATCGTACAAGTAGAAAACCTGGTCACGCAGCCCTACAACAAAGACGACCAGTACATCCGTGCCTTCATGTCCGAGATCGTATCCGTCTTCAAAGATATCGCTCAGCTAAATCCTCTGTTCCGCGACCAGATTACCAATTTCTCGATTAACCAAGTCTCATCTAATGTCTTTGACGAGCCTGACAAGCTTGCCGATTTCGCTGCTGCCGTATCTAGTGGTGAGGTTGGCGAGCTGCAGGATGTACTAGAGAGTCTGGTCGTTGAGGAAAGACTGCGAAAGGCGCTTTTGGTGCTCAAGAAAGAACTAATCAATGCCCAACTCCAGAGCAAACTCGCGCGGGACGTTGACAGCAAAATTGCCAAACGTCAGCGCGAGTACTACCTAATGGAACAGCTTAAAGGCATCAAGAAAGAGCTTGGTATGGAATCCGACGGCAAGGACAAACTGATTGAGAAATTTAAGGAGCGGGCCGCGGCGCTCAAGATGCCAGAACCTGTTCGGAAGGTCTTCGACGAAGAATTGAACAAGTTGATGGGTTTGGAACCCGCAGCTTCGGAGGCGAATGTAACGCGTAATTACTTAGAATGGCTTACTCAGGTACGTCTGTCTACCTTTTCATTATTTTCATCGCTGCATGGTTTGCGCGATGACAGATACCATGGGGGCAACACTCTCCCGAGAACTATTCCATCGCTCACGCGCAACAAGTCCTAGACGAAGACCACTATGGGCTAAAAGACGTCAAAGACCGTATCCTTGAATTCCTTGCGGTCGGTAAACTTCGCGGAACCGTTGAGGGTAAGATCATCTGTCTCGTCGGTCCACCCGGTGTCGGCAAAACGTCGATCGGGAAGTCGATCGCACGTGCACTGAATCGTCAATTTTTCCGGTTCTCGGTGGGAGGTTTAACGGACGTGGCCGAGATCAAGGGACACAGGCGGACGTATGTAGGTGCGTTGCCGGGTAAGATTATCCAGGCGTTGAAGAGAGTGGGGACGGAAAACCCGTTGGTGTTGATTGATGAAGTGGATAAGATTGGGAGAGGGATTAATGGTGACCCTGCGAGTGCGTTATTGGAAATGTTGGATCCGGAGCAGAATAATGCGTTCTTGGATCACTAGTAAGTGGCACCTGCTGTCATCCGTGTTTATTCGATCGATATACTGACTCGTGTGCAGCATGGATGTGCCTGTCGACCTCTCACGGGTTCTTTTCGTGTGCACCGGTTCGTGTCGACAGATCCTTCTTTTTCTTCTGGGAATACTAAAGACATTCAGCCAACAATCTTGACACCATACCTGCCCCTCTGCTTGATAGGATGGAGGTGTTGGAAGTCAGCGGGTACGTCTCCGAAGAGAAATCCGTCATTGCGGACAAGTATCTCGGACCACAAGCTAAAGAAGCCTCTGGGCTCAAAGATGCCGATGTGCTTCTCGATCCGTCGACCGTGGACGTGTTGATCAAGTATTATTGTCGTGAAAGTGGTGTGCGGAATCTAAAGAAACACATTGACAAGGTGAGTGCACAATTTATTTATTTTTCCTTGTTTCGTCAAGAAAAGAATGTTGGGGGGTCTGATTGCCGTGGGTTGTAGATATACAGGAAAGCAGCGCTCAATATTATTTTGGAACATGGAGAGGAAATGTTCCCTGAACCTCCGGAACCCACGCCTGCGCCTGCAGCTGCCTCCACCGACGATGTCTCCTCCAACTCTGCATCGGCAACCACTACCGTCGAATCCCAGGAACCTTTGTCCAACGAGCCTAAAGAGACAGTAACTTCGGAAGAGGAAACCTCCGCCAGTGGCGCTTCCAAGAACTCCAACTCCGAACTCAAGACTGTCACGACGCAAGAGCGTAAACCGCTTCGCGTGCCGGAGCACATAACTGTGCGGATTACGCCGGAGAATTTGAAGGAATATGTGGGTCCGCCTGTCTATCATAAGGATAGGATGTATGTCACTCCACCTCCTCCGGGCGTTAGCACTGGTCTTGGATATCTGGGTAACGGATCAGGGGCGGTCATGCCTGTTGAAGCCACGGTAAATATCACCCGTTCTGCATTCCCTGACAAGTGATTAACAGACGATGCGTTTGACTCGCAGAGCATGCCTGGCAAAGGAGGTCTTCAACTCACCGGTAAACTCGGTGAAGTCATCCGCGAGAGCGCGCAAATCGGTCTCAGCTGGGTCAAAGCACACGCCTACGAACTTGGAATTACTAGTAGCTTCGATGAGCAGTTTTTGACGGATCGGGACATTCATGTGCATATGCCTGAGGGAAGTATTGGGAAGGAAGGGCCGAGTGCTGGTACAGCTATTGTGTCGGCCTTCGTGTCGTTGTTTACAAAGACAAGGATTAATCCTGATGTTGGTATGTCGATGGCCAGGTTTGGAGTAGTGAATGGGGGACTGACGGTTTTGACACGGTGCATGCAGCCATGACAGGTGAAATATCTCTTGTCGGCCAAGTTCTCCCAGTCGGCGGCCTCAAAGAGAAGATCCTAGCTGCCCATCGAGCAGGTATAACGACGATCGTCGCACCCGCTGCCAACCGTGCAGACATCGAAGAAAACGTGCCTGAGAGCGTCAAGACAGGCATTCGGTTCGTGTACGTCGAGGACGTGCGAGAGGTTCTCTTCGAAGTGTTCCGTGGCGAACCGATCACGGAGAGGTGGAAGGATACATTGTCAGTATAGGTTCCTCTCTGCCATCTCCTTTCCATCGTGATGCAACTACAACTACTATCAACTATTCTTATCCTAATCTCATGGCAAGTTGCACAACTTGCATTAGATCTGGTGCCCATCCCAGGCTAGATCTCTTGGGATACAGCATTATTACCAGATATCATCGGTCGCCCTGTCGCCCCTCCCTCGTTAGGAGTTCTGAGGCACTTGTGCTCTGTGTACCTGCAGAGCTGCATATGGCGGAATGGGTCGCGCATGTCCACATAATACACCTAGATCGCACTGCAGGTTTCATACTTCATACAAGCCGATGTATTACACACAGATTATCAGCCCAACTCATGCATGCAATTGAATAGTCAGTTAGCTGACACGAGAGGTGAAGCTTTGGAACTTGAGTCGACATATTGAAGGAAGAACTGTTATTCTATTGTATCCGAGCATGAACGGGTTGAGGCCGGTCAGGGGATTTGATCCTGTGCGACGGCATGCTTTATGCTCCTGTCAGTGCCGCAAACAACAACAAAGACACGACGCACCCTTCCAGGTGTTTCAGGCCTTGGGGCTGTAAAAGCCGGAAGATCGATGTCTGTGAATGCTCCTTAGCGTTTAGGCTTGTGTGTACCTCCACAATCGTCCAAGGCCTTCCACAGCGCAGTGGTCATCTTTCAGTTTTTACGCACCGTTGGACTACCCGCAGGCATCAGGCTAACAGCGGCACCATAGTACCATGGATTCACCACTTCAAGATCTTTCACGACATGCCACCCGCTACAGCGTAAACTTAGATGGGCAAGTTGTACGCGACACAAACTACCACCCTCTATGTGGCGGTTCCGCGGATGTATACCGAGGAACTATACAGTCTACTGGTGCAGAAGTCGCTATCAAGATCATTCGCACTGATCTCGCAAGTGATATTGCTGCTATTAAGGTTAGTTAGGCTCGCGATGGTCTACCAGTGGTAAGTTTTCCAGGCTGATTGCGTTCAGCACACCCTCCGGGAGGTGCATCTCTGGTCTAAACTTCAGCATGAAAATATTCTCCCATTGTTTGGCATCACTACCGATTTCGATTACACCGTTTCTATAGTGTCACCGTGGATGAAGACCGGAAATGCTTTTACCTATGTACAAGATAGAAGTGTTGATCCGCGGCCATTGGTAAGTGGGATATTCAAAATTTGTTCGGAGCCCTATAAGTAGTTCGAACGTTGCACCTTCCGCGACACAGCTTGTGGGAGTCGCAAGAGGCCTACTCTACCTTCACACTCATGATCCTCCGATTTTCCATGGGGACCTCAAAGGGGTGGGTCTACTCGTTCCAGTTCACGTGTTCGGCTCAATGCCTCCTTTTAGTTCAATGTCCTGATCTCTACCGAGGGCCGGCCACTGATATCTGATTTTGGTCTCTCTACCCTCGCCGCGTCTTCATTTAGCATGTCGATGAGTAGACCCACCGGTGGTTCCATACGGTGGATGGCCCCTGAAACTATCGAGTCCTTTTCCAAGGCAAGCGCCGAAGGAGACGTTTGGGCATTTGGAATGACTGCTCTGGTATGTCTGTGATTCGTGTTTTTCCTCTCGCAGAAGATGTAACAATGTTCCGTAGGAGTTATTTACGCGGGAATTGCCTTTCGGTGCCATTTTGGCCCTCCCTGCTGTCATGCTTCGAATCATGGAAGGACCGCCTGATCGCCCGAATTTGAGGTCTACTTGTTTTCGTATGACCGGGGATTGGTGGCAGTTATGCCTCTCGTGTTGGCAACGCGATCTTTCGACACGCCCGCAAATGTCTGAAATCCTGTCCAGAATTCAGACTTGGCAAGAGGTACTTGATGACGACTCTAAAAATCGGTGATTTACATTCCACATTCACAGAGAACACTTTCATCTTCCGCTGAGGACCTTGAAAGCGATACTTTGGATTCCCATCCTGCAGTATCCGATAGTTCAACGGTGCCGGGTACAAAGGTATCGGATACTCGTGTCAGGGCAAAGCGTCCTCGACCATTCCAAAAGAGTCTTCGAGGGTTGACCTCTCGGAGACCATGGTGTCTGCTGATTCCTCTGCTTCCCATCCACATAAGGATGGAGACACATCGGGAAGCTTCAGTTCCTTCCTTGCGTCCATAACTGATGACCCGTCGGCCTCTGTCGAGTCGTTCAATACCATGTACAATCGAAGTGATTTCCCGGAGTGGAGCGAAGTGGTCACCAACCAGACAGCCACCTTGGATTCTCGTGGAGTGCTGCTACATAGTTCGATTTGGATAGACTCTGTGGCCTCGGAGAACAAAAGTCTCGCAAATGCATTGCCAACGAAAGACGCTGACTTGGCCAGGTTCGCTACCCTAGGTTGGATCAAGTAACAAATACTTCGATCGGCCATGGTCACTTGCAATCCGGGTCATTGAAGAGTGGGGGATGATTACGTTGCAAGTGAAACCATTAACTAGCTGTTCACTAGGGCACCAGGAACAGCTTCGAGTTGACGGCCTCAGGATCTAACTGTAAGTAGGATACAATTGTCACAATTTCAGTAGTCAAGAGAGCTCGCTTGTTAACTTACCCTCACCTGTACCATCGCGTGGAACAGTGTCATCATTCTTTTAATGAGGTTAGCCCAAAGGCATTTCTCTCGACGCTTCTTCAAGTGCATAAGCTGGGCCCCTCTCGCCCTTCTCGATGGACAGCGCGGCAATATTCGTTTCTTTGATGGCAATTCCCCTCCAGAGTGCCCATGGCGCAAGTATAGCTGTAATAATGCTAAATGGGACTGTAGGCCAAGGTCTCGCAGAAATTGAGTATCCATGCACAGATGTACCGTGCCAAATATCCTAGAGAGGTACAGAGGTCAAGCAACAGTCTACTTGCCTCGTCTATATTGCCACTATTGGACTTGCACAGGGCGTAAATGGGATCCGCGTCCGTTGCTACATGCGTTCGGGACTTACAACGGGTGGTCAGCAGAGGCAGTACTGACGCTAGTTGCGTTCCACGACTGCCTCATGAATGCTTCACCCTATAACGATGCAGACAAAGGTTGAAGTACTTTAAGTAGGAAACTGGGAGCGTAGTGTTCTGTCTTTCCGGCTACGGTCACTGTGAAATGAGTGAAGCAAAGATGAGAAGACTTGCCAGTCAACGTCACTATGACCTGAAATGCAGTAAGAGGACGCACTACTCCAGTTCATGCTGAAAGAGGCCTTCCATCGAGACGTAAAGCCGGCCCTATCAAACGCGACTTAATACTTGGGCATTCCAAGCTTGCTCACGTGACGTCAACGCGGCTGGGGTCACGACTTCATCTTTGAGTGCGTGCGACGTTCTAGCAGTCAGCCTCCTCTGGTTTTCTGTCCAGGAGCTTTTGTTTGCGAGAATTGTCAATCAGGCATGTCACAATCTCACGCGATCGCTCAAAACGAAAAGGTCTTTCCAGTTCTTGCACAGAGGCTCGCCACGCAGAATCCAAACGATTACGTCGTGACGGTGCAAAAGTTGAAGGCATGGTTAAGTTCTGACAGGGCTTATTATCCAATCGCTCGTGGAAAGGTGGAAGTGCGATACCAGGTACTTATATATAGATCTCGCTGACCGCAGTGTCGAACAGATCATCGAGCTTCTGGAGGTGAGAATGCAAGAAATATGGGTTGGTCCATGACTGAGTCCCGCCATAAAATAAAGATTGCTGTCACAGGCTACACCGACGTGATGCGTTACCAGCAGGGGGGTGTCCACACGGCCCATGCACTTCGAGAGCTCGTCGGAACCGTCGTACCTCACATCCACAGGTTCGAGGAAGCTTCTCTTCGGGGTAAATTCGTCGAATATCCTCTGGTATTCCCACTGACTTCCTTTTTCGCCTGTCTTTGCGCATTCGCAGCAAGAGTGTTGCGTGTCGTTGAAATAACAGAGAATCTTCTTAGGAACGTGTACCTTAACGAGGTGGTGGGAAGCACTGTACAAGGCATTCCTTTCAGAGAACGGCCCGTAAAGATAAAGTAGGTCCCTCCATTATAAGTCAAGTTTCCTTTCACGAATGTTGATCCGCCGAGAAGTCTACCTTCGGCAGACAATAATATTTTAGCAGGGAACGATGTGGGACTTGGTTCGCCTGCCCTGCAAATACCGACAATTTCTGCAATCGGTAGTCCTGAAATTGATGTGAAACCTGTGGTAACTTCGTCCCACACTGACTCTCAGGTCAAATCTGAACCTGAGGATCCGCCGCTACCGTGGGGTCCCGTGGGGTTCACCTCCATTTACACAGTTGGTGGAAAAAGAATGACGGAGACCGTGCTAGCACCAAATTCCAAACAATCGCTACCTATGGACGTCAATCAGGACAACAGTGTTGGACCTTCGAGTGCGGTTCCACCGCCGGCGCCCACTAAGCCCCAGCCAAAGCGAGTACGGAAACCGGAGATGTCAAAATTATTAGCCCGTGATCTGGACTGGTGCAAGTTGGCAATGGCGGGCGCAGCGCAGGTACAACTGCCGCAAACCCCAGCGAGCTCCGTCGAACCTGCTCCGACACCGATGGATATCGATGTTGCTCCGTTTGCACCTCGTGAACAAGATGTCCAAGCTATTTCTGTCAAGCAAGAGGTTCTTCCCGGAATGGACCGGGAGGAAGGAGTTTCTTCGTCCCCTCGGCATGACGGCGTGACTACTACTGAAACTGTTATGGGAGACAGTTCATTACCCCAACCACCGCCACAACTAGAACCAGCAACAGCACCGGCATCGACACCAGCAGCACCAGCATCAATACTACCAGCGCCAGTACCATCACCGGCATCGACACCAGCAGCACCGGCATCAACACTACCAGCGCCAGTACCATCACCGGCATCGACACCAGCAGTGCCAGCATCAACACTACCAGCGCCAGCACCACCGGCACTGGCACCAGCACCAGCATCTGGATCTTTCCACACTCCCTCGGATGATAACGGTGTATCGACGAGAGCTACTGCAGAGCGCAGCCCGTCGCTACCCCCACCACCACCTGTTCATTCCCTTCAGGACATACCATCGGCTGAAATTCGCAATAGAAGTTTACCTCCCTCAGCTGCTACAGATGGCGAATCGCCCCAAACATCACCTGCAATACTTCCACCTCCACCCAACACCGTCCATGACATATCACACATGCCATCTAAGGATACCACTGTACCTCCTACCGCTGCGAACAGTGGTTCGTCATTGCCTCCACCTACTACCGGTTCTCAACCCCTTTCGGGCCAATCACCTGCGAAAATTGAAAACAGTGCCTCTTCCCCAGGCAGCGGGAACGATTTGTTACCACCACTCTTCGAACCACTACAGCATGCCGTAGACGATGTGCACCCCTCTACGCTACCGTCTCAAGCCGAGCAGTCCGTGCGACCTGAAGAGTCCCCATTAGATGGGGACCTTGCTCAAGAAGCATTTCATCATGAGAGGGTTATAATGCACTTTAGCAAGGGTGATACTCTTCCGCGTGCCCACCACGTCAATCTCACTGTTAGTGAGGACATGCATTCTAATGTTTCGCGATGGGTTAAACGCAGGGTGTCACCAACGTAAGTAATCCAGATTGTATTTACAATGACACGCTCCGACGAGTGTTCGAAGGGACGTACCGAGTAGTTTTTGCATCTCTGTGGCGTGCTACCGACTGTGTGACTTGGGCACGGCAGCTGAATCGTCACCTAATGACGAGAATCTGTCTATGACAGAGGCTACAGCTCATGCCCCGTGTTCTTGGCCAACCTCGACACACTTGTTGCTAAGCCTGAAGTACGGCGAGAAAAACTGGAGTCTGCCTCTCTCTCCACCACTCAAGGTACACACACTTGTTAATTCTTATCTACCTGATGCTGTCTTACTTCATTGTCCAAGGTTACCCCCGATCAATTTATGGATATATCCTCTTTCGTGCAAGCCGGGGAAAATACCTTGCAGATAATACAATATGGCGATCTATCGAATCACGTATTGGTGATACATGCCCACCACCCTACAGGAGCTCAGCTTGCCGAACTGGGAAAAATGCAGGCTGCAGATCAGAAGTGGAAGTCCTTCCTTGACAGCATTTGTGGGCCTATCGAGTTAGGGCCTTCGAGGGAGAATGCTCAGGAGTCGCCTGTGCGATAGGAAGATCATTTCCAACTTAATTCAATTTTCTATGTGTTTTACGTGGACATGACCCCGTATGTATGCGCCATAGGCGTGATCCTACTTTGTCTTCTTTTGTACTTGATGGTTTGTAGGCTGTTTTGCAATGAGGGTATGTCGCTGATTGTCACCGTAATGTTACTCACCATACTCAAGGACGCATATGAATGAACTTCCCGTAGTACGCAACCAAATTGACCCCAACACTCCTACTATGCGTGTATAATGCCTCGTAGGTGGTAACTGCTCTGATGTGTACAAAGTACATCGCTTAAATACGATATGTACGCATAAATTGACCACACTGCCCTAACGGGTGAGTCCGACTCTACATGTGTACATAAGCGACATAAATAACCAAAACGTGTAATGCCCTCGATCTCTTAAGCCGTCGCTGGCCAAGAGACGGGTTCATTATTAGGGTCACGTTCTACCTCCCCCCACCACTTGGTTATAATTTGGCGGGAGGTCGGTTACAGCTGGTGACGGGCTCCTTATGGCTTCTGCGTTCTGGGTATGTAAAGCCACAACACTCTTCAGAGGGCGATTGGAAGATGAACTCCCATCGCCTGGGGTATCTGGCAACGGTCTTGCCTGTCCACCTGCTAAAGTTTGACTCGCCGGCTCGCTTCCAGACTGGGAAGCACCCGAACCAGGAAGATAAGTCGTTCCCACTGAGAAGCCGGGGGAACGCTGATAGACGCGTGCAGAAGGTGATAAGGACAGTCCGTCTTGCACGGGGCTCGCACCACTTCTGGTATCTATAGACGTTGAAAAGGCTACTGGTGCTTCCGGCGGTCGCTGGGTAGTTTGAATACTGTAAAGTTGATTTTGGGCCGCTTCCGAGGCCTTCCACCTTCGATAGAAGAAGAAAGCAAGTACGAAACCCAATGCAGCTGCAGCAGAAGCGACAACAATGCCAGCGATGACGCCCGAACTAAGTTGTCTGTCAAGGAACGATAAATGAGTTGGCCGGCAGTGAAAGAGTAGTTTACACACTTTGATGTGGTGCTACTACCACTGCAGAGAAAATGAGAAGTCAGATGATAAATGGAAGAGAAAATTGCTGCGATTTCCCACCTCAGAGATGAAGATGAAGACGTAGTGGTATCACTACTAGGAGAGGTTAGTACGTGAGACCGAATCAAGGAGTAAAAGCAGTGACTTACCCAGACAAAGTCGATACTAGGGCATAATCGATACACAATTGCTGATTCGCTGCTGCTGGGACATTCGTGAGCGTCAGATTGTGCTGTCCCGAACCAAGGTTGTCGGCGTGGAAAAGAGTGACTCCGTAGAAAGGAAGGAAAGCTGTCCCGTTGTATTTGGATACATTACCACCGTCCAGCTGAACGGTGTAAGGTCCGGTCGAAGTCGAGGTCGCGCCAAACAGTGTGACCATTTCACCTAACATGCCCTGGTAGTATCGCAAAAATCCGCTACGTCCATAGCAAGACTAACGTACCCTAATATGAAAAAGTAAATCGCATTGAAGCCAGCAGAACGTGATGGGGCTACCCACCGTGAAAATAAACGAGACGCTGGCCAGATACGCTTCCGTGTAACTGTTGTATCGGAGTCAGTTGGAAATGCTCGCATACGTCGTATCATATCATATACTTACTGGCCCGTTCCATTGCTATAGAAAATGGCGTCAGGTGGGGAAGCCCAGACCGACTCTTGGTATTGGAAACGTGGGTCCGTGTCTTCGACCGTTTCCGTGATCAGTTCCTGGCCACTGCTCCCGACTTCAGATTGCCACACGATCTGAATATTCGCTTCATGCTCAACTTGTCACTGAACGAAAAGAACGAAGCCGCCTACTATATCGATATCAACATAGGTATTGCCCGTTCCGGTATTTGTCAAAGTCAAGTTGTGCATCCCCTGCGTGAGACCGGTCTGGTTGAAGAGGACTTGCATGAATTCTTGAGTGGGGTAGTACCCAGTGTAAGGCCCGTACGTAGCACCATCGAGCTGAACGGTGAATGTATTGTGGTTGCTTCTTTTGGCGCCATATATCCATACTCCAGTTCCATTGAACGAAAACGACACTGCCCCGTTCGTTACATTGTTGGTGGTAAACGTCCCGAGATAATACCTAGCCGCCGATCAGTGATAGTGCTTCTAGAATCACAACTTGGCACGAGAATGAACGACATACTGATCAGCATAGGCATCGTCCCAACTATTACCCGGAAGCCAAGTTGAATCGTAGAGAATGAGCGGGGACTTGTCGTCAATGAGGTTAGTGACCAAGGACATCCTCGTCTCCGAGGAAGGGAGCGAACTCTACTTGAAGCGAGCTGAGTAGGCAGTTGCAAATTTCAGCTCTGGTTTCCGTTGGCAGTGGGCACCATCACAAGGAAATTAGAGATTGGTAATTTATATTGCTTCCGATGAACATTGGTTCCGTCAATTACAAGTAAATAATACTACGTGGTTATGATACCGGTGGGTATCCAATGTCCTTCAACGTTTCGACTTTTTTTCCCTGCTACGCAGAGTATCACACTCTTCCCGACCCTATTGCATGTGAATAGTATGGCTGGGAGCTCCGTAGCAGGCGAAGAAGGTGAAGGTGACCTGGTCCTGAATCTCTGCATTTTGAGTTACGGGCTGACGTGACCGCGACTCCCCATCTCCTGGCGTTTCTGGGATTGACCTTCCCTATGAAACTATCAACTCACGCACGGACTACGAGCAGAAAGTTGGTCCCTACTAAGGACTGAGTCTGTGGTTCGTCCCTCAATTGAAAAGGACCCGGGACGGGAGGGTATGCAGCTCCTGCAGGAGCCCCGTCGGGTGGCCGTTGATAAGCATTTTCATTGGGTGAAGACAGTGCACCTTGTCGAACAAGACTTGCATGACTCCTGGTTTCTAATGAAGTAGAGAACCCCGTTGGTGCCTCTGGCGGTGGTCGCTGAATTGTATGAATGTTGTACAGATGATTGTAGGTTGCCTCTGCGCTCCTCAGCTTCCGATAGAAGAAAAAGGCAAGGAGGAATGCTAATACTGCTGCAGCTGCAGCTACGGCAATGCCCACGATCCCCCACTACTAAGTTGCCTATTGAGGTAACTGTCAGAATGGTTGATAATAGACAGATGTAGTACTGACTTTGAAGAAATGGTGCTGCCAATACCACTACAATAACGATAGCAGAATCAGTTGGTGTGGTTGGCCACGAGAAGTGGTGCCGACCTTGAATCTGTAGAAGTAGAAGTACCACTTGACAAGGTCAGGATTTGAAAACGAGATAGTATGAACAACAATTACTCGGATAAATCTGAAACCAGGGCATAATCGATACACAATTGTTGCCCCGGTGATGCAGGAGCGTTCGTGATAGTGAGACTATGTTGCCCAGCATCAAGGTTGTCCGCATGGAAAAGAGTGACTCCGTAGTAGGGAAGGAAAGTCGTCCCGTTATAGTCGGACGGATTTCCCCTTGTCCATCTGAACGATGTAGGGCCCGGTGGAAGTCGAGGTTGCGCCGAACAGCGTGACCATCTCACCTAACATACCACGATCAGCGACATGAGATTTGCGCTATGACCATAACGAGATTGGCATACCCTGTAATAAAGTCAATCGTCTCGGGGCCAGGTAGGGGCAAAAATGCTACCTACTGTAAAAGTGAGCACCGCATTCGCCGCGTTCGTTCCCGTACATCTACACATCGACGTGAGTTCAAATAACTCATACACTCTATCATGAACTTACTGCCCGGTTCCATTACTGTAGAAGTTGACGTTAGAGGGGGATGTCCAAGCCGAATCCAGGAATTGGAAACGTGGGTCTGTGTTTTGAACCGTTTCCGTGATTAATTCCTGGTTACTGCTCCCGACTTCAGACTGCCAAACGATCTGAATTCCCATCTCATTCTCAACATCACTGAAAGGAGAGGAAAGAAAGAGGATACCAACCAGATCAATGTCAACGTAAGTACCGTTTGTGCCTGTGTTTGTCAAGGTCAAGTTGTGCATTCCCTGCGTGAGACCGGTCTGGTTGAAGAGGACTTGCAGGAATTCTTGAGTAGGATAGTATCCATCGTAAGGTCCGTAGGTAGCACTATCGAGTTGAACGGTATAGGTGTTGTAGTTGCTTCTTTTAGCGCCATATATCCAAACGCCAGTTCCATTAAACGAAAGCGATACTGCTCCGTTCGTTACGCTGTTGGTGGTAAACGTCCCGAGATAATACCTAGCCATTAGCGTCTCTATCAGGGATCGATGTCGGGAGTGCGAGAATGAACGATTCACTGGTCTTCATAAGCATCTCCTGCACTGTTTCCAGGCGTCCAAGTTGAATCGTAGAGAATGAGCGGAGACTTGTCGTCAATGAGGTTAGTGACCAAGGGCATCCCTTTTACCAGGGCTGAGTCCGTCAAGGCACCCAATTATTACGCTAGCGGGGACTGCTTGAACTTGTTGGTTTGAGTCCTTGTGACCGAGCGCACTTACATATGTGTACTAATTAATTTATTAATACTAGCGCGTTGCAATAATAGGTACCGCCCAGACCCCTTTTCGGTTGACTTGTACCCTGAAGCTTCGAAGGATGACGATGTGGTGCATTCCAGGGTACGAGACCGCTTTTTTGGTGAAAGATAGGAAAGTTGTTAGAACGCCGGGAGTGGGCCAGCGGAAGTAGAGGCAAACTTTATAGTTGGATGGCAAGTTTACCGCTGGAATGAAAGCAGTGCCTAAATTACACACCAATACATGTTTCAAGTTATCAACAGCCAGTTGAAGATTAGCCAGCCGGCTACTGCAGGATAACTCAACCAAGACTTCGTCAGCGTAGTAGGAGGTCAGGCCTGGTCAGGGTCGGGCTTAGTACACATCAATGACAAAGGCTATCCTCCACTTCCGATAGCTGTTGGAAAAACGTCGTCATTGAACAAAAGGTGTCATTCAAATAAGAATCCACCTCACTGGCCAACTTGCGCCTTGATATACGTAACAATTTGCTTCATCAGGTTGAATCCTTCCGGAGACGAGATGTCTAAATCCCACAGCCCCTCCAGGAAGTCAGATGGCAAAGTACGATCCATATGGGGGCGGTCGACAAACTAAGCACAACGACGCCTGTGGCCTTAACGCCACGATAAACGCGAAGGGAAGTTCCCAGAAGGCTCAACCCATACAGTTCAGGAATGGGGCATTCGGCCAGCATCTGATCGTACCGTTGGCGCGTATGGATGTCCGCTATCCAGCGCTTATCAGCTGAGTCCGCCCATTTGTCGTTTTTAATATCCGCGACGAGAACTGGTTTCTGCCCCTGGTTCAAAATCACCATAAGACAAACAAAGTCTATGGCGTCACGCTGAGAAGTTTCATCAGGGGCAGCCTGCGGGGCAAGGAAGAAGGTAAAGGAGCCTTCAACCACAGCGTAGTTGAAGAGCCTGTCATAAGGGCCATAATAACGAGATTCGAGTGGCGCATTTTTGTTACGACTGACTTCGTTGAGTAGGCCTTGCGGCCAGTTCGTGTCAGCGGAGAAGGGCGTGATCCTAGCATGCTTGTATCGGCAATGATAAATTATAAGTGCAAGTCAAAGGCGTGCCAGTTGTTTCTTCTGGGCGGAGAGTTGAAAGTCAAGGTTAGATGCAACCACGGTTGCGTGCTCGAAGTTTGTTTCTGCTTCCCTGTACCGCCAGTGTGGCAATGTGAATGGTGACCACGCCACAGACGCGTAGCTCTGTCATAAACCCATGCAATGACCACTCAGGCAGCACAAGACTACCTCACGAAGGAGGTTTTTATAAGGCGGAGCGTGGTATTACTCATTTCTGGTCGTTCGTAAAAGCTACTGAAGTCTAAGTAACACTAAGGTGACCTTCCGATCCTTAAGTCGAGAACTGGGCATCCACGTCAATGATGCAAAGAAGTAAGACGCATGCCACGACATAACCCCTCCATGAACACTGAAATACTCTGAAGTGAACTTAAGGCATTCCACGAAGCGTCGATATATACCAATACGCCTGCTATACCAACCTATCTCGTCTCCGGGGAGGTCGCATCAAAGAACGGCGGTCCCAGCAACACTCCTGATGACTATGACGTGGATATGGATATGGACCTCGACGACGAAGATGGGTCAGATGTGGTGCACATCAGTAAAGTTGTGTTGGTGGATGCTGATGTCCTGGATGGTGCGTACCCAATTCCTTCATATGCGTCAAGGCCATATCCGACTGGATGTACAGAAACGATGGCTCAGTTTTCGCGAGTCTTCTCGATACACGTATACAGTTTGTCGCCGTCGAAACTCAAGGTATGGGCGCCGAGTTTTTTTATGGCTAATTTCCGATCCGTTCACGTTTGCGGCAGGATGCAGATCTCATATGTGCGAGCAATGTTAACGTGCAGAAGGTAGACGCCTCCAGGGGTCCTGAATTCTTCTCGATCGTTGGCAAGATACGTGGAGGGCATGTAGAGGTACGTCGATCCCTGCCACGTTTCGACATATGAGTACTCATCCGTTGTCAGACAAGAGCCAGCGCAAGAAAGACATCAGCTCTTGCCCCTGCCGCTGCTTCCTCGTCAAAAGTGACTCTCGAGGAAACCAAGAAACAGCCCTCCAAACCTGCTCCGCAGACAAAGCCAGAGCAGCCGACACTCGAGGGGAAGTCATCAACGTTAGATTCGAAGGAATTGACGAGTACAAAAGAACTGATGCAGAAGACGGATATCAAAGAGAAACCAAAGGCGTCGGGAAGGCTGGACTGGAGCAAGGCAAAGTCAAAAGAGAAGGAGAAAGCGGAGGACAAGAGGAGTGGAGAAGACGACCCAAAACCCAAGCCATCTAAACCGCCCTCCACAAACAAAACGTCTTTTCTGCCAAGTAAATCAAGCATAAGCAACCAGAGCTCTAGCAAGCCTGAGGCGAACAGGGCCAAAACTGATTCCACCGGGCCAAGTCACGTTCCACAGGTAAGACTTTTTTATTGCTTCTGTAGTTATTGCTATAATATTTCCATAGCGTGGCGTAAAACGCAAATCCTATGTCCCATCTGACTCGGAAAAGGAGGAAGACCAGGTCTTGAAGCCCAGCAAACCAATCGTATCTTCCAGCTCCGCCAAAGTGAAGAATGGTGTGGTCCTGACCGACGACGACGAAGAGGATGTGCGAGCGTTTGGAAGACGTCGTGCTGGAGTGAAAAGTGGTGAAATGTCTGACACAGAGATGAGTCTCAAAGCCATGATGGACATCGATGACGGTTGGTTGTTTTTATCGACGCCGATAATTTGGAATTGATGGAAAGATTAGATCAGGTTGTTAGAGTGTCCCGAACGAAGAAGGTCCCACCAAAGGTTGATATTGAGGAAGATACGGACGCAGATATTGAAGAAGCCAGGGAAGCTATGGTCCCCCCTGTTAGCAGCGATGCTGATGACATGGACACGGATGATGAACCGATCGTAAAACCAAAGAAGAGGGCACCCAAGAGGGTTGTTCCCGTAGGTCGGAATGGACTTAAGAAAAAGAGAGTCATCAAATCCCGGACCACGACCGATGCTAAAGGATACATGCGTATGTTCCTTCTGTTTGTCTCCCTTGCACGGGAAGTACCGCCCTGCTCAATTACGTTAACAGAAACCGAGGATTACTCTTCATATGAGTCTGTAGAAGAGGGGGACGTTCAGACTGAGCCAGCGACCAAGCCCAAAGGTAAGGGCAAGAAGGGTAACAACGAGCAGGCCAAGACAGAGGAACCATCCGCAGAAAAGCAGACAGCCAAGAGCAAGCCAAAGGTTGCTTCAAAAGCTGCGCCAAAACCCAAGGGGAGTGCTCTCAAGCGTGGTAGTTTGTTAAATTTCTTTGGACCAGATAAAGAGAAGAAGTAAGAGTAGGTGTAAATTGTTGTGCGTGGAATATGGAGCCCATCATATACTGTCACTCTGCACTCTGTATCCTTGGATCCTTGGCGCAGGGATGCCGTCATTGCTGGTATGGCATACTGGATTCCAATGAACTTCAACGCTGTCTTGATGGGGGTGAGGTGGCCATGCGGTTTTGTTCCCTGCTGCCTTGAACTTGTTCGAGGCCTGCGTCCGACAAAGTCTAGTGAGGTCAGTAGAAACCCTATCCGCTTGCTGTCCCGTGTACTTATACCGACCAATCACCGTGTCTGCACTTCCACCCCAGTTGCCGTCCGGTCTACAAGGCGATCCGAATACCGCCAGCGCTTTTAATATATGCCTTGAGTTCGAGGGGAGAATTCAAGCCGATATTGACTCGGGAAAGGACATGGAGAAGCAACTGATTTACTGTCGTATACTCGGCTACCTCTTGCAACACATCCCATCTCAGAGCATGAATAGATTTGTTCAGGATATCGTAGCAACTTGGTTGTCAGCACGAACGACTGCTGCAATTAGGAGAGTTCTACTACAATCACTTCATTCGAAACTGTGTATGTCCTCAAATTCTTTTGCTCCTGACGTACTTAGCCCCTCAAGTCAAGCCCAATCGAGTGCATACACCATCCCCATCGGCTGACACGTCTCTACTTTCGTCTGACGAACTCGAACTCGCAGATGTGAAGAACGAGGTGTCGGAAGAGACCCCTCAAACCGCCAAGAAATGCGTTCGTATCAACCCTTCCAGTGTTCTAGATATGCTACAATTCTTGTAAACAGGCCCTCGCTAGGGATGACGGCCGGTGCGCCGTCACAAAGGCCCTTGATTGGGACACTATGTTGAACAGCAAGCGCCTGGCAATCCTCGTTAGAAGTGGTGAAGAGTCGGCACGGCTCACTCGGTGTGCTTACATTTTTCCGCAATCTACCAATGTGGACGTTACATCGGAATCAGACGAGGTTGGTTCCCTGCTTAAAATACGAATTCTTCCTTGCTGATCGCTGTGCCAGGCAAAGCATGCTACCCCTCTCGGGACGGCATTTGGCCGCTTTGGCCAGACCAAAGTTCTCGAGGAGCTCAATGGAGCCAGAATACATCGACTGGAGAATGTCATCACGATGGAGGCAACAGTTCACTACGCGTTTCAGATGTTGCAGCTTTTGTTTACTGCCACGGTGTGTATCTCCTTTTCCCTCTGTTTGTCCGCAGGATCTAAGAAAGTAGCTTGCAGTCATAGACCGAACCTAATAGGTACAAGCTCGAAGCAATACACGAGTGTATGCTTTATGGGTTACCAGAATTTGTGACCTTTTTGACACCGGATCTAGCGAAGTACCCTCTTCCTAGTCCAACCTACCTTGCTATCCATGCATCATGTTCCCAGGTCGCCCATCTCTCTGGTGCAGCTAAATATATCGAGAAAATATTTGATGCCATGGAAGAAACTAGTGTTCTGACGGAAGATGGTGGGTCTTCTGAGCCCTTACATGAAGCAATTCTGTCTTCTTTGCGGCATCGTATTTCGGTCTGACTATTGCACTTCTTTCATCTTCGTGCAAGAATTACTACTGTATTTGAGGCTGTTAAATTATTTACTATTAATCCGTGTCGATGAGCTTTGTGAACGTGGGCTCTGAGTCGGTCGTATTAAGTAATATTTCATTTCCTGCATTTACTAAACGACATGCCATCTGCATCGAAGGGTATATCAGTATGTCAGAGCAGTTCTCTAGGACATACGTGGTAGCTCTTCCGGTAATCGGTGGCATCGGACTCATCCCCTAGATGAGCACATGTTCGTACTCCCTTTCATCCCCAGGTTAAAAATAGAATGTCCCATCTCACCCATATGGTCATTAGTTCACCAAGTTCTTAGTAGGTTGCTCACTATTGTTTGAGTCAGAATAGTACCCAAACTGCCCCCTTCATCTCACTTGGTAAATATTCACTCAGAATCTGTGCCAGGTTGCCTGGCACATGATCATCAACCTGTTGATTGATGCTCCAGCCAATGGCATATTTTATTAGGATATGCTGGCTCTTGAACTTTGGATGGATGGTGTTGCCAAGATTTTGAAAATGGGCAGGTGCTTCAACATCATAGGTTGGGTGGGTACTCAGAGCTAAAGGGTGTGCATCATAAACTGCTAAAAAAATACACCTACTCAGGCCATCATGCAGATGGGCAGGTTGTCAGACATTGCACAGATGGGTGGGGGTTCAGACATCATGTGAATGGGCAGTATCTCATAAATGATCAACATTCACAGCAATGTATATACAACCAACTCCACAGCCAAAAACATGTAGACTATTGAAGTGGCATGCCCAACAACCCACAGCAATGCCCACCACCTAGTGTAGAAATGGTCAATTTGTCAACCCTGACCATTGACAACATCAGCATATTTCATAATATTTTTGATGCAGTAGTTTACCTGCTCCTTGATATGGCCATTGAGACAGTCTGCAATTGGCACCTCAGGCAATGGCCATAAGCCCTGGGCCATCATCAACTATTTGCAGCAATGAGAATAAGCAGCATACCTTAAAAAAATCCCAGGCTGCAGAAAACAATCCCTTGCCTTGCAATCTTTGGGAATCTGCTGCATATTCCTTGGAATGATATAGCCACCAAGGGAATGCAAAGCCAGAATTGGGATCAGCTGTGCATGGGGTCCAATGTGGGATGATGGCACTGATATTGTTGATTATGCAAAATGCACCAAGGGGAATTAGCTGCATTTGATTGTGGAAGCTAACCTCATCATCTTGGTGTCTGAGGTATGCATGGTAGCATGCTGGGAGGGGAGGAGTATAACTGGCATGCAACACCATCACCAGAATCAAGCTATTAAGCTGATTCTGAAGGAATTATGTATCAGTCCCACATCGTGAAAAATTGATGTAAAACCTACCGAATCCATTGCTAGCTTTGCAAACCAATGCATGGGCCATCCTGCAATATCAGCAGTCTGCTTCAGATGTACAGAGGCCATCTCAATCCAGCACACCAAGTAGAGGATACCCATCTCTACCACAGACTGGTGAGATGGGTGTGATTGGCTGGCAATGAATGGCTCAGGACAATTTTCAAAGGCAGAACACAGATAATGAACAACTTCCATCAAATTGAGCATATTGATGAGTTGAAGGCCCTGAGAGGCTGCACCATACTGGTCCCTTGCAGCTGTGCCCAATTCTCTTGCAATGGCATTCACAGCCCACACAAGGTGCCTATTGAGGGTGGGATCGAACAGCATGTTGCTGGGAGTGGTGTTTCCACAATAGCAAGATACCACAGCATGTAAGGTGCACAGGACTAAAATTATCAATGTCAAAGGTGTATCAGATTAAGCTCATGCCCATACCTTGATCGCAATGTGGAACAGGTGCCAATCCCCATTGTTCCATTTGAAGAGATTGCTGTGTGGATGGAAGTTCACCTACATAATTGATGGATATCACTGATCACATGAATAGAACCAAATAAATGCTCACCATTGCATATTTCTTTGAAAAGATCCCTCATCTCTGATCATTTGGGCATGCCAAAAGTCAAATGGTTTGTGCCATTGTCCTCATCTGCTGCCAAGTCAAAAGATTTGATGGGTACATTTGAAATGAGTGGGGGAGGTGTTGGTTCCCTCATATCCTGCAATTGAGCAAGCAGGTTAATCAGAGAATCAGGTCAAGGGGATTGGTCCCTCAGATTTGATGATTCACAGGTGATGGGCAGAGGAGATGGTTCCTGCACATTCTGCAAGTCTGCCAGAAAATTGACCTGCATAGTAACATCTTGTGCAGGTGTTGAAGACCTGTCCATCCTGTTTAATTCCTTGTGCATGACTGGCAGTGCCAATGGTTCCCATGCATTCAGCAATTGCTCGAGTAGATCCACATTCATACCATCTGCTGGGGGAGCAGTTGGTTCCCATTCATTCAGGAACCAATTCATCAAGTTGTTGTGTGGATCTATTAGAGCTAGTTCGGAAACCTCAGGTAAGTCACAATTAGTTCCTTCAATGCTTGTACATGTTTTTCCACTGGGGCAGTTTGTGTAGTGAGTTTGAATTGAGTTTGAAACATTTCCTCCTGTATGTGAGATGGACGACATTGATATTGGTGGTGATCATGAGGAGATTCACTGCCAACACTTGCTGTGCCATATCGCTCTTGTTGTCAATATCATCCTCTGCATGATTGGTTGTACTGAAGCGCAATCTATGCCAATCCAAAGGATTCTGGAGCCTTACCACACATCAGCACTAACTGGTGAGGAATGGCTTATCAAGCTCCTTGCAGGTCATCCAGAACAAATCCAATGTGAACTTAGTGTTCATGCTGATGTCTTTGCATGACATGTGGAGGAGCTTCACCAGATCAGTCATGGCAACTCTCAATTCATTTCACTTGAAGAACAACTAGCTATTTTCCTCTGTATGAGTGTGATGGGTCTGACTATCAGGCACATTGGTGAATGTTTTCAATGGTCAAATGAGACCATATCTTGGTATGTCATCACCCTTAGTTTTCTGATACTTTTCTAACCTCCTTGATCAGGTACTTTCGCAAGATACTCTTCATCCTATTGTCGTCACCCTTCTATTCCACATACATCAAGATGCCTGGTGCCAATGATATTCAGCCAAAGATTAGGGGAGATAAAAGATTTTGGCCATATTTCAAGGACATGATTGGTGTGTTGGATGGGAGCCATATCCATGCAGCTCCAGCATCGAGGACCAGGCAGTGTACTGAAACTGCAAAGGCTCCATATCACAGAACTGCTTGTTTGCTTGCAATTTCCAGCTGATGTTTACATACTCATTGACTGGTTGGGAGGGTTCAGCTACTGATGTGCATGTATACCAGGATGCATGTATGAAAGGGCTTGACATCCCAACAGGAAAGTTTCTCCTTGCAGATGCTGGGTTCCCCCTGCACCCAGAAATTCTAGTCCCATACCAGATGACTCGCTACCACCTTGCAGAGTGGCGCCAAGCACATTTAAGGTAATTTTCTTTGAATTATCCATCTTATTGTCCTGCTGAACTGACAAGACCCAGGAACAAAGAAGAGTTGTTCAACCTCTGGCACTCATCTGTGTGCAATGTCATCGAGTGAATATTTGGTGTCCTCAAGCATCATTTTCGCATCTTACTACTAAGCCCTGAGTACAACATCAATGTCCAAGGCTGAATCCCCTCAGCACTCTGTGCACTGCACAACTTCATCTGTACTCATGATGCCAAAGAAGGTCCTGATGCCAGGACAGGATGTCCATGTAGATGAGTGAGGTGTGGGAGGGCCTGGGGGATCAGCAGATGAGGGTGGAGCCAATGAAGATAATCCCAATGTAGGTCAGCTTGAAGTGGCACACACTTTCCATGACCAGATTCGCTCAACATATGTGGGATGATTATCAGGAAATCATTCAATTTCAGGATCTTGGGCAATTGCCCTCAGGTAGTGACAACTATAGCTCTGATGACTCCACTAACACTGGTAGTGGTATGAGTGATATATCAATGTTGTAGACACATAGTTCATTTGTTCCCATTCCATGCAATATACATACACTTTCGGATCTCTCATGTGTGATGAAGAAAAAAAAGATAGATTGCAATAAAGAAAAAAAAAGATTGTGATACAATGATAGCAGGTATGGAGGTACAGCAAACATCAATCTACCTATAGTATTTTTTACTGTGTACCAGTCTGAGAACTACCAACCCTGAGTTTCATCTGATACTCCAGTTCAGCAAGCACCAAATGATCTTCCTTCTTTGCTGTCCTCAAGTATACATCAGTGAAGCTGAGATTCTGCATGATCAACAATTGGATGAATGCTTTTATGGGACTGGGGAAATCTTGGTCTTGATTGTCCAGTAAATGAATTGCTTGTGCCCTTGTTGTCAACACTTTATTGATGGCAGATGTCATTGATGTGTTGATTGATGAAGTGAGGAAGTTGATCGAGCCTTGTAGGCCTACTGTGATAGGGTTTGATATCACAAGTAAAGGCAGAGGTGGAGGATTGCAAGAACAATGGGAATGGGAGCTTTTTGTGTAGTCCAAAGTGGCAGAGAGGTTGGTGCATTTGTTGGAGGCAGGAGCAGTAGCAGAAATGTCACTTGCATTGGTATATGGGAAAATGGACATGGTAGTCAAAACCTCATTGTCACCAAGCATGTCGGTGTGAGACCACTTCCCACTAGATGGTGGAGCACTGGATGGAGGGATAGAAATGTCAGACAGGTTGATGGTAGATGGCAGATCATCAAAAAATGGGAAATGGTTGTCATCTGACCCAGGCAGGACTAGGGGAAGTGCTGGCACAGAATCAGCAGGCACTGAAGTGGATATGGGTTTGATGGGTGCAGGAGTGGAGGAGGGTGTGGATTTGGAAGGCACCTAAAGTGGAAGTGGTTAGTTGAACATGCTGGCACTCCACTATCTCCATTGTCTAGGCTGTTGGTGGTGGCATTGGAACTATCTGGACTAAAGGCATTGGCCCCACAGGCACCACCATGGGGTATGATATCTGCAATGTAGGGATATAAATCCCATCCACTTGTTTTGAACTGGCAAATGAGGGGGTGACTCTAAGAGTAATCATCAGTTCATCAAGCCATGGGGTTAAAAAATAAAAATAAAAATACCTTCACAAAATCCTCAAACACCTGCTTGGCATGCTGACCCTGAATATTAGCCCCCTTCTTGTTGTCCCAGTGGGCTCCAGATGGTTGTGCTCGATAGTACTTGATATCGTGATATATCTTTCAAATCTATGACAGAAGATCAGTAAAAATCACAAGTGGTTTACAACACTGACTTACATAGCCAGTCCACTTGTTTCTCACAGCTTGATAGTTCTTAGGAGGTCCATCTGTGCAATAGTTGGCGATATGCAGGGTGGCAACTTGATATGTAGCCATCTTGATGTTCCTGTTATTGCCCTGCCTCATGCCAGTTGTCATGCAGGAACCTTACAAGAGCAGTGGTTTCTTCATGGTTCCAATGAACTTGTGGAGTGGGAGCACTAGTCTTGTTAGGCATTGAGTGAGTTAGTGAATCCAGAGTGTACTGGGATACAAGGGCAACAACAGTGGCAGCTGATACCCAGGCAAGCCTAAGCTGATCCAGATCATTGTAATCCATTGCAGGACATGTTTCAAACTCAATTCAAATTCACTATGTGAACTGTCCCAGTGGAAAAACATGTACAAGCATTGAAGGAACTAATTGTGACTTACCTGAGGTTTCTGAACTAGCTCTTACTAGAAAATTAGTTTGTTTGTTAGCTTGAAGGGCAATCATGCCAACTCACTGGCCACAATTCTGCCCTCTGCCAGAGTGGTTGGCTCCCTTTCCTGCAGGAACTGATCTAGCAAGCTTTTGCATGAATCTATAGTGAAAGAATATTTGTTGTTTAGCTTGGAGAGAAATCATGTTCACTCACTGGCTGTGATATCTATGTTTGACCCCACCATATCCACCCTTCCACTTGAGACAATTGGTGGAGGGGTTGGCTCTTGCAACTCACACAGTTGTACTAGCATCTCCTCTGGATTTTTGGACTGCTTCATGCAGGTGCTAGATTGCCTTGGCTCAATTGGTCTTACATTAGCTGTGGATGGCTTAGGTCACTGGATCCAACAATGAAGACAACCTCACCTTGATGATGGAAACAAACTTGGTGGAACTGTTCAGCAGACATATTTGATGATGGTGGGTTCACTGATAGGTTGATGATCAATCAAGATTTAAACTTGTAGGAACAACGGTGAGAATATCATTCACACCATGGGAAGCAAGGTTGGACAATGGTGGACAGAGCCAAATTTTGGGTAACAGCAATACATGGGAGATGAACAGCAATATCTCCCTACATAGATAGCTACCAGTCACTTCCACATGGCCAATACATAGACCTGTCCCACTCAGCTCTCTGCTCAATTGTCCTGCTCAACTGTCCTGCTTAACTATCCCTCTCTCTGATATCAAAGACACCTCTCACAACCACCATGGTGTCATGAGCTACTGTACACACCATACACTTGCATTCTAATGTGTCACACTAGGCTAAGCCCTCTATAGATCATACACAAGTTCCAAAAAAGGTTTCTGCTCTGACTGTTTGAGGGATTTGACAACTACTTCCACTTCTGATTGCTGCCTGTTTGCTTGCACGATCTCTTTGCATCAGGAGATGGAACATCTGCATCTGGCCTTGCAGGGGCCTTTCTGACATGAGGTGACTTCCAGGTGCTCCCAGGGATGCCCTGTTTCACATTCATGGATGCTGCATTGTGTTATGCCTGAGCGAGGTGACTTCTTCAAATGGAATAGGCATGATATGTGTGAGGGGAGTCTACAGGCCAAACTTGTCATAACCCCTATGGCTGAGTTATCGCAAGGTCCGAGCATCCTTTCTTCTGGCGAGTCCCTAAGGTTGTTTGCATGGAGAAAGAGAGAGAGGACAGAGTGAAGGGATGAAGCTCAGTTGCAAGCTATCAAAAAACTGCA